TCAACCGGCGTGGAGGAGCTGAGCTGCGTCTCAGACTTCTATGCAATGTCAAGCACCAACCGCAGCGGTAGTCGAACAAGGTTCATGGGAACTTGCAGGAGCTTTGGCTTCGGATTCGAGCTAGAGCCCTAGGCGAGGGCGCGTGGCCGCTGCGTACATAACAATTCACTCGTATCCGTGCAGGTGCAGTGCAGGCACCAGCAGCCTCCGATCCGAACCCCCGGGAGGCGAGGTCGGGGGGGTGCTCGAGTCGAGCATGCCGATAAGCACCCGGGGGCGACAGCTATCAGCGCCAGCGGCCAGCGGCCAGGAGGGCAACGTAAAGGCAGCAGAACCGTCACATGTGCACTCTGCAGCCGGGCGATATCCGGCAGCACACTGGACAGGTAGTGCCTGGGTGTAACGGTCCGTTACAACGAGGTACACCGAACAGCAGTGAACGCAGTGAACAGCACGCGGCGGCAGAGCTAAACTGCCCGTGCAAAACCACGTATCGACCACGTTAAGTCGCTCGCCAATGTGCGCTGTGCACTGCGAATGAGATAGCGAGCTCGCCATGTCCATCAGCGGGGTCAGGATCCCAGGTAAACCTGGAGGCAGCGTTACGGTTTTGGTTGGCAGAGTTTAATCTGCACCTCTAAATTGCAAGTCCAGACTTCCGCTTGGAAACCCTTACTTTTCTCTTTCCTTGCTCTTCCTACAGCGGTCGGCCGCATGGTGCCGAGCGTGCCTCTGTGCCTCCCTGTCAGACTTCATGTCTGTCTCAGCTATGTCCACCCGACGTGCGGCCAGGCATTGAATAGCCTGCCTCGTTTGAAGAGATTGAGGTCCGCGAACACTTGGTGTTGTGATCAAATGTCGGAGCTGCGGCGCACGCTGCGACAGATTGCGAGACAAATGCCCAGGCTTTAAAATTGATTCCAAAAGCTAATTCGCAAGATCCACAGTGCCGAGACATGCTTAGCCGGCGCTAGCATGATACCAGGCGACTGTCGATCATTGTGGGGGCGTGTGCACGTCCAATAGGCAACTGTCACGCCCTTGCTTATATGTTTCATTGATCACCGTATTGTATGACTTTGGCCGACTCCAATCATTCTCACTCAATGTCTTGTATGTCCGGCAACGACTGCGATCGAGTGAGCGAGCGCTGAGCGAGCTTAACCGAAACAATGGACGCTGCATCCAAGGGAGCGACAAACTCTCTAGCGCAACGACGAGAAGTCTTCCGTACCTTTGCGAAACTCACCAACCTACGACCGCCCAACCTACGTCGGATGAACCCTCACTTTCGTGTATTAGAATCACGGTTGAAGTGGGCGCACAGTGGGCACCGTCACAGAGCGATCCTCAGTGATTGATGCGCAGTGTGTTTCAACGCGTCCGAAGAGGCATCTGCGCCGTGTTTCATGTGTATTCAGTTTCAAATTTGGTGGGCTGCTGCGCTAGCAGCGTTAGCGCAGGTCAGTGAGTGCTCATATGAGTTGCACGTCTCAAGTGCTAAGTTGCTTCAACGGGGCGCTAGTCCATCGCACCGGGCGATCACTTGTCTGTGCACCATGAGTATTGATCACCCACAATCCTGACGGTGGTGCAAAGGCCCTTGAGGAAGAGTGGGTATTTCAACCAGATGGCCGGGCAAGTAATGGGGTAGTATCGCTTCAGATGTTCGGTCAGGTAGACCTCACCATCTCACTTGCGCACCTGTTCGGCCAACGCACGAGTAGACCAGGTATGCGTGCCGCAGTGTCGTATGCTTGACGTACTGCAGAGGGACGGTCGGATGTCGGAACAAAAGTGGACAGGATCCTCGGACGCTCGGGAATATGGTGAAACATCCAGCGCCCCGCCTTCCCTGTTTCTGTTAGCCGCCGATGAAGCGTCCAGCCAACAGGCAGGAAGAGTCCGGCGCTAACGTCCTGCGTTTCTGCTGCGCGGCGGTTCTGGACACGGCAGCAGTTTATTAGCGTAGGACAGTGTCGTGTGTCAGCGCACGTCCATAGTGCCAGAACCCAGCGCACGGCCCTTCGCGGGGAAGTCCTGCGTTCATTTGAACGTGAAGGCAAGGCCCTGCGTTCATTTAGGCATGAAGGGAAGGCCTCCGGCGCCGATGGCTAGGTCGCTAGCACTCGTCCTATTGCGGATGACCGGCTGTCATTCTCGCGAGCGACTCGCCTCCGACGCCACAGCCGATCACCGGCTGAAGGCTCTCGTTATTGACGAGAACGTGGTGCGCCACAGCGCGGCTTGCCGTACTGCTTCCTGGTTTAGACTCGCCATGGCCCTTCAGAAAGCCGCAGCTGCCGTCAAGTATCCACCCCGAGTTGCATAACAGGCGTCGTGGCTTTACGGCGTAGCTCTTATCCATTATCGGCTGAGCCACATTGGGCCCTCGGCGCGCGCTGCGAAGTTGTCACCACCTACGAAGAGCCAGTCAACACTCCCTCTTCTTTGGTGTATACTTCAGGCTAGTTGCGCTCGTTACGAGCCAGTTAGTGAGGCAGTGCCGCTTCGCACTAGAACGCATCGTACATCCGCCAGCCGCTCAGTCGACGGCGTGAACGTTTCCAACAGCCCGCCATGACCGAGATTGTAAAGCTAAGAGCCGATTCCAACGCCGTTGCTTGTCAGGCATAACGCCGTTAAGCCTCGTGGCACACGGACCTGGCAGCTTGAGTTCAACCGTACGGCCGTTCGCTGGTGATGACCGCTACGGCCCCAACATGGGCAAAGGGCGGGCATAGTCCATCGGACTTGCGGGCTTCGGACATCGACCCTCATGTTGGCGAAACCATGAACGATAAAAGAGTGGGGCGGGGCATGCGCCGTGGGTTGCGTAGAGCGCATGCAACGCTTTGCTGCCGAAAACCGAGTACGCACGTCCGACAGGGAGCAAGGAGTGGGTTGCTCTCGGTGTCCGGCGCCCGTCGACCACGTTTGGTTTCCTCTTGCGCCGCTTAGGCGCTGTCTCGGCGCGCTCGGTGACATCAGGCTCATGCCTCGAGCCTCGCTACTCACGGACAAGCATACCACCTTGTTCGCCGGTAGGCTGTTCGCAAAGCGTACAGGTTACCAACCCATGTCCTCGAGGTGAGTGGCGAAAGGGACACTAGTACGACTCCTTTGGCATTGCCCTGCTCCCTGTCAATTAGGCAGACTTCGCATTCCTCTGAGAGCAAGACGTCCCATCGGACACTGCACAATGTCTCTGCGGGCTTCAAGTCGCTTGTGCGCCCCATGCCCGAGAGGCGAGCACGGAGGATGGTCAGCAACGCCGTGACAAACCGTAGTACCTGCGCCGCGCCCTGCCCGTCCAAACTTCGATCATCGGCTTGCGTTGGAGAGTGCGTAGTAGAGTGCGTACAACACCGTAATCGCGCGATATGAACTCTGTTCTCTCGCTACTTCTACGTCCGACGCACTGTATGCCCCTTTTTAAGTGCACTGCGCCAACTTTCTCTGCATCAGTGCGCACCCATTGCGTCAGCTTCCGTCCAGCGTTGAGTTACGATCACTCCATTCGCGGCCATTTGTCGTAGAGCATGAAGCATGTAGAGCGCGAAACTTAGCTTCATGCTCTGTAGCCTTAACGAGAGTGTGGGCCCAGAAACACAATGTGCATACGCTTACCAGTGTCTTGTCCGCTGGTCCTGACACCTTTGTCGCACCGATCGTGACTTCACGCCACTCTCTTCTCAGCACACTTGCCGTCGTACGCTGCGACACAAGCGCATAGGCGAGGTGTCAGACTGATAGACCCACCTCATCCTAGACATGGTCGTACGTCTTCAACGCACTGCAAGGGTACTCACCCGCCATGGGGGGCTTACACTACTGCATAAGCCGCGCTGTCATTGCCATGGCGTGAAGCGCGCGACACCTGAGCGGCACCAAGCGAAGCGGTGACTGCTGCAGTCGTACTTCTCTGTGTCTCAAAATCGGGCGTCGCACCCCCCAGACGTTATAACCTTCCACACACACAGATGGACCGTATGTACCACCCGTCCACGGCACCCCTGCAAGCCTGCTAGTTCAACCGCCGGCCCGCCAAGCGTATACGGCGGCGCCACCGCGTCCATCAACCGAGACGTTGGCGCGTACATCTTAGCGCGACCAGAGCGCGGCCAGCATGACAAACCCTCGACCTCTGAACAAACTGACCGACCCCGCACACGCAACAACTCACCGCTGATCCCTCCCGCCCTGAGCATGACCTGGGTGGCGCGCAAGGGACTATCTCATATATCCGCAGCACCCTCGAGGGCCATCGACTCCTTCCTCCGATCAGCGGCACAGTCACAGACAGACCTGACTGACTCAGCGCCGCGGCGTCATTGCCCGCTCGGCACCGCTGTGCCCGAACAACGCTGACATTGTGATTCCCAAGGCTGTCACTGGTATCCTGCGTGCCTCCTCACCCGGGACGTTGGGCGCATTTTCAATTCAGCAAGGAGGATCGTCGCTCTTCACTGTCTCAGCTAGCTGCGCCACCGCTCCCGTTGTTCCCTCATACGGCTTACCCACAGGCACATGCGCAACGCGGTCTGCCGCGCCTGACATCGGTAACAGTCGTCGGTATGTTAATGATACATTGGCTACATGATACGGTCTAGGTGAGAGGTAGAGCTGGTGGACTAATCTAAAACCGGGGCCGAGCGGCAGCCTTTCCCTTCGCAAGCGTCGCTCTATTCCGCCCTAGCCCGCCCCCGGTTGCGCCGCTGTTGCGATTACTCGCTGCGGGGCGGACTGCAGTCGGTTGGGCGCTGGAGTTGCCATCGTATGCGAACCCGCCCAATCTGTCTCTAACGTTCTGCCGTGAGGATTGGATGGAGGCAGCCCCTCGTTGATTTTGGGTCAGGGTTTCCCTACTTCTGCATTCATTAGCACGCGTCGTACTCCCAGCATCGCCGGACGCTCGTATCGCAGGCCGCCATAGTCACCACCACATACGCAAGCTTCATGTACCTGGCAATTGACGCCAGTCCTGACCCGAACTGCACTCACTGTTTGGATCCGCTACGCTGCTCGTGATATTTGACGGTGATCCCGAGAATCATTGTTCCGTAGTCCTGGTGATGTGCGTAAGCCTCGCATTCACGCTCAGTACCGCTCCCGCTTGCAGCCCAACATCCCATATGCCGGGGGTGGGTCCGCATGCAGTGCAGCGGATGTTCGAACCTTACCTTGAGCAAGCCCGCGGGCAAGCCTTCGACCTGTCGGAGCGCTGGCATGTCTGTAAATTCAGGTCAGCAAAGTGCGGCGCGCTATAGTTCAACTCACTGGTAGGCATAATCGCTGCAAGCATCTGGAGGAGTTCGTCGGAAAGCGGGAAGCCGTGCTGGGACGCGTAAGTCGACTGCAAACGAAGACAGGGAAGCTGTAACTCGAGGCAATAGAGAGCCGGGCATGGGGTGGTAAACCTACCTTGCTCTTGAGGGCCTGCAGCTCAGAGAAGCACTGTTGCTCTAGATCAGGGGGCCCATCGTTGCCAGTGGACCCATCGTTGCCAGTGGATTTCCGCTTCTTCGTACTCGTCCCTGCGACGGTAGCACCGGAGACCGCGGGCTCTTCCCCCGGGCTGTAGTCGTCGTCGCTGGGCCACGCTGAATCGTCAAAAGCCTGTTCCTCTTCTATGATCTGTTGCCGGGAACGTTTCCGGCTGAGTGGGTTGGAGACGGGCTGCTTGGACTGTTTCAGCTGGGCCAGAGGCACGACCCGAGCTTGACCTGTGGTACCAGTGGCAGTACCAGCAGAAGCCTTTGCTGCCTTCTTCGCCTTGAGCGCCGCTGGCTGACTGAAGTCCATCATCAACTTTCGGCGACCGTTCACGAAGTCTTGAGCGTGGGGTCCAAGCTGATCGCGTCAGCTCTCGACCGCTTCGTTACTTGGACTCACCGTGACATAAGCGCTGCTCCAGCCGTTCCGGTTGGCTATAATGTATTCCTTGAGGCAGCCTTCAATGACAAGATTCTGGATGAGACGCTCGGCGTCGCCGCGACCCCAATGCTGCCCAGCTCCATGGTGAGGGTTCCGGTCCAGATCTTTGCCCGCAGTCCCCTTGGCACCGCGGTAGCAGTCCGCAGCGTTGATGATTGTTATCCTATCGCTACTGCTGAACGCCTTCATCATCTCGACGACGGCTCTGGCATCGGCAGAAACATCTTCGACGACGATGTTATTCTTTTCACGGTCCATGCACACGTCGCACCCTTGATTGCAGTTAGCCGCGTTGAAGCTTTCGTTAAAGAAAGCGAGGATTTGCGTTCGTCGACAGTCGGTTTTGTTGTGACAGAATCGCAGCACCTCCTTCAAAGCATCCGTTTGGCGTTCCTTCTGTGGTCGCGACAAGTTCTGGTCATTGTTGATCAAGTTCAGCACCGTCTTCGAGTCCGCATACGTGTAGTACAGGATGCAGGTCGAGTTCTTTCCATCGCGGCCCGCTCGGCCGGTCTCCTGGTAGTAACCCTCGAGAGAACGCGGCAAACTGTGATGGATGACGTATCGTACATCGGGCTTGTCGATACCCATCCCGAAAGCGATCGTGGCCACAATGACTTCAAACTTGTGCTCCTGCCATCCCTCCTGGATCTTGCGACGGTCGCCTTTCGTCATACCAGCATGGTAATGCCAGGCTCGGATATCCTTATCGCGCAGCTCCTTGGCGATGATCTCGCACTTCTCTCGGGACGAGCAGTAGACGATGCCGCTGACTCCCTGGGTTTGAGTCTTGATGAAATTTACTATCTTCTCAAGGACATTCTTCTGCTTCGGCCTCACTTCGTAGTGCAAGTTGGGCCGATTGAAAGACTGTTTCAGTACTGTGCAGCCCCTGATACCAAGCACGCGAATGATGTCGTCCTGCACCTTCTCAGGAGCTGTAGCAGTGAGGGCCATGATCGGGATACCGGGATAGTCCTTTCGCAGGTCCCGCAACTTCAGATCTGGGTCGGTCAGTGTGATCGCTTTGGTAGTAAGGGCTTACAATCGGACCGGAACTACCGTCAGCTCTGTAATCACTTCGGACGAACTCACATCATGACCCCATCCACTAACGCAGTGCGCCTCATCGATGACGAACCGCGCAAGCTGCTTCCTCTGTTCCAATCCTCGCAGAATGCCCTGGATCCTGCTACCCATGGACAGCATCTCAGGCGTCACGTACACGACTTTGGTATAAGGAACCGGGCGATCCAGTTCCGCATGCGCAATGTTCTTGTCCGCCTGCGTGAGATCTCCGGTATACGCAATGGCGGGGATGTTGCGCTTGATGAGGTGGCGTGTCTGGTCGTTGATGAGGGAGATCAATGGAGACACAACAAACGTCACACCTCTCGTCTTCCCTTGAGAACAGATGGCAGGAAGCTGGTCTATGACAGTCAGCGATAGACCAGCGGAACAACGCACAGGTCAAGCTTTTCCCTCCTCCAGTGGGCATGAGTACGAAGACTACTGTCAGCACGAAGCGACTATCCGCTCTCACCATCTCTTCCTGCCATGGTCTCGTCGATTGCCTCCTTCTGGTGGGTCCGGAAGTTGGGCAACATGAAGACTTGTCGGAGCTTCTGGTTCACCTCCTTACTCCACGCGTACTGTTTCTCGATCTGATGTACCCGGGGCGTTAGAGCGCCAGCATCAGAGACGCCTGCGGTGGGATCGCTGGCTCTCGACGTCGAGGTTGGGGCTGAGACCAGGTTCCTAGCAGGTCGGCCGAGAAACTCTGACGGGGGAGGCGGAGATCGAGAGGGTGATGGAGAAGGAGACCAGATGGCGTCGAGATCGACCCCCTGCATGGCTTCCTCGGCCTGGGCCTCGACACTTGGCTGTGGGGCAAGTCGACGGGGAGTCCGAGGCGCGGGAGCGCTCTTCGGCAAGGGAGGAGAGGAAGGGGGGACCAGCTCCTCAACATCTGTCACATCTCCCTCGGCTTCCTCGATGTCGAGGTCGTCTATGTCTGGGGGCGGACTAGCGGGCACCAGACGAGATCGGCGAGAGGGGCCGGCAACTGGATACCCATGCTGAACGACTTCCGGTGATTGCTTCGTTGGAGCCGGTGGATCAGAAGACGGGTGATGAGATCGGACACCACGGTCGGTGCTTGCGGACAGGGGGGAAGGGTACGATCCTGTCGTTCGACTCATAGGTGCCTCAGCAGTTGGCGTGCCGATCGTAGGAGATTGCTCCGGCGCAGCCAGGGCAGCTTTAATGTCCGCTATACGTTTGGTCAGGAGAGCACTGGTCATCAGCTCTACGATCTATTCGCAATCTTACAGTTTCATGTCTGCCATTTCTGGGTCCTCATCCGAATCTCCACCGCTAAGACGTTGCTCGAGAATCGCCATCTTCTCTTCCATGTACTTGTTCAGCCATGATTGCAAACGTTCCCGAGGGTGCTCTTCCAGCTTCGCCGAGCCTCCTGGTGTAGCACTCGTCACAGTCCGGCGCGGCTGCAGAGGAGCAGGTGACACGGGGGTGGCGGATGAAGAGGCGGAGCTAGGATGCCCAGAAGAAAGAGGGGTTGCGGCTTGTGTGAACGGCTCCGCCTTGACGGCCATCGCTGCGGATTGTCAGCCGAGAGCTAGGGAAGGCGCCGAACACTCACGTTCTCCGCGTCGCATGCCTGAGAAAGGTCCGGCAGCTGGTTGCTGAGGCGACTTTGTTCGCGCTGCCTTTATCGCAGGCTGTGTAGGCTACCGTCAGTGAAAACGGAGGCGGGTCAAGCACACCTTAAATGGGTTGATCGGTGTCGCCGAGCTGGACGCGCGACGCGACTGATATTCGGAAAGGTTGCTTCGAGGAGTGGCACTAGAACGAGACGACATGTCTCATATGTGAGAAGGCTCGTATCTTTCGTATGTGTCGGTTCGGATATCAGTCGGCAGAGAACATGCTGTGGAGAGAGTGACGAAGTGGGAAGTTTATGATTGTTGTTGTCATGAAAACCGCTCATGAAACTCAGTCGCGTTGGTGGCGACCCCAACGGAACCAAACACGCAAGATTACCTCACCCGCCGGGTCTCGATGTCTGAGCTTCTCAGGCGTTTCTTCTCTACATCACCTCTGTCCGATTGCATGCGTAGCGAGCGCAGAGTCAAGGTGAAGATGAATAGGGTGCTGACATTCTCTGCATCCTCTTCCATCCGCCAGGTAGTGGACCCAAGTGCATTTCCTCCAAGCACATGGAGCTCCTGCAGACCATGAGCCTAACTCACTCCTTGACTTCCCTCGGCGCTCAGACCGTCCGCTACTTGATGCAGCACATTCTGACAGACACAGAGACACATACAACCACGAAGTCAAGATGACCAACAAAAGATGACCAACAATGTTCATGAACAACAGCTACAATGAAAGACCCCCCTGACTGGGCCTGAGTGGCGCATGTGGCTGCCTGAAGCCCTCGCCTTCCTCTTCTCGTCCAAAAAATTACAACCTGCCAATCTCCAAAAGAGTGGACGACCTCTCCAGGTCTTCCTTCTCCGCCAGGGAGTCGAACCCTGCTCTATCGCGCACTGCCGGAGCAATCTCTCGGACTTGAGAGGCGACTATACTAACCGATATACTAGCGAAGAGACGATGTCTGATCGCGAGCGCAGCCCCGACGGCAGCGCCGGCGTCTCCGCCGTCGTTCCGAACGTTCAAGCTCTCCCTCCTCTTTTACAGCCGTTCCTGCGGCTCTCCTGCCCTCCCGATACCATGGACAACACCCTATTGCTTCTCGTTTCGGCTCGAGTTGCGGGAATGTGTCGAGCTGGGGGAATGTCCATCGTCGCTGTTGTCCTTGGGTATGCTGATACTCGTGTACCTGCGGCGCTTGACACGGATCGTAGGCGTCTTACGCGGCTTGGGCTGCAGGCCACGCCTGACGTCGGGGTCTTCGGGATTGTCCAGACCATTCTGCACGCGGAACCGGCGGCTCTCGAGCCACTGGTCGCAGTCGCAGCGCTCCTCGCCCTCGTACCTCACGTGGACGCAGTTGCGCACTGTATTCGGCATCTCGGCAGCAGAGAGCAGGGCATACCGCGGCGGAACGACGTCGGGGGCAAGCTGCACCTCGGCCTTCTCGAACGGATTGCTGCGCGGCCTGGGCTGCAGTGCCTCAAATGTGCCGGGCTGCGTTGCGTCGTCGAGTCCCGCCACCAGGCGCCAGTGCCGGGACTCGGTCCACTCATCGCATGCGCAACGGCCAGAATCAGGCTCGGGCGTGTGCGTGCAGAAGCGCACTTCATAGGGTTCTTCGGATGAGGGCAGAAGCGCATACTTTGGGTACTCTTCTGAGGGGAAGAGGAACTGAGGTTGAGGGAGAGGGTCCTCGAGCTTCTCATGCCCCGAATCCTGGAGGCGCAGACGGCGCCGGAACGGAGAGCACAGGCTGAAGGTGTTGCCCATGTTCGATGTCAGCGGCTCGTTTCGAGGATTGGCGGGTGGATGTCGCTGATATCGTCGCGTAGTCGAAGTTCGGAGCAACGAGACGGTCGTGCGGCAGTGAGTAGTGAGGAAGGGGGGGGGAGAAAGGGGGCTCAAAGTACATATACCCAAGTTGCGTTCTCACGTCAGCTGACTGTCGTCGCTGCGCGCGCGCTCGCTGGCGAGCAGGGCCTGAGCCTGTCCCCAGGATGCTTAACCTCGGGCGAGCAACGCACCCAACCCAGCAACCCAAACTCTGCTCATTCACGAGCGAAACCCCACTGCAACCCAGTCCTTGACTGTGTCTCAAGACTGCCTCACACGGTGTGCCTAAACCGGCCGACTCAGCCAGAACCGTAAATGCGCCGTAAAGAGTGCCTGGGGTCGCATTCAGCAAGCCCACTAGCGCCGGCCCACCGCTGAAGGCTCCATAGTTCTCAGCATGTGCCTGACGTAACCATTGTATTGTTTACAGCTCAAAGCCGGAATATGAAAGAATCGGGGGGCTTCAGTAGTTGGAGCCGCTCATGCGAACGGAAGGCGGTGAGGAGCCGGTGACAGGCCCGGCAGCAGGCCCGGTTGCCCGGCAGCGCACCGGATCCCCGGTCCTGGGTCCTGGTACCCAAGCCATAAGAATCGGGAGCGGAAGGTGGCGGTGGTGGAGTTGACCGAGAGAGAGCATGAGGCGCTAGTTTGGGAATCTCGTCGGCAGCGAGGCATCTCAGAGATCCTGGGACGCCTGGGAGTTCTCACACTCATATCTGGTCGCCGCCGACCCTGTCCTTGATCTCTTGGCCGCAAGGTCACGGGGCAGGCGCGCCACGAGCGCGACGCCTCTTGAGCATGGGACAGATGAAAAACAGTCGCATGCATTCATGCACCTCCGACTCGTACAATATGCTACATCGAGTAAATAAAGAACAGCTGCAGAAGGTGTCAGCGTTACATTCCCTTTTTCCACAATCCATAACGCCATGACGTATAGTGCCCAGCCTGCATGAGGTCGCCGCGAGACTGTCTCGGCTACCTTGCAAACCATGCACAAGATACTACTCACCACCCATGAGATAATGACCATGGTCACGTACTGCAACCCTACAACCCAGGTAACGGGTTTCTTGATGCGGTATCCGGGGGCATCAACGCCGGCCTCCTCGCGCTCCGCGTCATACTTGAGCCGCTGCTTCTCGTTCATCCGCAGGGTATGCCCGAGCAGCTTGCCGTCGAGGAAGTCGAACAGCGGGCCCTCGAGGATCTGCCAGCTCTTGATCGCGATCAAGACGTAGATCACACGATCATAGGTCTGACCAGGTGTTGCGTCTTGCTGGTACGTTAGCTGATCCGTTGACTAATGGAAAAGCTTGGAAGCGGTCTCAACACTCACAATAGCACCACATGACACCTCCAGGATAACGTTGTTGCAGGCAATGAAGCCAGACCACAGCCCATACGCCGTTCCGATCAGTGTAGGATCAGGGACAAGGATTGGGAACGAGCTGATCCACGGCAGGACGTTGAGCGAGAGCGCGAAGGAGGCAAGCAGGATCGGCGCGACAGCGTTCACCTTGGTCAAGCCGATAAGCGCAAACGCGACGACGTACGTGGCGGCCCCGAGGGAGACTGGGGTCAGCTGTGCCTCCCAACCTTCAGCTGCTCAAACGTACCAAAGGGCATGCGCCAGCCGACCTTGTCGAAGAACACGCCGAGGAGCGGCACGACGACAATGACGACAACGTTCAGCAGCGCCGAGTAGTATCCGCCGGTCAGCGCCGTCGTGCCGCGCGTGCGCTCCTGAATGTCGGTCAGGTTTGACGAGTACACGGTGCGCGCCGAGTTCTGGAATATGTGCGCACCCGCCATGATCAGGTAGAAGGAAGGCCTGTTGTCAGCTTCTCCAAAACATGAGGTCAGCTCACAGTCGCAGTACGCTGAGGACGCTCATCTGGAGGCGGCCCCACATGCCGTCCTTGTGCGTGTGCTCTCCGGCAGCCTTGCGTTTCTGCTCAAGCTCGTATCCCGTCACCGGCCGGAACTCCTTGGGGAGGTACTTCTGCTCGAAGATCGTGTACGCGATCACGAGCAGCGTGCACGCCGCAATTACGAAGACGGGGATCCATAGCGCCCACCCATACCATCCCCCGAGGTGGGACATGGGCACAGCGCTGACTCTGGCGATGACGACGGTCGCACTGCCCCACGCCAGGTCGAGGGCGATCACGGTCGCGAGCCACCGTCCGTTGAACCAGTGCGCATACAGCTTCGACTGCGCACCTTCGAGCACGATCGAGCCGAGACCCATCACGATCCGTCCACCAATCAGCAGTGTGTAGTTGTTCGTGCTCGCAGCGCCAGCCGCGATGGCACTGCCGAGGATACAGAAGAAGCACGACCCGAGCGCCGCACTGCGGTCAGCTACCATCTTCCGAAGCAGCTTACTAGTGCGTCCCATAGTAGTCCATGATCGTGCCGCCGATCAGCGGCAGAACGGTGTTCACCAGGTTGCTCGCTGTCGAGATCGAGGCGAACTGGGCATCTGGGGTGAGCGTATGCACATGGGATTGCAAGGCTCTATTCGACACTACTTAGCGCCACAGCTTAGCGAGCAAGATGTGCGCACATGTGCGCATGTGTAGAAGTGCCGGCGTTAGCAGCGTGACGGCTTACGTGCAGCGCTGCACTTCCTTCGGCCGAAGCAGACAATCACTCCGATCCAATTGCGGGTGGCAGGTCGACTCACTGTTGATGTGAAGCTCCTTGACAAAGGTGCTCTTGAGCGGTCCGAGAGTGGACTCTGCGAACGCCGCCCCGGTCGTGTAGAAGAGGATGGTGACGAGGGCCACCAGGCGGTACTTCATTGGAATGTCGAGGGGCGCAAACGGCGTCAAATCCTTCGCTCTCGTCTGCGGGGAGGCGAGCTTGTCATCGTCGTCGTCTTCTGGCTGCTCTGTCGGGTCGAGTGCAGCGTAGGACGACGGCTTGCGGTATGTCAGGTTGGCGGTCTCGGGGTGCAGCGCCGGCATCTTCTCCACCTTGCCCTTCTCGAGTTCGACTTTCTCAGTGTCGCCGGACATGGTGAACAGTGTCGAGTCGAAGCCGATGTTGCAGGGGAGTGGGGGAGGGGGAGGGGTAGCGCACGGTCACGGTGTGCTGGTGTGCCGTGGATCGAAGGATCGGTGGTGTGCTCGAGTAGCTTTTGCTAGCATGGATGGGAGACTAGCGTGAGTAGCGGTTTTATCAGAATCGGTGATGCTGGTGATCGGTAGCTTCGGTAGTTCGGCGGGAGATGAGCCGATCGACTTTTCCGCTGGCCGCCGTTGTGCTGCTGCGAGAGCGCTGTCTGGAACCTGAACCAGTTGCATGATGTGCCTTAGACGTTTGCATGCCTCGCACTTCTGCTTGGCGCCGCGAAAGCAGCCCGTGTTATGCTTCGACGAGATAATGCGATTGAACTTGCCTTCTTGATGAGGATTATGCGGGCTCCTGTTGGCCGAGAGGTAGGAGGGGGTGTCACTTTCATGATTCATGGCGTCGAACGCCCGCCCGGTCTTGGCACGGTCCACTGCCAGGAGGACCTGAGAGGTCATCAGGCGGCGGTCAGTCGTTCGACCACTCGGCGCCCATCTGTGAGAATTGTTGTAACGTTTCAGGTTCAGGTTCGCAGTCAGCCTGCTCCTGAGTCCGACAGTTCATGAGGAACGCACTCTGCACCGGCCAGAGTTGTGCCCAGCGGCGTTCTCGAACTCGCACAGTCTAGCTCAGGCGTCACCGTGTGCTCAACAATGCGGGCAGAACGTCTAGGGTGCGAAGAGTGCGCTCAGCGAAGCAGAGGACGCCCGTGGTGGCTGATCAGGGGCCCAACCCCGGTCTCGGATATTGATAGTGATAAGCACGGCTAAGCGGACACATCTGCTCTCTCCGCAACCGCCCTTACGTAACGCTCACGTGACTTGAAAAGGTCCGGCTCGATCAGTGGAGGTCGTCCAACGACGGTAGCAGCCGGCCAACGGCGTCAACGAGAGCGTCTGGCTCGACTGCAACACACAGCACAAACCCACGGACATGTCTCTCACCCGCGCCGTCGCGTCGGGCAGTGCGCGGAATGCGCTCCGCGCTCTCCCAGCAGCGTCGTCGTCCTCTGCACGAACACTCACAACGTCGGCCCGGAGACTCGAGGAGAAGAAGCCCGCGAAGAAGGAGAAGCGCAAGTCGAACCGCATCTACGACAAGGGCACGTTCAACTTTAACACGTCGCTGAACTTTGTGGCGGACAGGGATCCGGACGTGAGTGTTGTCGGAGCGGCCGGTAGGGCTTTGTGGAGCTCTCTTGTTGTGTGTAGATCTAACGGCAGTCGGGCAACTACAGGACCGTGACGGCCGCCGAGGTCGCGCACTACCGCGAGCCGCCGACGCGAGTCAAGATGCTCGTGCGAGACTTCATCGATGATTCTCTGTACAACGTGAGTAATCCCCAAGCTCTCACGACCCCCTAGCGAGCTAATGTCAGCCGCAATACGGCTACTTCTCGAAGAACGTCAAGATCTTCACGCCGCCGACAGCGGACGGCTTCCCCTTCCCCGAGTTCCGGAACGAGGCCGCGTTCCAGGAAGCCGTGGCACAGCGCTACATCGACGCGTACGGGGAGGACACGGACAGCGTCGGGCGGCAGGTGTGGCACACGCCGACAGAGCTGTTCAAGCCGTACTATGCGCGCGCGCTCGCATCAGCAATCGTGCAGAGCTACAAGAAGACGGACTGGCCGCACAACGACCTGGTGATCTACGAGGTCGGTGCGGGCAACGGCTCCTTCATGCTCGACTGCCTGCGCTGGATCAGGGCCGAGCATCCCGAGATCTTCCGCCGAACGCAGTACCGCATCATTGAGATCTCGGCGATGCTGAGCAAGCAGCAGCGGGCGCGCGCCGAGGCGGCCGGGCTCGGGGATCACGTCGAGGTGATCAACAAGGACTTCTTCGAGTGGACGGTGAACAGCAGCGACCCCTGCTTTGTCGTCGCGCTCGAGGTGTTTGACAATCTCGCCCACGACATGATCCGGTACGACATGGCGACGCTCGAGCCGATGCAGGCGTTCGTCGCCATCGACGCGCACGGCGACTACTCGCTCCTGTACGAGCCGCTGAACGACCCGCTCCTCCGCCGCGTGCTCGCGTATAGGCGGCTGCTCCCGCCGAGTGCGGCCACGCAGCCGCCCCTGGCCAAGCCGCTCCTGGCCAGCGGCACGCTGCGCAGCGTCTACGCCAACATGCCCTTTGCGCCGAATCTCTCCCCGACGCCCGACTTTATCCCGACCAAGGCCGTCGCCTTCCTGGAGCGCCTGAGGGATCAGCTGCCAGCGCACCGCCTGCTCGTGGCAGACTTCTCGAGCCTCCCCGACGCGGTGCCCGGACGCAACGGCCCCGTCGTCCAGACACGGTACAAGGACAGCATGGTGCCGTGCGAGACCTTCCTCGTGCAGCAGGGCTACTTTGACATCTTCTTCCCGACCGACTTTGACCTGCTCCGCGACACTTACTCGCTCATCATGAACTCGCCCGCGAGGGGGGGCCAGCCCCGGCCAAAGGGCAAGAAGGCGGCGCAGGCGCTCGGAGACGACTTCTTCACCTCGCGAGGTGTCCAGGGATTCCGCCGCCGCAAAGTTAATGTCTACTCCCAGGCTGACTTTGTGCGCGAGTTCGGAGGCGAGAAGGTCCTCGGCCCGACGAGGATGCGCGACGGCCTCAGCCCCATGCTGACCATGTACGAGAACGCCAAGATCATGTTTTGATTCAACTGTTCATCACTTAGGCGCCTACCATAGACTGTGTGTGTGCGATGCCACGCATGAAAATAAGAAACAGATTAAGAAAGACTAATACCAAATATTAAGGCGGTCATGAACGGGCCCGCTCCCTTGCGAGCTGCCTGAAGAAACGCTTACAACAACACGACGGCATTTACACTGCTGCGACCGGCGCTGGCCGGCGGTTCGGGTGTTTGCACTACCTTCGCCGGCCCCGGCATATTCTTGGCCGCACTCCCACGGCCCTGCACAAGGAGCACAGGTCAGGCGTCGGAGCGCATGCCGCGGCGGCGGATGCCGACGACGACGGGCTCGCGCGCCGAGCTTCGTCCGGCTTTGACCGCACTACCGGCCAGCTCGAAGTCTCGGTCGTCGTAGATGTCGGCGACGGGGACGTAGCGTCCGTGGAACGTGCGGATCTCGGGAGAGCGGGGTTGGCGCGGACTGCCGGCTGCCGCGACAGAGCGCTCGACAGCGGCAGAGGCGTCGATCGAATCTGGTGAAGACGTCGAAGAATGAGAGTGCGAGTGGTGTTTTTTCGTCTTGTGGCGGCGGGTCTTGCGTTTCGGGCTCTTGCGCGTCAGAAGCAGGTCGAGCGAGTACTGCCCGATCCAGCCTGCGGACATGCCGAGGAAGCAGCCGAGACCCAGGACACCGCCGACGAAAACGTAGACGGGGTACAGCGCCTGGAAGAGGCCTTGCACCACCTGCAGCGGGGCAACGATGAAGGTGCGCGAAAGCAGGCGCGTCGTCGATGTTAGCGGGTAGATGATTGTGCCGACGACCGACATGATCAAGGTCAACGCTTGATTCAGGAACGGAAGCGGGATGACGGCCAGCGTCAGGAGGAAGTAGAAGGGATACAGGATCGACTGGAGGACGGTGCGCCATGTCGAGGACGACGCCGACGCCGCCGCCGCCTCCATGTCGCGGATCGGGGAAGGAATGTGGGGCAGCGCGTACGGAAATTGGTACGGCTGCTGCTGTGAGGCAGAGTGCTCCACAGCAAGGCCCTGCTGGCCGCGCAGCGGCGAGGTGGAGGGTAGATGGGACAGGATCTCGTTTTCGTCGGAACGAGTAAGGATTTGCCACACAAGGTAGAAGAAAACGACATAAACTGATGTCAGCTCCAGATATTCGGCGAGCTCACGGATGACGACGAAAGGGCTCATGGGCTGCTCGTCCTGGCGCCTCTTCATGTCTGCCTCTTCATCCTCGGGCCACATTTCGTCGCTCATCATCGTATCCGAGCTCAGATACGAGACGCGCTCAACGAAGCGAGGGCGTGCCGGCGGCGACATGTTCGGCGCGTAGCCTCCCGAATGCTTGCGATTCATCGGTGGCAACGGTGGCGACTCGAGCCCTGCGTCGGCATGGCGATGATGGTGGCGGCGGGACCTTGAATGCTCTTTGTCGCGCTCCTTTTCTCGGGAACGCTCATGGGGCACTGGGTCGATCAGTGGGGATCCTTCAGAGCGCGGAGAGCGCAGCTGGTTGCCCGTTCCGGCTTGCTGCGGGCCGTTGTCGCGCTGCGCTCCACAGCTCACTCACTGTTTGAGTGAAAGCGTGTGTGTGCTTGAAGTGAAAGTAATGTGAACAGGAATGATGGAGAAGAGGACACACGGAGGAAGGAATTCACGCGTTGTCTGGAGCGCGGGTGGGTGGCGCGCAGAGCTCAGCTGGGCAGAGATCAAAACTAGTTACCGGATGCAACTGTAGTGCCGCCGGGCGCCTGCCTTGTCGCGCGACGTGACGAGAACTTGGCCGGCGCGCGCAGCGGAGTACCTAGCGTGAAACAGTGTTCGCAAAATCTCGAGTTAGCACTGCACAGGTGTGTCTCCTGGAGCATCCGATGAGACGAAGAGAAGAGCAACGATGCAATGCCAACTCAGTAACGCGGCAGAGATGTGCAGGTGAGATCTCAGACGTCACCGAGTGTGCATGCTCCATCATAGCTCGTCGTCACCAGGGTCCTAGTGTGAAGTATGATTCATTTGATCGGGCATTAGGTTGCGCCCATTAACCCATTACGGCCGCATTAGCATTCCAATCTGTCACTTGCCCGCGGCAAGAAGCGGCCCGATGATGTGTGTTGACGCGGTCAGTGCTTCATGGTCAGTGCGTGGCCGTTGCGTGGCTAAGAGGGTGGCATCGATAAAGGGAGCATCGGAGCGCGTCGGCTTTGCAGTTCCTGCCTGCGGCGAATGGGTCCATAGGATAAACCAAGCTCATATCTGATAAGCCGCCCGCCTGCTTCAGGTGCGGGCAGCACAGGGGCCACGAGACCCTGCACTCGAAAATACGACCAGCCAGCCCTCGGCCCAGCCAGCGCCGATGTGTGACGGACGGGTGACATCGCGGCGTGGGCCCATATCCCAGCGTGCGATCGTCGCATCTTCTCTCTCCTCATCATCACTCCCAGCCGTGGTCAACATGGCTTCACCCTACGAACGTCTGTCAAGCGGTGTCGACACCGACGCCGAGTCGGGTCGCATGAGGAAGGACAAGTCTAGGTGAGTCACAACTTTGGTGTGTGTGTTTGGGCTTGCTACCCCACACACTCAGCCCTCCCCACACTAGACTAGACTTAGCTAACGTCAGATCATCCCCAGTCCTTTTCGCATGGTCCGTACTAGCCCGGATGCCGTCGCCACCTGTACTGACGCTAGCAGTGTTGCCCTCGCCGCCATCGCCTACTCCCTCGATGGGATGACGGCGCCGCAACTCCTCCCCTATGCGTGAGTCTGCCTTCCCTCCTCCACTCGGGGTTGTCCGTCCGCTAACATCAGCACATCATCTGTCGGACAGCACGCCTCGACAGGAACACTCGCAACTGCGCAAGCGCTTGTCATTGCGGTGGGCAAGCCCGTTGTCGCCGCCGTCGTCGAACGGTTTGTTGAAAGCAGCATACGCAAAACTGACAGCTCAGATTAGGACATGGCATGACCTTCCTGCTCGTTGGCGGCACATATCTGCTCGGATACGCTCTCGTCGGCACCGCTTCAAGCTTCCCGCCGATTTACGCCGGTAGCGTGATCTACGCCGCAGGCTACACCGCCCTCCAGATCCTGCTCGCATTGCTCGTCGCTGATGCGACGTCTCTTCGATACCGCGGACTCAGCAATGCCCTCCTCGCGGCACCATTTCTGATCAATGTCGCGGCCAGCGCCCAGTTGCTCGGCTGGGTCCTCCCCGACTGGAGGAAGGGATACGCCATCCTCGCCGTGCTCGTGCCGCTGTCGCTCCTCCCCGTCGCGCTCGTGCTGAAGCGCAACCCTACACCGAGTGCGCGGGAACAGCGTGAGAAGAAGGACATGGACTGGATCGGGATCTTCCTCGGCGGCATTGGTCTCACGTTATTGCTCCTCACGCCGTTCCACTTCTTCGGCCTCGTGATGTGTGCCATCTTTGTATGGCACGAGGTGACCGCGCCTAACCCGCTCGTCCCGATCGCTCTGCTCAAGAACCCACCAGTGCTGGCAGCAGCCTTGATCGGAGCGGTCGACTTTGCGTCTTTCTACCTCCAGTTCGTGTATCTATACCCCTTCCTCCTAGTGGTCACGGACTGGTCTCCCCGCCGTGCAACATACGCACTGTACACGCACGCCTTTGCCATCACCGTCTTTGGTGTCTTGGCAGGTGCAGTCTTGCACTCGACGCGGCGCTTCAAGCCCACGCTGCTTTCGGGCCTCATCATCCGTCTCCTCGGAGTCCTGATGATGTTCCCCGCCGTGCGCGGCCCCATCTGCGCAGGCATTCTCATCGCCGCGCAGGTCCTGCAAGGCTGGGGCGGCGGCTTTGCCTCCATCGCCTCGCAGGTCTCGGCCCAGGCCTCGACGACGGACGTCGCGGGCGCCACGGCGTTCGTGCTCCTCGCCGCCGAGCTGGGCAATTGTCTCGGCTCCGCGGCCGCGACCTCGGTGTGGAACCGGCGGCTGCCCAAGGCGCTGTCCGAATTCGTCCCCGGTGCGGATATGAACCGGACGCTCGTCGAGGAGCTCTTCGGCAGTGTCTCTGCCATTCTCGAGCTCGACGCGGCCGACCCCGTCCGTCAGGGTGCTGCCGAGGCGTACGAGGCCGTCATGACGCGGCTGCTGTGCTACGCGGCGTTGCTGGCCGTGATCCCGCCCTTGTTGTGCATCTTCATGACGCGCGACGTGCGGCTCGGCGATAGCGTCGAGGGCGCAGAGGAAGGGGAGGAGTTTCGCGATGAGCGCGAGCAGCGCGAGCGGCGATTCCGTGAGGAGTTTCGAAGGAGAGAGTTTAGGGGTGTCTTCGACGAGGTGAATGAGCGCACACCCCTCGTGAGTCCCGCCACCTCGCGACCGGCGACCAGACCAGCCTCGCCTAGCTAGTACCTGGGTTCTGTGAATATGAGCACGGTCAGCATTGACGACCTCGCAAGGCTCGACCTATCTCCGAGGCATCAACAGCACAGCAGCGCGCCCAACCTCCTTTTGCCGGAGCTCTACCTCCCAGCCCGAGTCGCCTCGGCGCCGCAATAACATCTTAGATCTTTCTGTACCCATAGTTGTGTTCCTAGCATACATCCTTTGCATTGTCTGTACCCTCGTCATCGCCATCAATACGCATTCCTAGCTACTGATATATCCACACAGAAAAGAGGAGAGAGAAAAAAGAGTCACTCGCCCACACCGGGGCCGTTAATCCAAAGAGAGAAGTCGACTGAATTTGGGAACTAGGAGATAAATACAAGAGGCCTGCTGTGCCTCACTTAGTGTACGCGGCGACCAGCGCCGGCTGGCTCACGCCTTATTCGAGTCGAGCAGCACGAGGTCCTCGAGCCGCTGCTCGAGTCCACGTCCCAGGCCCTCGCGGCTCCACTCTCCCTCGAGCTGCGGCTGGGGGCTGAGACTGTCGCGATTCGGCATGCTGGGGCTCGTCGCGACGCTGGCGCTGGCGCCGGCGCCGCTCGCGCCAATGACGGGGGAGCGCGTGGGGTTCCCGGCCACAATAGGGGGCGGGGACAGCGTGCCCGGCAATCCGGGCAGATGGTCGGGGGAGAGGTTGCCGCTAGCAATCTCGCCGAGCGAGGCGACGCTCGTGGGCACGCCGAGGAGGAGGTCGTTGTACGAGATGAACGAGATGCGGCGCTTCTCCTTTGCCGTCGCTGTGCCTGCCGCCGTGTTGCTCGTCGTTGGGGTGAGGAGCGCGCCGGGCGCCGCCGCTTGATGAGACGGGGGGCTGTTCGGTGCCGTTGCCGGAGGGGCCGGCGCCTCCTTCACCGCCGTCGCGCCCTCGGCGTCCTCGTCCGTGAATGCCCAGCCGCCGGGGAGCTGGGGGCCAGACGACATCTTGCGCAATGGCGCGGGGCGGTGCTTCGTTGGCGAGGTCGAGTTGCTGAGCGACTCGATCGGCTCGATCGGGCTGATCGGAGACAGGGGCTGGTCCGGGCTCGCGACCGAGCTGTTCGATAATGTGGGCACGGAGCCGGCGATGGACGTGCCGCCGCCAACGTTCTGGAGCTGCGTCGAGAGAGCGGCGAGGATCGGGGGCGAGTTTAAGAGCGGGTTGTTGCGTTCCGGGCTCGGAGAGCGGGAGGCACGCGGACGCTCCATGCTCATAACGCGCGAACGGGTCTGAGGCGACAGCTGCGCAGAGGGCGAGCGAGAACCGAGCATGTGGCTCGAGACGCTCGGCGCCTCAATCTCGAACGCGTTCAGGTTGATCTCGCCCGGCGCATTCGTGAGCGCCTCGACCGCATCGTCGAGCACGGCGGGAACAGACTGCTCGAGCTGCGAGCCGTGCGGGTGGAATATCCGCGACGCCTTCGAGCTCAGCGTCTGAGAGCCGAGGGGGAGCTCAATGTCGCGCTCAAAGATTGCAGAGCCGCTCGAGTGGATACTCGCCGGCGAGCCGGGGCGGCTCAGGTGAGGGTGTCCGGCATGCGGGTGGTGCAGAGCGTGCGGGTATCCGTGGCCAAGGGCGTGCGAACTCGATGAGTTCTTCAGGGGCGACGCCGGCGCGTGCACGCTCAGAGTTGTACCGGCCGATGCGCTGCGGGCCGTCGGCGCGACGAGTGGAGGAGGGCTGGTGCTATCTCCCCGCTGCGGACGACAGGGCGATGACGCACGAGAAGACAACGGCGAGCGGGCACCAGCACCGCGCTGCGGCGTGCGCGACGTGCGCCTGAACGATGGCTCAGGCTCACGCGGGTCGGCTCCGGGCGGAGGCGGGGGGAGGTCGACGGGGGCTGGGGTTAGCTTCATCCTGCGATACCGGTAGGCGTATGCGAGCCTTGGCGGCAAAGGGGAGATCATGGCGGCCATGACGAAGTGAGATTTCGCGGCGAATGTGGGAAGGATGGAACGAGGTTAAGTACTCACCGAGCTTGGCGCCAGCTGGAATGATGGTCATGGCTGGTGGAGATCGGTTCAGAGTCTTGTGACTGTCGCTAGCGGCGCTGCTGTCACGAGTTCACGAGTCTCGAGCGAGGCGTGCAAGGCGGCGGCGAGGCTGGCTTGGGGCGTGCCGGCGAAGGACTAGTGTGATCTGGTGATCTGAGACTCTTGGAATGATACGAGCGAAGCGGCGGAGCGGCTTATGCTTCTGCTCTGCCGTTTCTTCTTCTGATAAGCCAAACGTCAACGAGAAGCGTGCGGGCAGCGCGGGGTCGGTGGATGCGTAACGAGCGTCGCCGAAAGGAAGGTGGTGAGGGGATGAGTGATAAGAGTCGGGGGGTGGTGACAGACTCTGTAGGTGGTGACGCGACGTGTGTGGTGGAGAAGGGGTGGTGAGATAGAATTGGAGTGTGAGATGATGGTGATCAACGTCGACGAGGGAGAGTTTGCGCTATCACACGGAAACGCAGGTACGGGGCTACGTGAGCATCTGGGAGTCCCGGATGTTCGAGGAGTGAATGGGTGATTGACTGGGCCAGGAGAGCCAGGAGAGCCAGGGGGAGGGGAGTAAGGGGCCAGTCGATTACGGGGCCACGGCAACTGCGGTTCACGGGTTCACGGCTCGGGTGACGGGTCAAAGAATACCTCGCATGCGTACCAGGCCGGTCCAGACAGAAGCCTCTCTCACCCTCTTCCTGCAGGGTTTCCCAATCCCCCGATGGGCTCAAGCTCTGCAGACTCCGGACACTCTGACGAACACGGCACTGGTCTGCTCTCCAAAAGGCACACAACGTTCCACAGCCTCACCTCCATGCAGCACACAAATTCATGGGACGTAGTCACTCCTGCACGCCAAGACGTGGGCTGCTCTTGCGCTCTCGCAATACTAAGCCGTCTATCAATCTAAGGCGGCGGCAGGCCCCAGCCCAGGCCGCTTGAGTGATCCAGTGAGACGCCTCGATGAGACCATGAATGGCATCATGCGGCAAAGCGTGGTGCAGCACCGCACGTGATGAAACGCACCGGCACCGGCGTCGTACGTCGCTGCCCGTTCGCCTGTCGTTTCGGAACCGGAAACGGTGTGAGCATGCGAGCGCGGCTGCAGCGCACTAGCGAGGGGCCGAGGAGGACCGGAGGACCAGGAGAAGCATGCGGGGCAGCTCTCGACGGCTGTGCAACACTTACAGCGCTGCCGCCCGCGCCCGTGTGTCTGTGAGCCTGGCTAGCCTGGAGGCCTTGGAGCCCGTAGGCCGCAGGCTGCCGCAGCCGTGTACCGCAGGGCTCAAGCTCACTCGCATGCTTTGCACCCGGGCATACAGTGATCACCAGATCATCAGATCACAGCCCATTCAAACCAGGGCGGGTCGAATAAAATCAACCACGCAGAACCCATGCGAGAAGCACGTTGCAATATTTCGCGATTTCAAGATTGCCCTTGGACTACTGCCGGAACTCTTGTGAGCTACAACTGGCCGACTTTTGCTGAGCCGCCGTTGAGCATCTTGAAAACAACGACTCACTAGACCACACAACCCGACAACATGCCCAACATTCTTACCGGCGTTGTCACGAAGACGGGGGCTATGGCCAAGACGATCACTGTCACTGTGCGTTCACTCCACTCTCTTTCCGACCTTCCCTCGCCTGTTCTCTCCCGGCTGGAACGCAAATCTCGAGGTCGATCACCATCTTCCCCGAGAAAGGCCGCCTCGACTCTGCATGAACCTTCGACGCTGCTGAGTCTGCATCACGCATGCAGTAGCGTCGCTGTCCTCGTAACCAGTGTCTCCTGTGTCATTCCTTCGAGCTGCCTTACGACCAGTTGAGCTAACATTCAGATCGGCAGCAAGCGTCCGCACCCCAAGCTCCTCAAGATGATGTTCAAGACGCACAAGATGCTCGTCCACGACGAGGAGGAGAGTGAGTATTGCAAGCAGGGTCGTCCAGTGGGCGGAGCTCTTGCAGCTTGACTGTCACTCAAGAGTTGCGACCCTTCATCAGCCCAGTTACCGCTGATGTACCATCGAGCACAGCTGACACTTTACCAGAGGGCCGTGTCGGCGACCATGTCACGATCATCCACGGACGGCCAATCTCGAAGCGCAAGCACTTCACGCTGCGCTCGATCGACTTCCGCCCCGAGCTCGAGCACATCCCGGCCGCGCCGGAGATCGAGCGCATCTCGCGCAGGGCGAACGGCATCATGGAGCAGATGAGGAGAGAGAAGGCCAAGCTCGACGCCACCAAGGCCGCCGAGGCCGAGGCTGAGGCCAAGACGACGGCGCAGTAAGGGTGATTTCTAGACACGAGACAGTTACAGAGAGCATGGCATATCATTCACATTTCTGATCACAGTGCAGGTATCAATGCCAGGGGTAATGTACAGTTGCGGATTCTGACCCAGCGCTCAGCCGTACTGCGGCTTTGCGACCTTCTCGAACACAAACAGGACTCGTCCGCCGTGTCCTTGATCCGCGAGCTCCCGCAGGTCATACGTCTCGATCGCGTTTCCGGACTCAGTCGAGTCGGCGCGGCGTTTGCGACCGGCAGAGGCGACGCTGCCCTCCCGCGATGCCCCGTTCTCAACCTTGACACGCAGTGAAGGGCGGGGCGGGTCCTCATCGTCGCTGACGTCGGTGATATCGCCCTCGACTTTGACAATCGGCGGTAAGTCGCGTCCGCCATCCTCGTCCTCGTTGAAACTGTCGTTGGCGCCGTCGTTGTCCGCGATGATCGGCTCCGTGTCGCTGCCTTCCGAGTCACTGATAACACGACGAGTCTTCTTACGGGGAGGGGGATCATCCGCCGCATCGCCGTTAGCGGGAATGGTCACGCTCGGGATGATCTTGGGCAGAGCCGTGGCTCGCTCGCTGAGATCGTTGTGCAGCAGCGTGTCTTTTAGGTGCTTGAAACACTGATAGTCCAGCGCGTTGACGTGCGACCACTCCTTGAGCGCGGCAAGCTTCGCCCTCTGGGCTCGTGCCTCCTGCATCGTCAGCTTGGTCCTTGATATCGATACTCACCTTGCGCCGCTCACTCGCGCCGTCGTACTGACTCGCCATGACGAAGGACCTCTCCATGGGATCATCATCGCTGTCCTCGGAGTCCTCGGCCATGATGGTGCTCGCAGAGTCGCGTCTCTGTTCGACGGTGCCCTTCCCCTGACAGTTACACTCGAGCAGGTCATCTGCGAGTGTCAGTTTGCTACCAATCAGCGAGAAACATACGAGTTTGACACCCGCCCGTCAATGTCCGGAAGGTGAAGATGTCACGGAGCTCCTCAGTTGAGAACGCTTGAGTCAGTGAAATCCGACATGTCAACGTACAGTCCTTCGAATCTTTCCCGCCGGTCGCGACACCCTGGCCCATCATCTGCTCCGACAGTCCCACCTTCGTCAGCTGTCGCTGGTAGATCTTCTCGTCGATCGTGTTCGCGGTAAGCAGACGATAGATGTACACCTGCTTCTTCTGGCCATCACTGGTCGTTAGAAGGAGTCTCACTCGAACAATTTACCGGTGGATGCGACCCATGGCCTGCAGATCGTGTGCTGGGTTCCTTTCCGTCAACTCTCGCATGAGGAGCTACTTACCAATCGCTGTCGAAGAGCACGAGCCTCGAGGCTCCGATCAGGTTGATGCCGGCTCCGCCCGCCTTGGTGCTCAGCAGAAATACCATGCTGGCTAATCTGGACTCCCGGTTGAATGAGTCAACAAGCTCCTGGCGCTGCTTCTGCGGTGTGCTGCCATCGAGACGCCTTGCCCGGTATTTGCGCATATTGCAGAGCTCCTCAATCATGTCCAAGGTCGCGGTCCAGCTTGATACCACGACTACCTTCTCATCTCGCGTGGCATGCACGAGCTTCAAAATCCGGTCAAGAGCCATCAGCTTGCCTACCGCGTCAGTCAACACCTGTGCAGCGCACTCACCGCTCAGCGAGATGTCGAGCTTGCGGCTCCTAGGAACCGTTGAGAGGGCAACGCTCATGTTCAGCTCAGACTCGTCTAAATCCTCCTCGTCGTCCTTCTTGCTATGAAGGAGCTGTAACGTTTAGCTTCTTCACGCGCCACAGCTTTCTTACCGCTGGTGAGTTCGCAACCTTCTTCAGAGCAGCAACTGCAGCGTCAGTCAACCTCAGTACTACAACACTCACTCATTGGGAGGAACTGGCGTATCATAGTTCCCATCTTCGCACTACCGAGGAGTTTGTGGTACACTTCTAGCTGGGCTTGTGTGGGAGCGACGAAGACCACGTACTCAGTTTTCGTGGGCAGGTAATTGGTGAGAACGTCAGCAGTACGACGGAGAAGGAACTCGAGGGAGAGGTCCCTCAACTGCGGTCAGCTCATGGTCCACACACAGCTGACCTACCTCTTTGGACAGTAGTCTGCCCTTCTCCGCGACCGCCTGTGTGCAGCTTGTCGCGCGAGCTCTGACGATCGGGTTCTCGTACTGTTTTTGGAACTGAGAGTACGTTCCCATGATGCCTGGGCAAACGAAGTTCGCCATGGCCCAGTACTCGCCGAGGTCGTTCTGGACTGGAGTGCCGGACAAAACTGTCGTCAGCACCCCATTTGATGTGCGAGGCTCACTGATCCGCCGGCTCGTGTGAAGCTCATCAAACATCCGTGAAGTCTTGCTGCCGCCAGACTTCTTTAGGCGATGTCCTTCATCGCACACGATGAGGTCGATCTTGGGCTGACAGGCTTGGAGTTGTTTGCTGGAACGTCAGTGGCGAGGAGCCTCAGTAGGACGTACATCTCATTGCGAAGCTGTATGGGGTCAGCGCGGTCAAGCCTCTCCACTCACCCTCTCATAGCTGATGATCAGAACATGGACGCCACGATTGTGTGTCTGCTGTTAGCAAAGCTGTTTTCGTCTGTACCTACAAAGTTAGTGATCTTTGCGTCGTTCTTCTCGTCCATGGCTAATACTCTGAATGCTGGCCCTGCCCTAATGGTCAGTGGCTTCCATGGTTTTGCTCACCATTTTGTGAACTCCTTCTTCCAGTTGTTGATCAGAGTGGCTGGACAGACTACGAGCGCTCGACCGATCCTGCAGCGTCAGCTATTACGGCAAGGTCGCCACGAACACTTGGCTCTCATTGAGGAACGGAGACTGCCCTGATCCGTCAGCTGATAACGCCATTATTGAAGCTTACTGCACAGCGTGTGTATCAGCGCGATGGTCTGCAGTGTCTTGCCGAGACCCATTTCGTCCGCGAGAATGCAGCCGTTCGCTCCCGATCCAGTCATCCCCATCACGCAGCGGTACATGAACTGGAGTTAGTGTTGACATAGCCGGAGACGAACCTTGACGCCCTCCTTTTGGTGCTCTCGCATTCTCTTCGACAGCATTGGATCCAGAACAACGTCATTGATTGTCGTCCCCCTTCAGTTAGCCTTTGCGAGAGTATCACCCTACTCACCTCTGTTCTGCCTCTTCTGCAGGCGGCCGCTCCATGACAACTGCACCAGGAGCATTCGGGTCGTGTAACGCTCCTCCCCATGCCTCGATGTCCTTCCCCGATGTCGCACTGCCAACATGCAACTTCTTCTTTGGTGATGTCTTGGCCGTGGCTCTGGGGCGTGAGGATGGGGCCACAGGTTTGGGTGCCGCTGCAGGCTTCGAGTGCGACGAGCCACGGTCGACCGCTTTCGGCGTGGCAGAGTGAGGAGTTGACGGCCCCACGGCAGGGGATGAGGTTGGTGGTTCGGAAGACTGCGAGTTGCCGCGCAGCCGCGAGCTTTGAATCGGAACTGAGTATGGGCGTTCTAAGAGGGGTGACTTGAAAGCGGGTCGAGGCGCGCGCGCGATGGTGACGGGTGTCTTCTTAGGCGTTTCGTCTTCAGCTGGACCGCTTCTACCAGTACCGCCGATTGTCTTGTCGAACCTGTGATCAGTTGGCCAGCCCACTGTGGATCCTCACTCTTCCCTTGAGCTGGGACGGTCGACTTCACAATCAAGGCCGTTGAGCTTGAACTCCATCCCTGGTGACGGTCGACCTTTCGCAAATAAGGAAGAGCCTAGACTGGGAGTCAGTCAACGAATCGCTGTTAAGACACCCACAATTTGCCTTCCTCCGAGTACAGTGATGCCCTCTGGCCGAAAATCCTCAGGAAGGCATCGCCGTCCCACGTCTCTGCGCCAGTTAGCCTTGCATACATTGACAGATATAACTCACTGTGCTAATGGTTAGCTGGAAGAGCCATTAGTAATGCTCACCTTTCGCTGTTGCGGCTTCCTCCTACACAGTTAGCTCCCATCGCTCTGTCCCGGTAGCTCACCATTGTACCATCCAATATTCATAATCCCCGCCGCCGCCTAAGCTCGTTGGCGGCGGCGCACGCTGAGCGCTGACAGGCGTCCTCAATAAGGCGGGACTTCTGGTCGTTGTCGCTGGTCCGAGTGGTCGGCGGAGTGGTGTTCCTTTCGGAACGCCTGCGAAGCGCGCGTGAGCCGCGACGGTTATCGCCGGCACCGTCTGCGTCGGAGGAAGCTCCTTCGGCTCGTCGAGGTCGCTTTCTTCATCGCATGAGTTCGCCACTACGTCCGGGTTCTCGGCCGCGTCAACGGACGCAAAGATGTCGTCGAGCAGTGCGCTCGAGTCGTCGTAGTCGTCCATGACGGTGGTGAACGGTGGTCAGTTGAGAAATGTAATGTTGGCCAGACGACGCGTCAAAACAAATGTCAGTCGCGTCAACCAATGTAATTTTGGCCCCGTTGCCACCCAAACGTCCTCCTCATTGCGCCCCCACGACCTCCGCACTGCGCCCTAAACTTAACTGAGACAGAGATATCTAGTGCATGCTGCGACACTCACTCCGTTTGACAAGAACTCGACAGTAAATGCATGCACACTCGCCATTCAAAAGCGCAAGAAGAGAGAATTGCAAGTGTAAGTTGAAAAAGTTGGAGAAACGGTGAATCGAACACCGGTTGCAGACATGTTGCACTGTAGATGCAAAGTCTGTGTCTTACCACTAGACGATTTCCCCCGATTTTCAGGTTAGTGGATTCCACGTGCGGATCGGCGCGCCCCACGTATCTATATACACAAAGGCTCTCGCTTTTTTCCAGCAAGTGAAGGGCACGATGTTCATGTTCCCTGCTGTGCCCTCCTCAAGACTCCTCGATCGTCGATGGCGATGGTATGGTCAGTATCAATGCATGCTTGTGTTGAGAAATGATGCAGTGCATGTGTCTAAAACAATGATGTTACTGCGTGTGTTAGCGCGAAAGCCACCCTGTGATCGGGGCGCAAGACGTACCTCCTAATCGATGAACTCTGCTGCTGTGGCCTTCCTCGTCTCCCTCCACCGCCCGATCGGTCCTAACTTTACGATATCCTGGCGAGATGTCTAGTACTTGCCGATGACCTCGACACCGGAGCCCTCGGGCCGTCTCCTGGCGAGCGCCTTGAGGCCCTCCTCGTACTCGACGTTCTCAACGACAACAAGCTCCTTGACCTTGAGGATCTTTCCGGCGGCGGTCACGTCGTGCTTCTGAAGCACCTTCTGGTGCAGACGGTAAAGGCCGAGAGCCTCGAGGTTGGCCTTTGAGCGCGCGGGGAGACCGATGGGGGAACGGACAAGGCGGATGAGGTAGTGCGTCTTGGCGCCGGGCGCGGCGGCGTTCATACGGGCGAGTGTCGGGAACATAGTGGTTTTCGTGGCTCGACTCGTAGATGTGTCGCTCCGGGAGGTTCGTGAATGTAAGCAAGGGTATGAATGAGTCGAACGGAGTACTCAACTCGCGACGACCGGACTACTCATGCGAGACTCGACTTTTGGCCGGGATCGCTTATCACCGCTAATTTTATTACGTGTGCCCACCCATCCGAGTCGGGTGAGGAGGTTTCAGCGATTCGGACTGTCGCTGCCTGCATGAGTCCGGAGCGTCATAAAACTCGGCCAAGATCGCGAGCATCACCTCCTTCCCCTTCTCGATTTTTTAGAATGCTTGCTCTTCGCTCCGCCCCTGCGCGCGCGGCCCAGGCCGCTGCGCCCGCCGTTCGTGCCCTCTCGACCTCGTCGATCCGCTGCAACGACCGCCACCAGACCTGGGACCGCCCGACCGTCCGCGCTGAGGCTGGTGACCGTCGCCCTCAGCGTCCCCGCGCTTACAACCAGCAGGGTGCCGGCGCTTCTGCCCAGAATGCCCGCCTCTCGCCCTCCGAGGTCCGTGACCAGCGCCGTGAGCGCCAGGCCGAGTTCCTGGCCACGCGCCAGCAGCGCGGCCCGCCTCACCTCCTGACGCTGGCCGACTACAGCGCCGAGGAGATTGCGGACCTGGTCAAGTCTGCGCTTGCGTTCAAGGTCGTCGCGAAGAAGTGGGGCAACACCGAGGTGCCCAACTCGCTGCAGGACCGCACCGTTGCGCTCATGTTCAGCAAGCGCTCGACCCGTACCCGTGTCGCGTCCGAGACCTCGGTCGCCATGCTCGGCGGACATGCCATGTTCCTTGGCTCGCAGGACATCCAGCTCGGCGTGAACGAGAGCCTCCGTGACACCGCTACCGTTGTCGGCAGCATGGTTGATGGCATCATGGCCCGTGTCAAGGGACACGACGAGGTCGAGACGCTCGCCAAGTACTCGCCCGTTCCCATCGTCAACGCCCTCAGCGACCTGTACCACCCCACCCAGATCCTCGCCGACCTCCTGACCCTCGTGGAGATGTACCACCCCGACCTCTCGTACCTGACCGAGGACATTGCGGGCGCGCGCAACGCCTACGCCGTTGTCCGCAAGCGTGCGCAGGAGATCGACATCCCCGCCCTCCTGAACGGCAAGAAGTTCTCCTACGTCGGCGACACGAACAACATGTCGAACGAGTTCATCGTCTCCCTCCCCCGTCTCGGGATGGAGGTCGCGATCGCCTCGCCCGAGGGCTACAACAAGATCGACCCCGTCGTCTGGAAGCGCGTCCAGGACGCCGGCACCGAGGGCAAGATCCAGCTCACGACCAAGCCCGAGGACGCGCTCAAGGACGCCGACCTCGTCGTGACCGACACCTGGATCTCGATGGGTCAGGAGGAGGAGACGGCCAAGCGTCTCGAGGCCTTCAAGGGCTACCAGCTGACGAACGCGCTCATTGAGCGCTCCGGCGCCAAGCCCGACTGGAAGTTCATGCACTGCCTCCCCCGCCACAAGGATGAGGTCGACGACGAGGTCTTCTACGGGCCTCGCTCCGTCGTCTTCCCCGAGGCCGAGAACCGCAAGTGGACCATCCTCGCTGTCTTCAACGCCCTCATGGGCCGCTGGCAGCGCGCCGTCTAAGCGAAATGCTCGCCGTAGAAAAAGTGACTAGTCCCTCCCACAAATCACACCCCCAACCGCATCGCATCTTTTCTTTCTCTCTCTCGGATCCCCATCAATAGGTTTGCGGCGGCGCACCGCGCTGGCTCTGTGCCGTTTTCAAATTATATGCATCTAGCAAATATACACATCTATCGGGGGTTTCAGGGCGCTGAGGCAGAGAACAGCGACGCACTGGAGTGATAGATAGCTACGGTCCAAAGTGTACAGTGAGCACGCATGTCAATTGATATCTTGTCTTTGTTTAGAGTAGGGATGGCCAGATGGCCAGCTCTAGTGGTTGTGCGAGGACCCGTTGCCGTTGGCCGAGGCGGCCTCGGATCCATCGTTCTCCGAGACATTCTCGAGCTGCGGCGGGCAGCACGTGTTCGTGTTGCAGAGCTCGGGCGGGCAGCGGATCATGCAGCTCTGCTCTGCAATCTCCTCGGGCTCGTCGTGATCCGTAAACTCGGGCTGGATCGTGACGCTGTGGATGCCTTGGGCGTGGAGCGCCTCGCGGATCTGGTTCGCGACCTCCATGTAGTCGGCCTCGGGCCGGATGAGGACGTGCACCGAAGCCACAGTCGTCGTCTCGGACAGCTGCCAGACGTGCAGCTCGTGCACTGACACAACCCCGGGAATGATCTTGATCGACTCGCGGACCGCCTCGAGCGACACGTGGTTCGGCACGCCCTGCAGCAGAATGATGGACGCGGATTTGACTGCCAGTCAGCTTATGATAACAAGTTTGAAGCTGCTCTCAGTGCCTACTCACCAAGAGGGATGGCCGTGTTGAAGATGATGATACAGATGAGGAACGACACACCAGGGTCAAAGTACAGGGTCCACTTGCCCTTGCAGCTGCACGGATCAGTACGAGGTCTAATCTTCACTGTTGCGGGTACTCACAACCAGATCACGAGGCCGGTGGCAATGACACCGACATTGCCGAGGGCATCGCCGAGGACGTGCAGGAAGACGCCGTGCATGTTCATGTTGCCGTGCGAGTGACCGTGGCCGCCGAGCTCCTTGCCGTGCGAGTGACCATTGTCGTCGCCGTGGTCGTGGGCGTCGCCATGGTCGTGGGCGTGTCCGTCGTCATGGCTGTGGCCGTGAGCATCAACGCCACCGCGCTCGGCAGTGCTGATGTCGTGCGAGTGCCGGGGGCTATCGGTGGAGTCAACTGGGCGCTGCGAGGCGCGCGGAGACGTCAGGTCAGCAGGCGACGAAGCCGGGGAAGCCGCAGCGACGCCATCAGTGTTACTGGGGGCGGCCGGAACCTCGACGGCCGAAGCGGAGCTGGGGGCGAAGGTCTCGTTAGAACCAGGAACACCGGAAAGGCGCGAGACACGGTTGCGGGTCCTGCGGCGGCTCATGGAGGGCATGCGGGCGTGGACGGGCGGCGAGCGGCCGAGGAAGGAGTCGTTGTCAATGCTCTGTCCCAGGCGGGCAGCCTCAATGATCTGAGCGCGGGTTTCGGCCGGGTGCTGGTACAACGAGCTCCTCGAATCAGCACGTGCGCGCTTAGGGCCGGTCGTGGTCGTCTGCTCGTCCTCCTCGTCGTCCTCGGGCAGGGCGATGGGGCCGTGCGAGTGACCGCCGTGGGAGTGACCATGCTCGTGGAAGAGGAAGAGGCCAACAATGTTGGACGCGAGACCGAGCGAACCGACAAGCACGATGAGCTTGGGGTTGGTGATCTCGGGCGGCGAAATGCAGCGTCCGATCGCCTCGAGACCGATGGTGACACAAAGAGCGATCAGGAAAACACCGTTGATAAGAGCACCGAGGACCTCTGCTCGCTGCCATCCGTAAGAGTTGGCACTGGACGCCGGCGACGTCGCAAGTTCGATGGTGTAGAGCGCTACAACCAGCGACAAAACATCACTGATGGTCAGCTACGGGCAAGACCGATCGAGCTTACTTGAGCATGTGGAACGAGTCCGCGACGAGGGCGAGCGAGCCGACAGCATAGCCCACGATGAGCTCCTGGGATTTGTCAGCGCCAAGCTCTCAGGTGATGATCTCGATGGCTCCAGCCTCGGCGTCCGACCCTGCGGCGTTCGAGAGTGCGACTCCGACCGAGATGGTTGCTGGTTGAAACTCACGAGGAAGAAGAAAGCGGTATCGATCACCAGAAGGGTGATGATACGCGCCTGCCTGGAGAGACCCATGATGGCGGCAGTTGAGGGGGTGGTGGTGGTGGTGATGGAGTGGAGTGTGGAGGAGACAATGTGGACTGGAAATGTGTACAGAAAAGGAGAGCGCAGTCTCCAGTCGTTGCCGAGGTTACGTCAGGGTCAACGGTGTTTTAGTGGCAGAATGTTCAGCGCCAACCGATTTCGTGATCGCGTGAACCGGGGCAACCTCAATGGCGGGCGTACGAGGGTAAGACGCCACCGATCTCTAGCAGGTAAAGACTTGCTGAGGTGACTGCGGACAAGTGCGAGCTTGAGTACTTGTGACAGAGGAGCGGCGGCTATCAGGTAGTGTGGGCGACTTGAAGATAGATAGAGGGAGAGAGTGATGTGGAGACGACGCCGGGGGCTGACACAGAATAGGAAGCGACCGGGACGGCGGAGCGGGTGATGCATTCTTTGGTTCTTTCTCTCTTCGCTTGCAACTTGCAACTTGCAAATGGAACCCAAAAGTCCTCGTCTGCGTGCCTCGGCCACGGTCTCCGGATGCTGTTGGCTCATCTCGGTGAAGAGACCAGAGACTGAAGACCGACAGCCAACGACATGATGCAATTCCAGCACCAGATTCGTCGTTCCCCCCTGACCCTCATTGCTCCGCACCTCCGCACTCCATTCAGACTGGCGGGACCAGATCGAATGCAGTGCAGCGGTGCGGGCACATCGCCGGACCGGCCCGTGACCCGGCCACCTGCGAAGGAGTATAGGCCCGCGCGTGACCGTAGGGTTAGGCGTCCGCAGCCCAGCGGACGCTAACGGCAATTGTCACGCGCCTACCACCTTGACGCGTGCGAGCCGGCGCCCCAGGGTCACATTCGCCTGGCTGCACGGCTGGCGGCTGGCTGACTGGCTCGCCTGCTCCTGATGCGCCTGGGACCGCTAGTGCGCGCGTCTGCTCTTGGGTTCACTTGATTTCAGTGCTTCCGCGCCAAACGCCAAACGTCAACAGATCGTCGAATTTCCCTCCAATCCACCTCACATTCGTCCGACTGTCGACACCGATCCACCTCCATCTCGGCCATCCCACAGCGCCATGGCCCGCCTCCCGATCGCGGTGGTCCCGAAAGAGGTGCCGGGGCTGCCGACACAGCCGCACCCGTCGCCCTCGCCGCTCCAGCAGTTGATCGCGCACACCGTCGCCGCGACAGACTATGATGCTGTCTGTGTCCCCCTCACAAACGGCCTGTGGCAGGACCGGTGGGAGCGCCTGTGTCTGCGCCCCGCCGACGACGACGACAGCCTCAGCTTGGATAGTGCGAGCAGCCCATGGCCGCAACGGCTCGACACCGACCGCGAGGCGGACGAGTGGAGGAAAGAACCGAGCCTGAACCGCGACGAATGCAACATCACACGCCTCGAGGAGAGCCAGGGCGTCATTGCCCTCGCGAGCGAGTGGCTCGAGATCGACTCGCCAGACGAGGGCATCCGCTTCGACTCTGAACTGGTACGTTTCTGCGAGCCTGCGCGAAACAACTCAAGTCAAATAGAGTTCAATTCCCGGCGCCGCGCCCGTCGCCGGGTGGGTCGTTAGAAAGAACGCTGACAACCAGGGACTCCGTGCCGAGATGCAGCATGCGCTCTACCTGGCGCTGCCGGTGCTTGTTCTGCCTGCGCCGCAATTGGCGAACCGGGCATGGCTGCCGTCGTACGCGCGCGCCGTGCAGGGCCTGCTGGCAATGGGCGGTCCGAGTGCGTTCACGGAGATTGCGATCAGAATACCAGTCTCCGACCCGCTGGAGCTGGTGCCGGGGCCGGCGGTCGAGGGTCCCGCGCGGCCACAACATCACCGGCGCATCTCATCCTTATCCTCGCGACCGCCGAGCATCCACCAGGCGCAGCTGAGCATTTCGCAGCTGACGCAGCTCGCAAACCCGAACGGCAACGGCGCGCCAAACGGCACCGGAGCGGCCGGCGCGCGCATCGTGCCGACGACGAGCCAGAACTCGGGCATCAGCTCGAAGAGCATGACGCACAGCGCACTCGCAGGCGACCCATCGTCGACGTGGGAGATGTGGGATGCGATCCGGAGTCTCTGCGGTTACAACCCGCGGTTGACCGTGCTGCTGGACCTGAGCACGCCGCTGCCGCCGAGTGTGGGTGCGTTATCGCGCTGGGCCGCCGAGCCAGTCAAGCACATCTGGCTGCCGGCCTCGAGCTTCATCCCGAACGCCAAGGGCTACCCTGTGCTGAGCAAGGCGTGCCAGGCGTTCCTGCGCGGCCTGACGCGGCAAACGCCCACCCTCGTCCTCAGCGACACGGACACGCACCGACACCCCTCGGGCGGACCCAACGCCTACCTCCAGTACGTGCGGCACATTACGTCGCAGGGCGCGCCCGCGTCGACGATCAGCCCGCAAGGGCCCGCAGAGGTTGCGGGCGGCTACGGCGACTTCCTGCAGGCGCCGCTGCAGCCGCTGATGGACGACCTGGGGGCGGCGACGTACGACGTCTTCGAGCGCGATCCAGTCAAGTATGCGCAGTACGAGGAGGCGATCTACCTCGCTGTCATTGACAAGATTGCGGTCGCCGAGGCGGCGGGGCTGATGGCCGACCTCGTCATTGTCATTGCCGGCGCAGGCCGAGGCCCCCTCGTGACCTGCACGCTGGCGGCGCTGGAGCGCGCCAAGCGTCCTGCGCGCGTGTACGCGGTCGAGAAGAACCCAAACGCCTTCACAACGCTGCAGGAGCGCAAGGCGATCGAGTGGGGCGACAGCGTCGACATTCTCTTTGGCGACATGCGCGAGCTCCCCGTGCCCGAGCTCGCGGACATTCTCGTGTCCGAGCTCCTGGGCTCGTTTGGCGACAACGAGCTGTCCCCCGAGTGCATAGACGGCGGCATGCGTTTCCTGAAACCGGACGGCATCAGCATCCCCATAAGCTACACGGCGCACCTTGCTCCATTGGCCAGCGCCAAATTGCACCAGGACGTCATGAGCCGCAAGGACGGCGCGGCAGAGGTGCCCTATGTCGTCATGATGCAGAATGTCAACCTGCTCTCGGGCGACGGGGGCGGTGCGTCTGGCCGCTGTGGAGAGCGCATCCAGCAGTGCTGGCAGTTTGAGCATCCGCGGCGGGACCTCATCCTCGGCGCGAACGGGCTGCCAATCACCAACTCGCACAACACGCGCTCCGCCACGCTCACCTTCCACATTCCGCACGCGTCCTCCTGTCATGGCTTTGCGGGATACTTTGAGGCACACCTGTACGGCAACATTGGCCTCAGTATCCACCCCGACACGGCCCACCGCGTCTCACCCGACATGTTCTCGTGGTTCCCCCTCTTCTTCCCCCTGCGCGAGGCGCTGTACCTCCCCTCCGGCGCCGAGCTCGAGGTCAACATCTGGCGTCTCACCGATCACAAGATGAAGCGCGTGTGGTACGAGTGGAACGCCGAGGTCTACCTCCCCGTCACGAGCCAGGTGCACCACTCCAACCACGAGCAGCAGCCGCCAAATGTCGGCCGCGTCAAAATCGGACAGTCCGTCCTGCACAACGCTGGCGGGACACACTATTGGGTCGGTCTCTAGAGTACACGTACATTACTTAATGATAGTCTTAGTCTTATATAGCTTGGGAAGGGCGTTTGTACGAATATCAGAGTCGAGATGCATGAGCATTGGATGCCACATCATTCTCTATGCACATGCTATGTCCAGCTTGGTCCTCACCGTGTGGGACCTTGAGTGGCGGCATGAAGCGAGCGGTTACCCAGCACGTGGCCGTCCAAGTGTCCCAGCGACTTGGTGCTCCGGAGCGACATAGTGCGTACGCGAGTTCCGAGCACGGGAGGAGGTGGGGCGCGCTCCTCATGCTGCTTGATGTAGGCTGCGAATGAAGCGAACTTCTCGGCAAGCTCGGCATGGCGGACATCAACCTCGCTGGGTTCGGGTGGAGGCGTGGCGTTCAGTCGTGACGGCTGCTTGAACTCTGCACAGTCAGTGCAGCTCTCGACGCACTCGTCTGCAGCGGGGTGACGTACCAGACCATACGCCGGTGGTGCCGGCTCCCCGAGAACGATCATTTTGGGGTAACTGTGGCGCAGTCGACCTGAGAGCCGAGCTTACACTACGTGGAGCACCCTCGATAGCCATGTCACGATTTGCTTTGGTCGCACTCGTGGAAGCATCGATCAGCCCTCTTTCTCGCTGAGTTGGAGGCCGCAGCAAGACTTGCGAGCTGTCCTCCCTTCTCAACGGGGCGGGTTGCGTGCGGGTCCGGCGCCTGACCGGATCTTTGGATGCGAATGAGCTGGACCGGATAGTGCGATGTGGGGGTTGTTGAGTCTCGCAGACGCGAACTCCTTGACGGCGCCGACGAGGTGTCCCTCTGGCAGGCTCCAGACGCTCGACCAAGGACATGAGATGGGCTGTCAGGTCAACGCCTGACATTGATGGAGGCGGAGGCTGAGCAAACTGGGACGTGATGTCGCCGAGGACTTGTCGAGTGGCGGGGTTTGTCCGGTCCTGTCCGGATTGCTGCTGCTGAGAGGCGCGAGGCTGATTATCGTTAGGAACGTCTCCCCAGCTTGCCATGTTGTCCAGGATGTCGTCGGGCGGTGTCATCTCGCGTTCTCGAATGCACCTCTCTTCTTCCTCCCACATTTCGATCTCCTGGTCCACATTCAGAGCCGGCGGTGTGCTCAGTCCGCTTGGCAGGGATAGGGGAGGAGGCAGCTGGTAGCGTCTGAGACTTGCTGTGCCGCAGAGGCTGGCCAGGCTATGGGTAGCCTGTGATGATGGCTCCGAGGGACAGCTGTTAGGGACCCTGGAGGGTGCGGGAAGGCCTTCGGCCTTCGTCGCAGGGGCGGCAGCTTTCGGGCCCGTCCGCGCGAAGTGAAGACGAGGCGTCTTCGCGTTATGAGGACGATCTGTCGTGCTCTCGCGGGGCGTTGGCGGTAAAGGCGGGGTTTCGATGGTATCTCTGTTCTCGGAAGGTGCGAAATGCCCAGTGTACTGGTCGTTGGCTGCCATGGCTGGACTGCGAGCGTCGATGGCGTTTCTTAAGTTGCGATAATAGCTCGACAGCCTCGTCGTGATGGAACTGAATCTCGACCTGCCTGGTTTGGCTGCTTTTGCTGCTCTCTTTCTTGATCCTGACAGCAGAGCGGTTGATGGGCTTCAGGCGAGGAGGGAAGGTCTTCAGCTGGCTGATCCTTCGGGCATAGGTCTTCGCGTGTTTGTTGGTGGCACTGGGGTCAGCGGTGACGTACCGCATCTGCTTACGGTTTGCGCGACGGAGCATTTTTCGAGGGGGAGGGTGTACTGCCGGAGGTAAACGTCAGACGTGGATAGTTGTCGAGGTTTGGATTAGAGGCTCTCCGTGTTTGCGAGTGGCGGTGTTTCCGCCGACGGCGAAGCGAGCACCCGTCAATAGTGAAGAGGCTGGACAGAGGCGCGAGGTTGCTGGCGGATGCCTCTTCGTCTTCTTGCGACTCCTCAAAGAGACCTTGGAGGAAGCTCTGTCGCGCAAATGGATTGCCATTTCCTTTCTGGCTGTTCAGAGGAGAGACGTGATTACCGATTTCACGCGCACCAGAGGGTGCACTGTCCACGCGTGGTCGTGCGCTGTCTTCCTCCGTCCGTGGCAGATACGGCTTATCCAGGAAGAACGAGTCATGTCTGGGCTGTGCAGCCGGAGGTTCAAACGAGCCATCAAGGCGTGCTTCCTGAAGGCTGTCCCCTCCGAGAGGCTCTGAAATAAACGGGCCGTGCAGACCTACGTCGAGAGGAGGAGTGTTGAAGAGGTCATCAAGGTGAGGGTTGGGCTGGCTGGAGGGCACGGAGCAGGACACGCGGTGCCTGTCCTGCAACGACGCAGGAGTAGAGCGAGAGACTGAACTACCGAAAGCTAGTTGCTCCAGCTCTCGGTCGAGGGAAGGCAGTCGGGACGAGGAGGGAGGGACTAATCCGTCCTGGGCTGACAGTGGAGAGAGTGAGGAAGACGCCGCGCGGTCTACTGGCGAGTGCGTCAGCGTATGCAACGGGGATCACCAACGCACCATCTTGCAACTCTGCTGGCCGTGTTGTACCTGGGACTTTAGAGTGAGCTGAATCTTCCTGCCGCTGGAGGGCTGCACTCTGGCGCGTGTTGTATCGCCGTTCAGTTTGATGTGACGGGGGCGGATATGGGCGGGTGGAGGTCGATCGCTGGGGCTTGGTTGGCGACCGGAGCCGCTGAGGCCTGGATACGCTCATGGTCTGGTGTTGTCAGGCGAAGTGATGGCGAATGAGAAGAAGAAGTGAGAGAGGAGAGTCATCGTTGAAAGTGAGTCAGACTGCGCGCGCGCGCACACGCTGACCTTGCGAGGAAGACGAGAAGGAATGGCCGCAGCGTGCCGACTTTTTGCCACCAGAGATGAGGTGGACGACCTCCACCAGCGGATGCAGATCGATCGAGAGGCCCCTCCGTCCTCGCGTCATCGGCCTCACCCATCAACCACCCTTTCACACTTCTCGTCCGACACAGACTTCAGCCCACAGCACAGTCACACCATGATTCTCAAAGTCCGCGTAAGTTGATCTGACAGCCAAGCACGCGTGACTAGCAGAGCTGACCGCAGACACTGACTGGAAAGGAGGTAAGCGGCTGACAATGCGGGCTCTACGTGCCTGCCCTGTCATATATGAATCAGCTAACGCGTCTAGGTCGAGATTGATGTCCAGCCCGAGTGGCAGGTGAGTTTAAGCGGATGACGCCTCAAACTGACATTCAGATCTCGAAAGTGAAGGAGAGCGTCGAGGAGAAGGCCGGTATCCCTCCTGTTCAGCAGCGGTTGATTTTCGGTGGAAAGGCCATGTGAGTGTTGGTGAGCCGGCGGAGACCATCAAACGACGCCTGAAGTTCCGCAGTGGTGTTGCTGGCCAAGCCATTGACCAAACGTTGCTCCACGCGCCGTTGTCTTTGTTTGCTGGCAGCAGAAGGTTGCCAAAGGCGCAGTTCATCTACAAATCCACGAGCTGACAACGCAGGAGCGACGACAAGACGGTCCAGGACTTCAAGATCACGCCCGGTACCACCATCCACCTTGTGCTCGCTCTCCGTGGTGGGCGCCTCTAGACGCATACACGGCTTGCCAACCGCATCAGTCCGTTCGAACGTTTGGACGTCTTCGCTTTCGCTCCGCCATTGTATCAAATCCAATTAGAGCTTCCTATTACAACCCCTCACTACTGTTAGGTTTTTTATGAAAACTTCCATGCCCCCCTACCTGGCAGGCAACGCCCAACGCCACCCGATACAAACACGGACATGGGAAAAGACGCACACAAGCAGACACACACATGGACTGGATTCCAGAGGAGAGGAACAATCAGATGAGGGATTAAGGTCGGGCCGCGTAGCGTATAGGCGTTGGCGACATTGGCGGAAGCGGGCCCACTTTACGGCGCAGTGGCGTGTGACGGCCGTATCGGGCCGGAATTCAAGAGTTGCCGTGCCGAGTCGTGATTATTATTTCTGGCCGAGTCCATCTCGTCCCCCCCCCTCCTATCGCCTATCCGCCCCTTATCGCTTGTTGAGCTCTTCCGTCGCCCGACTTCCACCACCTTCACCTCACACCGTCCGACCTCCACGATGAGCGTCGCAGCCATCCGTGGAGCCCGCCAGGTCCGCTCGGCGGGACTGCGTGTGCTCCGCTCAACCTCAGCAGTGCGAGCATACCATGGCCCGAAGACGGTTCAGGAGCTCGAGCACGGGCAGAGCGATGCCGTGAGCCTGCCCTTCCTGCCCAGACTGACTGACGACAGGACTTTGTGCTGAGCATTCTGCAAGCGTCCCCCTCCATGCGCGACTCGCGCTCGTACATCGCCAGCTTCGCCCCGCCTACCTCCCCCGACACACCGCCCTCTCCCCCAGCCCCGAGCGAGACAGCCGAGGCCGCGCCGAACCCGCTAGTCGGCTCGCTGCTGAACCCGATCGTGCGCCGACCTGCGCTCGTCAAGATCCAGGGGCCATTTACAGACCACCAGCTCCAGTCCGTCTGCCGCGGTATCCAGTACCTGCAGCGCATGGGTCTCGTCTCCGTGGTGGTGATTGACAGGGACGACGTTCCGCCATCGGAGAGTCAGGATGCGGATGCCGCCGAGGCGCAGCGGACGCTGATGCTGCGCGATGTTGAGCGGTGTGTCGACATGCTGACGCGGGCGCGCGCTCCCGCCCGTCCGATCCTCTCGACCGTGGCGCGCATGGGCGAGGACGGCGCCGTTCGTGTCGAAGCCGAAGGTCTGGACCACATCAGGCGTACGGTCGAGGAAGGCGAGATCCCCGTCCTCATGCCCGTCGCGCTGGACACCGGATGCCGCTCCCGTCGCATCAACGCGAACCGCGTCCTCGCCGCTCTGGCCGAGAGCATGAGCGCCCCCGCGCCCGAGGGTGCGGAGAAGAAGGGCATGGACCTGACGCCGGTGCGTCTCCTGGTCATCAACAGGGAGGGCGGCATCCCGTCGTATGCGCGCAGCGGCCTGCCGCATCTCAGCATCAACCTTGCCTCTGAGCTCGAGTTCATCTCCAACACCTGGCGCGAGGAGTGGCGCGACACGCATCCGACAGCGCTCGCGAACCTGAACCTCGCCGACGAGTGTCTGGCGCACATGCCACGAGGGGCTAGTGCCCTCATCGTGTCGCATCGCTCGCCTGCCGCCCTCATCGCGAACCTGATCACGAACAAGCCGGCGCACTCTGCGTCGCTCCCCCACTCGCTCCTCGAGCAGAGTGAAGGGCGCATCACGCCCGACACGCCCACGCTGATCCGGAAAGGCCTCCCCGTCAAAATTGTGCGCAACCTCGACGAGATCGACAAGGACCGCCTCACGGGCCTGCTGGAGCGGAGCTTCGGCCGCAAGCTCAGCCAGGACAAGTACTGGGCGCGCCTCGAGAAAGATCTCGACTTCATCATCGTCATTGGCGACTATGTCGCGGCCGCCATCGTCACGAAGGAGGGACCCAATCGGGATATCTGCTACCTCGACAAGTTTGCCGTGCTCCCTGAGAACCAGGGCGACGGCACCGTCGATTTCCTCTGGGTCGCGCTCCGTGACGAGACGTACGGTCTCGGTCTCCTCGACGCTATGAACCCCAGTATCGGTTCGCTCAAGGGTGTGGGAGAGGGCAAGGACCTGGTCTGGCGCTCTCGCTCGAATAACCCCGTCAACAAGTGGTACTTTGAGCGCAGTAACGGGAGCTTGACGTGCGGCGACAATGGCGCGTGGAAGCTGTTCTGGTGCGACGCCGAGCAGCGCGTGCGCGACATGGCACAGGAGAACGGGAGCCTCATGCACGTCATCGAGAAGAGTGAACGAGGACGGCTAGAGAACTGGGAGCCCGCAATCATGAGCATCAAGAGCGCATGGTCTGACTAGCTTCCTCGGCAGCAGATAGATTAGATAGCGTCACCCGCACTCATTCACAATCCATTCATCCACATACATAGAGAGTAGTTGTGTTTTAGTATGTCATCAGTATTTGCATGTTCGTCTTTTGGCAATTCCATAAATCTATGTTTCATCCCGCAGTATCACTACAATACATCGCCTCGACTTGGCGCGATAATAAGAAAGAGAAAAACAACCAAACAGACGCAGAGAAGAAAGCCTTCCATCCGGAAGGAAGTGGAGTGGGGTTGAGGTGGAATTATGGGTCTTAGTGCCGCGGTGTCCGGGCAATACCCAGGAGATGTCTACTCGGGAACATTGTCATATCGAAATCAGAGAAAGGGAAGGCCCAAACGTCGGCAACCATGCGCTCCGCTTTTGCCTTCATGTACACTCGGCGCTTTTGCGTATAGTGCACGGATCCCGAGCACATCCCACTTCCTTCACGCGTCGTCGTCGTCGGATCCGTTTAACAGCAGCCACCGCTCTGGTTGGACTGGTTCTGCTTCGCGACGTTGACACTTCCGCTGTCCGCACCACCGAGCTTGACAGGCTGCTAGGTCTGCGGTTGCGAGTCGATGAGGCGCGTCTTGATGTCCCTGGACGTTGTCAGCACCTGCGCAAGGATACGCCCGGTAAGGGCCTGCGCGGTCCGTCGTGCGCTGCTTCTCGCACCCAAAGAGAGTGCACACGAGCAGTCCACGGGCATCGTACTCACCTAGCAAGCGTGAAGAAGGCCTCCTCGACACCCTCGTTGGCCTTGGCTGAAGTCTCGAGGAAGCGAAGACCAAACTCGTCCGCGAGCGCCCGACCCTGCTCCAGAGTGACGACACGCTTCTCGTCCCAGTCGCACTTGTTTCCGATCAGGATCTTGTTCACTCCCGCGGAAGCGTGCTGCTCGATCTGCTGGTGCCAAGTGCGAACGTCTGAATGTCAGGGCGCGTGTTCCTAGCCGATGTCTGCACCAAGCACTCACTGTTGAAGCTCTTCTCGTCGGTGACATCGTAGACGATGAGGATACCCATGGCACCGCGGTAGTACGCCGTCGTGATGGTGCGGAAACGCTCCTGTCCGGCAGTGTCCCACTTGCAATGTCAGCATGACCCCGGACAACGCGGGCGACTTACGATCTGAAGCTTGATGCGCTTGCCATCGAGCTCGATTGTCCTGATCTTGCTGGCGGGGTCAGCTTTGACAGTGAGTCTCTAAACGCACAAGTCAATTCCGATGGTGGTGATGAAAGACGGGGTCCACGAGTCGTCACAGAAACGGAGAAGGAGACACGATTTGCCGACACCTAGTATTGTCAGTGGCCGATGTCGCTGGCGAACAGCCTTCCGACTTACCCGAGTCACCAATGAGCAGGAGCTTGATGAGGCTGAGAGTCAGTAACTGTTGTGTAGAGCGACGCACAAGTCGTAGTGAGGGCCAGCCATGTTGGGCGATTCGAAATCTAAGTGCGGCCACGGGGTAGAGGTCTAGTCGGGATAACGGTGACGAGGGATCGACGGTGCGGTCGATGGGCAGGACGCGTAAAGCACGGAAGGGCGAGGTGGTATGGGGTCGTCGAGCTGCGAGGAAGGCTGAGTTGGTGAAGCAAGCGAGGTAACGAAGAAGTCTGAGAGAGGGAGAGGAAGGAAGATGACAGTGATCGGGCGTCGGGGTGAGTTGGAGGTGAGTTGAGCGATGTGTTGTCGTACGGTGCGTAGGTGCGTACGGTGGTGGCGGCGGGTGCAGGAGCCAGGAGACGGGGAAGGGCACCATGGCACCAGCGCATGCAGCACAGGAGAGGGGATGAGGCTGTGGGCAGTGGGCCGCTGTCTCATTCAGGGCCACGTGAGGAGGGGGCAGGGGGAACGGGAGCCGGCGCGCACCTGCGACTGCATCAGCACTGCACTGCACCTGCGGAACCTAATCTCCTCCCTCGACCGCGTCCGCTCTCCACCACCCACCACGAGAAAGCTCGTAGCAGTGGCAGACAGGAGAAGGAAGGCTAGGCGACTTGCTGAGAGCTTAATGCAGTCGGACAAGCCTAATGGAAGAGCTCAAACCGGAGGTCTTCTGAGCAATTAGCACCCCTTAAGGTGCATGCTGCACTGGCGTGAGATGGGGGGGGGGGGGGTAAGGAAGCCGTCATACGGCTGCGCCTTCTTTGCTCCACATTGAACTTCACTGCACACTGACTTCGCACGACGCAAGTTACCCTCCGCTGCCACCACCCAGTCACATTCTGCGCAGCTGTAAGAATCCATGCATGGCATGGGCAGATGCACAGACGCTCTGATCTAACCCTTCTTTCGTCTTGCACCATGCATGTCGAGAAACAACATCCATCAGGCGGTTATCAGTGCTCGACGGTGATATGACGGAGAATGGCCACCCACGTGACGTGGCGGAGGCAGAATGACGATTTCCAGAACAACGGTCGACCAACAACCACCCAACAACACAATACAGTCACCTCCAACCTAATCGACCCCAACCCATCACGATGCAGGGCGGGGACCAGTCGCTCTCCAAGAGCACGTATGGCACGTACGGCTCCAGCTTCGGTGGCAGTGTCGGCAGGCCGCCAGCAGGCTCGACGCTGACGTCGCTGCTCGCCCGCGCCAACGCCCTCAACGATGTCGACTACGACCCCGAGCTCCCCCAGATTCGTTTCGGCATTGACGAGATCGAGCGCATGTCCGAGCACGCTGCCAACAAGGGCAAGCGTGTCCGTGGAACCAACGGCGAGGGGTAAGCTACTCGTTTCTCAGTTCCAGCTGACAACAGACACACGCTGCTCTCGAACCTCGGCATCAACACGAGCCAACTGCAGCGGGAGATTGCTCAGCTGCCGGGAGAGGCTGCGGAGGCGTCTCGACCTCGCCGACGCCGGAAGGCCAACGCCAAGCTTACGCCGCTCGGAGACCTGGGACCGGCGTACGCGATCGGAGACGCCGACGTCGGAGCGTGGGGCCGCAACTGGCACGAGATGGTCATTCTCTCCGGCATCGAGGTGCAGCGCCAGAAGACGGTCAAGTCGTTCCAGAAGCAGTTTGAGAAGCGCATCCTGTCGAACTGGGAGACGGAGAAGAGCCGCGTTCTGCAGGACGAGCTGGGAGTGACGGACGACGAGCTTGCGAAGATGACGACTGGAAGCAGCAAGGGCATGCGGGAAAGCGTCCTCGGCAAGAGCCGCCTCGGAAGCGGATCAGACATTCGCCGGTTCCCTCTTGCCACCTCGACTCTCGGCAAGAGCACGCTCGAGGCGCGCGAGGGCGGCCTTGTCATGCACAACAAGGCGATCAAGTACGAGAAGGTCGTCAGCGCGCTGAACGCGCACCGCTTGCGACGCGAGCCGTACGAGCTGTGTCTTGCGTTCGAGGCGGCGACCAAGGGCGACCCGAAGTACCCGCTTCTCCCGGATGCCTTCAACATCCTCGCGCACATGATGCAGGAGCCATCCCTTCACATCGCTTCCGGCTACGGCTCATCTTCGGCTGCGATCCCCGTCACTCAGCGCCAGTATGCCAAGGCGTACCTGTCCCCGACTGGCAGCAACGCCAAGATGCTTCTGAACGGACGGCTTGTTTCTGGCTCGCGCGCGTACCTCGAGCGTGACTTTGAGCGCTACATGAACGACACGATTACGAACAACCCGAAGGAGGCGGCGCTTGGAGGCATCCCGGGGATCACGAACAAGGTCCGCGCTTTCACGGACGTGACGCTGCGCTCGAAGGAGGCTCAGGACACGTACAAGCCCGAAACGGTGAACGGCATCAAGCTGTGGGCGCAGGTGTACTACCTCCTGAGGGCTGGACACCCGTCCGAGGCGCTCACGCTCGTGGAGCAGAACCAGGGGAACATCACGAAGGACGACTGGTCGTTCCCGGGAGCGTTCAAGGCGTTTTTCTCATCGCCCGAGCGCCGCCTGCCGAAGACGGTGCGCGACCAGCTGTATTCCGACTTCAACGCGCATGTCCGCAATAACCCGCAAGTCGACCAGTTCAAGTATGCGCTCTACAAGCTTATTGGGCGGTTCGAGCTCAGCAAGAAGAATGTCAAGGTTGCGGGCACGACAGAAGACTGGGTGTGGTTCCAGCTGTCGCTGACGCGGGAGAACAAGGACGGCGACCCGCCGCAGGAGCAGTACGACCTCGCCGACCTCGGACGGCACGTGCTCAAGGTCGGCTCGGATGCGTTCGACAGCAATGGCCAACGCCCCTTCAAGTGGTTCAACCTGCTCCTCGTCACAGCTCAGTTTGAGCGTGCCGTCGGATACCTGTACTCGAAGCCGGCGCTCAAGACGGATGCCGTGCACTTTGCCGCCGCGATGCAGTATTACGGCACGCTCCGCGTGCCCGAGATGCCGACGAGCGAGATCCTCGTGGAGGACAACGGACCGGCGCTTAACTACGCGCGCCTGACGCAGCTTTACGTCGCGCCCTTCTACCGCGTCGAGCCCCAAGCCGCGCTGCAGTATGCGTACCTCGTCTCGCTCGCTTCGGATGCCCCGGCCCCGATCGGCGGACAGCAGAAGCAGGCGGCGCTCGACCTCGTGCGCGACATTGTCATTGGCTCGCGACAGTGGACGAAGTTGCTCGGCAGTGTGCGCGCCGACGGCACCAAGGAAGTTGGCCCGATCGAGCGCGACCTCGCCCTCCTCAGCCTTTCCGATCAGGAGGACTACCTGCGCGAGGTCGTGCTTGCTGCTGCGGACCAGGCGGCGAACGACGCCTCGCTCGCCGAGTCTGTCGAGCTCTACCACCTCGCCGGCGCGTACGACAAGGTTGTCGAGGTCGTGACGCGCGCGCTCGGCCACTCGCTCTCGGGCTCGTCCTCGCACTTTGAGCGCACTTCTGCCCCCGTGTCGCTCAGCGGCGCCTTTGGCGGCGCCGCGGACCTGGATGCGCTCGCGACGGCCGTGTACAACGTGTACGGCAGCGACATGATGAAGCGCGGCCGCGTCCCGGACCGGGCCTGGGACACGCTCGAGGTGCTGCTCAAGCTGCGCGCGGGGCTGGAGCAGTACGCGGCCAAGCGGCCCGACTTGGCGCTGCAGACGTTCCAGTCGACCAACCTCCTGCCGCTGGACAACGACACGGCCGGCGTGGCGCGGTACGCGCAAAACTTCCGCGAGCTCCTCGACGCCCCCGTCGTCAGCAACCTCGACACGGTCATTGTCACGACCATGCGATGCCTGCACGACCTCACTGCGGCGCTCAAGGAGAGCCCCTATGGCGACCACGGCCGCATGCAGACCCTCGCGAGCTACAAGCACATGGCCCAGTGTCTTATCCAGTTTGCGAGCACGCTGAGGCTCCGTCTTGGCCCGGACGTGTACAAGCAGCTCAGCGCCATGTCGGCGTTCTTCTAAACGTCACATATGAAGGGAGAATTGTAGAGACGTACGTAGTGGTTTCAGTAGTGTCAGATGTTACAGTGCAACTTGCCACAGCCTCACGTGCCGCGGCCAGACGTGGGTCCGCCGTAGCCGCGTAGTCTGAGTCGGAGGCAGCAAAGGGGTCAAGACCCACTGGCAATCCAACGCGTCACTGGCAGACGTGTCGGACGTGAATAAGCTTCAGCGGGGTCGGGATAGGCAACGGTGCCGACAATGACATAGGCCCTTCATCCGCGCGCTATCCTCTGCGCAGCAGTGACGTGCATCGGGGACGCCGCTTGCGTATAACGGTGTGCTTCATCCTGCTTCATCCTGCATCCTGCTGCATCCTGCAACGGTCCTGCATCAGACCTGTTTATCCTGCATCTCTCCTGCAACAACTCCTGCATGTGCAATGTCCAATCCGAGTCGAAGCAGGTGAAGATGACGTTACGGCCGTCACAGCTGTTGTCTAGGCGCATAACAGGCCGCGCTGGACGAAGAGGGCTGCGGCGGACGACTGCGCAGCGTGCAGTGTGCCTGGAGCAAAGACTAGTAGGACCAAAGTTGGGAATTTCGGACAGCGCGGACAGGGCCGCCGCTGACTTTGCACTGCGACTCGCTGAAGCCTCCGACGTCCACTGGCCACTACGCTGGCGCAGCGCCGAAGTCAGCTCTCACTTACTTACCTTACCGGCTATCTCCCTGGGTCCCTTAGGTCCCCCTGTATCCCTGTCCCCCTGTGCCTCCCTTGATTTAGCCTGATGCGACTCATGCAACGCTGATGGTGTGCATGTTCAAGGTGCAAAACGCGCAGACTCTGCAACCATGCACGAACGGGGCTAGGGAAGGGAAGGCTAAGGGTTTTTGAGCACGTGTCTGGGCACGACTTGTGCGGCTTTGCTGGCCCTCAAATCCTCACTCGATTCCACCGATGCAGCGTTCTGCCCGTCTGTCCGCGCCTGAGCAAAAGCTCAAAGTGGTTAATTGCGGCTGCAGACTAGTCGCACAAGTCGCAGATGGGTGTGGCTGAACCCAATCGTTACCACCCTGGTTTGCTCCCCACACTCGCATCGGCGGCGAGCCAACGAGCCAACGAACACACCCGATGCAAGCACTCGACGTACTCGACACGACGCCAAATGGCCCTCCCTAGCCTTCCCCGCAGGTTCTCGACCCAGCCAAGTCCAGGTCGCACCGGTGATGCCGCCGGCGCAGCCGGTGACTGCATATGGCTGCATGGCTGCACCGGCGCTGGCCGTAGATCCAGATTCCCAACTTGATGCCAGGTTGGGAATCTGCTCACTGCTCGCCCGGTGCTATATGCTATATGCTATCTCAAAACCTGTTGCATGCGCCAATCCGCCGGCAGTCTGACGCCAATCAGTCCAGTGCAATCCCCAACTCTGTTCCGGCTGCGACCGGGCCGCCTGCCCGTGCCGACAGGCGTGCCCACCGCAACCACCATACCACACCGGTGAGTGGTTGCGGCTTTTGGCAAAACCGAAGAAATGTACAGACGACAGCGCGCGCCGGCACGGGCCGGAGGATTGGGGATCGTCACTCTTTTATTTCCATAGAACTGGGAGGAAAAAAGGCACGGCAGCATGCCCACAGGGATATGCCCTTCCCAGGGCCAGGGTAATCTGCGGGAGACACACACCCAACGATGGCAGCACGCGTTTTCTCATCTGGCCTTTGATGCAGCCCCCCGTGCCTCGCCGCCCTCTGACTGCCCCGCAGCAGCTCCGTCAGCACCCAGCCAGCCAGCCAGCCAGCCAGCCAGCCAGAACAACAAACCGGCCGAGACCAGAGCACACTACTCTCGGCTTTTCACTCTCTCTCTCTCTCTTATCCTCACTTACCACCACACAAGTCTTGTGCATATCTGCAAGCTTACATCGAGTGAAACCAACGCCTCACGGCAACAGCTCCACTCCCCCCCCCCTTCTACGTGAGTTGGCAACTTTTTTCACCATTCCGCAGAGCGTGCCCGCACTACCGCAGACGGGTAGCGAGGAGGCATGCCTCCGCCGTGTGCCGGCTGGCGACGGGGCGGCCGACTGGCGAGCCGACGAGGCGTCCAGCGCCTCTTCCGGGTTACGGCTGACTTCGCCTCGGCATTCAGAATTTCAGCGTTAGACAATCCGCTAACTTACCAAGTCCATCCACTGAATCACAATGTTCCGCGGCGGTACCATCGCTCGCCGAGCGTTCATGGGTGCGGCGGCTGCCTCGGCGGTCGTCGGCGCCTACGCCCTTTCGGAGGTGCGGCCGACGACGCTGCTCGAGTCGAACCGCGCCGCGGCCAACAAGAAGCGTCCCGGCCCGTTGTGGGCGCCCATGACCCGTGCCGAGATGCTGGCGCACCTGCACACGTCGGGCGTGTTCATCAAGCGCACGAGCGAGGGCGGGCCCGAGCCTGGCCCCGTTGACCCCAACTACGTCCCGAAGGACGGCGACGATGTGTTCGACCTCCTCATCGTTGGTGGCGGAGCTACCGGCTCTGGCACTGCTGTGGACGCTGCCTCGCGCGGCCTCAAGGTCGCCCTCGTCGAGCGCGACGACTTCTCCTCCGGCACCTCGTCCAAGAGCACCAAGCTCGTCCACGGCGGTGTGCGTTACCTCCAGAAGGCGGTCATGGAGCTCGACTACGAGCAGTACAAGCTCGTCAAGGAGGCGCTGCACGAGCGAAAGATCTTCCTCGAGACTGCGCCCTACCTCTCCAAGCCCCTGCCGATCCTCCTCCCGATCTACACCTGGTGGCAGCTGCCCTACTACTACGCCGGCTGCAAGATGTACGACATGCTCGCCGGTGGCGAGAACATGGAGGGTGCCTACTGGATGGGCAAGAACCGCGCGCTCGAGGCCTTCCCCATGCTCAACCCCCAGAACCTCGTCGGCGGTGTCGTCTACTATGACGGCCAGCACAACGACTCGCGCATGAACATTTCGCTCATCTCGACTGCCGTTCAGCAGGGCGCCATTGTCGCCAACCAGACCGACGTCATTGAGCTCCACAAGAAGCCCGACCCGAAGCACAACGGCGAGCCCCGCATCTACGCTGCCACGGTCCGCGACCGCATGACCGGCGAGGAGTACATGATCCGCTGCCGCGGCGTCATCAATGCCACGGGCCCCTTCTCCGACGGCCTCCGCAAACTTGACGAGCCCACGACACAGGAGATTGTCGCCCCTTCCTCCGGAGTCCACATTACCCTTCCCGTGAGTCACCCAGAAAATTCATTGCCGCTTAGGTGCCCGGGTGGCGCTGGGCACTGACCCGATGATACCCGGGCACTATAGTCGCGCGGGCGATGCGATAAGCGAGAAAGGCAACTGTGCTAACACGCAGAACTACTACGGGCCCAACTCGATGGGTCTGCTCGACCCCGCGACGTCTGATGGCCGTGTCATCTTCTTCCTCCCCTGGCAGGGCAACGTCATCGCCGGCACGACCGACTCGCCGTCGTCGATCTCGCAGAACCCGATCCCGTCCGAGCACGAGATCCAGTGGATCCTCGACGAGGTGCGCCGCTACCTCTCGCCGGACATCAAGGTGCGGCGCGGCGACGTGCTGTCGGCGTGGTCGGGCATCCGCCCGCTCGTCCGCGACCCGGACGCTAAGAACACCGAGTCGCTCGTGCGCAACCACATGATCAACATCAGCCCGGGCGGGCTGCTCACGATCGCGGGCGGAAAGTGGACGACGTACCGCGCGATGGCGGAGGAGACGGTCGACGCGGCGATCAAGGAGTTTGACCTGCACCCCAACGGGCCGTGCCAGACCGAGCACCTCAAGCTCGTCGGGTCCCACGCCTGGTCGCCGACAATGTACATCAAGCTCATCCAGCAGTTCGGTCTCGAGACGGCCGTCGCCAAGCACCTGGCCGAGTCGTACGGCGACCGCGCATGGACGGTCGCGTCTATGGCCGAGCCGACGGGACTCTCGTGGCCGATCCACGGCGTCCGCCTCGCCCCGCTCTACCCCTACATCGACGCCGAGGCGCGGTACGCGGTGCGCAACGAATTCGCCCTCAAGGCGACCGACTTTATCGGCCGCCGTACCCGCCTCTCCTTCCTCAACGTGCAGGCGACGCTCGAGGCCCTGCCAGCCATCATCGACATTATGGGCGAGGAGCTCAACTGGTCCCAGCAGCGCAAGAACCAGGAGTTCGACGAGGCACTGCAGTACCTCAAGTCCATGGGCCTGCCGGAGAACACGCAGCTGAAGCTGTCCGACCTGAAACGCCGCGGCAACGTGCCCGTCTTCGGCCTCACCAACTCGACCGAGGCGGCACTCTACGCCCGCTCGGCGTTCAGCCCCAAGGAGCTCGCGCGCCTCAAGGAGCAGTTTGCCCACCTCGACTTTGACAATGACAACCGCATCACCAAGGCCGACCTCGTCTTCGCCATGAAGCAGATGGGATACGACGCCTCGGACGCCACCGCCGCGCGCATCCTCTCAGAAGTCGACTTTGGACGCAAGGGATCCCTCGACTTCCAGGACTTCCTCGACATTGCCGCCGGACTCAAGGAGCTCCAGATCGAGAGCGCCTTCACCCACCTCGCCAAGCTCGACGAGAAGGTCGACCCGGACGCTGTCCCCGCCATCCCCGTCGAGCGCTCTGGTGGTGGTGCCTAAGTGCCTTCCTCGCTCCCCGTTACACTCAACGAGTATTATTCCTGGCGAATACCAGCAAGCGGTTAGCGAATATTCTTCCAGCCGCTTGATACTGCCTTGCTCTGCCTCCCGCTGCGCCACTGTGCCGTGCAGAGATTTGTATTGATAGAGGACTTTTTTAGACATGCATGAGAAGTAGAATTTCCACGCATCGTTGCGTTGCAGTTTGAGAATGAGTTTTCTATGTGCTACTGATCTGTTACGAACAACGAACATGGCTAGTTGGAGTGCGCCGCCGCGTTCCAGTTTGCAAGCGAGCCCTGGGCACGAGGGATGTGACGGTCCGTCTTGGCGTCCTCCGGCTCCGTCTCCGGCTCCGACTCCGGCTCGGCGTCGACGGGGCCATAGCCTCCTCCGCCAGGCGTGCAGATCACGATGCGGTCGCCAGCATGCATTGTGCACTGGTTCGAGCCGCCGAGGTTGATGACGTCGTAGTCGGTGCTGCTGAACCAGTCGTCCTTCTTCTTGGCGCTGTCGCTTACCTCGGACGCCTCCTTGATGCCCGGGATCTCGGCGTTGGCCTCGGACTTGTCGGTGTCCTTGTCCTTCTTGGGCTGGTCGTGCTTCTTGCGGAACCACAGGTTCTCGCCGCGCTTGCCCGGCTCGCCTCCCGCCATGCCGTACGGCGGCACGACGCGGCGCTGCGACAGAATCGCCACGTCCAGGTCGGTCGTGAACTCGATATCGCGGATGCAGCCGTCGCCGCCGCGGTGTTGGCCCGCACCACCCGAGTGCGGGCGGCGCGCGAAGCGCCGGATGATCACCGGGTACAGGCGCTCCGTGATCTCGACGTCGCCCTGTGGGTCAGCTTGAGAGGTGTAAGGGTACTCACGATACAGGTGTTTGTGCTGTGCACGTGCACGCAGGACTGGCCGTCCCACGTCGGTCCCGCGCCTGATCCACCGGCGATGGTCTCGTAATACCCGAAGCCCGGCTGGGTCTTGCCGTTGACGTCTGTCGGGCCCTTGCCGAATGTGAGGTTGTTGCACGAGCCCTGAGACGCGGCGCAGGCCTGGAACGCCTTCAGGATGACATCCGTTACACGCTGCGATGACTCGACATTGCCGGCGCAGACCGCGACGCCATCTCCTGGCGCAAGGAGAGACTCTGGGGGCACGATGACCGTGATTGGAGACAGGCAGCCCTGGTTCAGCGGCAGGTCAGACACAATCAGCGAGCGCAGGACGTAGATGATACTGCTAAACAGGATCGCAGTGGGCGTGTTCAGGTTGTTGTACCTGTCGAGTTAGCTCCCAGCATATATCTACAGCTGTTTGAGAGGCGGACTCACGTCTGCGGGCTAGTACCCGTAAAGTCAAAGGTGGCATCGCCCTTCTCTCCGTCGATCGAGATCTTGAGCTGCAGTCTCGTGCCATCGTCGAGGAAGTCCTCCGCCTCGAGAGGCTTGCCGCCAAACTTCTCCGCGACCTTGCGAAGGAGTTCACGGACGGCCTTCTCGGCCGTGTGCATGATAGCCTTCATGTAGAACTGCACCGTCTGCAGTCCCTGCTCGTCGACAAGCTGGTTGATCAGGACCGCACCGCGGTGGCACGCGGCAACTTGGGCATGCAGGTCGGAGATGTTGTCGCGCAGCGTGCGCGTCGGCTCACAGCCGGGATACTCGCCAGGCTTGTTCAGCGCAGCAGTAACACCTTCCTCGTCAAACTTGCCCGCCTTGACGAGCTTGAACGAACGGAACTGGGCACCCTCCTCCCACAGCTCCTTGGAGAAGGGCGGCATCGAGCCAGCACGGATGCCGCCAATGTCCGCGTGGTGCGCGCGCGCAGCCGTCCAGAAGATGATTTTGCCGTTGTGGAATGCAGGCATGATCACGGTGAGGTCGGGAAGATGCGAACCACCAGAGGCGGGGTGGTTCGACAGAAGGATGTCTCCCTCCTGCAGAGTGTCGCCGTGGATACGAGCCTGGTGGCGGACAGCGTGCGACATCGCACCCAGGTGGCACGGGATATGCGGCACATTCGCCACAAGACCACCGTCAACGTCAAAGATGGCGCACGAGTAGTCGAGACGCTCCTTGATGTTGATACTGATACTGATCTTGCGCAGAACATTGCCCATCTGCTCGGCAATACCCATCAGCCTGTGGCCGTAGACAGAGAGCTGGACGGGGTCTACCTGGTCAAGATCCTCCAGGTTCTCCTCTGCATCGCCCTTCTTCGTCGCGTCAGCGTCAACAGCATCGATGACAACATGCTCCGGGAGCGAAGTGGCGATGTGGCCCGGCTCCACAAGAATGGTCTGCGTCTTGTCGAAGATGACGGCGGGGCCAGTCACCTGTTCGCCGTCCTTCAGATCCGCAAGCGGCACGACAACAGAGTCAACCCAGCCGAGATTGTCGAAGTAGATTTGCTTCTGCTTGAGGCTGCTCGTGTCGTGGGCAGACTTCTTCAGCTCTTCAAAGTCCGCGTAAGGGGAGCGGGTCGCTGAGCCAAGTGAGTGGCCGACGCCACGCACACGCAGGTCGTCGACGACAATATCGCGCTCCAGGTTGAAACCAAACTCGCGGCGGTGCTCCTCAACGAATCGCTTCTCGACATCGCCATCCTCGGGAAGCTCAACCATGAGCTGCGTAGATGATCCAGAGTAGCGGCAGTTTAGGTATCGCTCGCACTGGATACGCTCGGACGGGAAGCCCTGCTTCTGCAGCGCTTCCTCCGCACGCTTCACCAGCGCACCCATGCGCTCAGTCACCTTGCCGACCTCGCGGTTACCAGTGACGACGTAAGCCGCCGGTTCGCTGAGTTCCTGCACAACATCCGCAAGAGCCATGCCGTACGCCGACAGCAGCGAAGACAGACGCGGGATAATGATGCGCTTAATACCCAGAGCACCAGCGATCGCACATCCGTGTTGTCCACCGGCACCACCGAACATGACAAGGTGATGCGACGCGCTCTCGTACCCACGAGCCTCGGTGAGGCTGATGTCAGCTGCAAGAGGTGATCCTAGCTCACGTTCGAATAGGTCGACACATGGTCTCGTTCGCAACACGGAGGAAGCCGGCAGCGACCTGCTCGACGCTGAGCTTGTCGTTCTTGCCCTTGTTAATCTCCTCCGTGAGCTCAGCGAATAGACGCCTGCTCGCGTCAAGATCCAGCGGCTCGTCCTCGTTCGGGCCAAAGATATGCGGGCTGATGTCAGCTGATGCGGAGTGAATTGCAAAGCTCACAAATGTTCCGGAAGCAGGCGTCCCAGGATCAGATTCGCGTCCGTAACAGCCAGAGGGCCACCCTTCCGGTAACACGCAGGACCAGGGTGAGCTGTCGCCGACTCGGGCCCGACGACGAACATGCCATGCTTGTAGAAAAGACGGGAACCACCTCCAGCCGCGACGGTGTTGATGTCAAGCTGCGGCGCCTGGATGATCACTGTTGTCAGCTGGTCACACTACTTCCCAACCCACCTTCAGCCGTCGTCGTCTCGAAGACATGCTCCAGCTTGCCGTCATAACGTGAAACGTCCGTGCTGGTTCCTGTCCGTCAGCGAATACCGAAGGTAAGAGGGCCGGACTCACCGCCCATGTCAACTGCAATCAGAGCACGGCCGCGCTCTCCGTCATAACACGTCTTCGAGTATCCGACGACACCGCCGGCGGGACCAGACAAAATCGCTCGAAGACCGGAGAATTGGTCCCACGCGCAAAGTCCACCATCACTCTGCATGAAAAGCAGCTTGGAACCGAAAGCCGCGAGGCCGCCCTCGAAGCCAGCTCCGAAGCCCTCGATGTATCGACGAGTGACGGGAGTCAGGTATGCATCGGCGATCGACGAGTTGGCGCGAGACACGAGCTTGATCTGTACGGTTAGCTATAGACGCCCAAAGCAACACAGCTGAGGTGCCTGCGGGATGATAGGCCGAGGAAGGCAGTGTCTCACCATCGGCTGGAGGTCGGAAGAGACCGAAACCTGGAAGCCCATGTCGCGTGCGATCTTGGCGACAAACTCCTCGTGCTCGTTCCAGAGATATGAGTGGACGAAGGCGACAGCGACGGAGCGGATACCCTTGTCCCACAGCGCCTGAAGCTTCTCCTTGACCTGCGCCTCATCGGGGCGGGACAGGATGCGAACAACTTCACCCGTCGTGGTGTCCTTGATGATATCGGTGGACTCGGGGACTGGAACGGGTGCGCAGACGAGCGACTGCAGGGGGGTGATGCGCTCGCCAATCTGCGTGTCAGCTCTGCCCAAACTGGGAGTTCAAGAAGGTATTAAAGCAGCCTGGGAATACGCACCTCAACGACCTCGTCATAGAGGAAGGCTAGCTTTTGAATACTAAGGTCGAAAATGTCGGGACGCGCTGCAGGGTGTTAGCTATTTGGGTCTGGATGCATGAAGCTAAGGGAAAGGAAGAAAGGAAGCTCACCCTGCATGCCGATGAGAAGCACATCACCCCAGCCTTCACTCGTGAGGAGGGCGCAGCGCTCTCCCTGGCGTTCCAGCAACGCGTTCGTCGACACGGTCGTTCCCATGCGGATGCTCTCGATGCCGTCGAGCTTGAGCTTCTCGCTTTTGGAGATCTCGCGCCCCTCTGCAATGCTCAGAATGCGACGAATTCTATCTGTCAGCTGAGATAACCAGCCAGGAAGCTCACCCCTCTGTGGGTGCATCCTTGTAGTTGGCAGGATCAACTGAAAGAAGCTGCTACGTCAGCTGGGCGGAAATCCAGAAGCTTACCTTGATGACGATATCGTCTTTGCCCCTGCGCGACCCAATGCAGTCACAGAACGTGCCTCCGCGGTCAATAGACACGCGCAGCAAGTCTTCTTGCGCTGCCATGGTCGCTTATGCTTGATGAGTAATGGAGGGAAGGCGGGGAAGATGACAACATGAGCAGCTCACCCAGCATTCCGGAAACCGGGGGCTCCGGGGTTCCGGTCCGGGGTGGAGGCGTGCCACTGAACCTTAGTGATAGGACGGAAGGCGGGGTACCACGTCATTTGAAGCGCGTATCTCGCCATGGGTGCATGGTTATCAGCTGCGCCGGGGGCAGTAGCTTGAATGCATGCAGATCATCTGCGCAATGGACGGACAAGTCATGCATAAGGCAGCAGACCGCGATCCGCAGATGGCCGTCTCGCGGGTACTGGCGCCAATCATGACGCGTCCAAGGTGAGGGGACCAAATAGCGCGCAACCAATGGTACGTCACGGTAGCTCGTCGCTCATGTCCCTTGCATTCAGGTGTCAGGTGTTGCTGCTTCAGCGTCAGGCTTCAGCTCAGGTCTAGCCACGACGATTCAAGGTTGCTCCTGTCGTCTCAGAACTCGTCAACACAACATCGCCCGCTTGCTTCACGTTAGCCAGCGACACTAGCGACACACACGCCTCCTCCGCGGCACACACAGAGCCGACGCTCGCTCCCTCTCGACCAGCGCCTCGCTAGCGCCTAGGCGGACCACACGACCATCATGGCTGCTCCGTCCACGCCGGGGGGCAGCCCGAAACTCGGCCCCGCCTTCTCACCAAAAGCAGCGACGGCCGCTGAAGGAAATGCAGCAGCTAGCACGTCTGCAAATGCTGCTGGACCGTCGGGGAACGGGAGCGAAGCGGTCCATGCAGGCGGCTGCTCCGTGCGGTGCCCGTACTGCGACGAAGTGCTGCCGTCCTCCTTTCTGGCTCAGATCCGCTCAACGGAGGAACTCGACCCGCAGGCGTCTGAGGGCTTGCAGAAGTCAGTGCTGGGTGGCGACGGGGCAGAGACGAGCGCGAGCAAGGCCGGAATCAGCGCGGCCGACATCCGGCGGTGGTCTGAACGTGCCGGTCTCGAGCTTCCCCCTCCTTCCCCCACTCCAGCACCCGTCCAGGAGGAGTCGGAAGACCACGCGAAACCGATCCCGATTCTGGCGCCGCCGCCTCCTCCCTCGAGCAGGTCAGCAGCTGCTAAGAACAAGGGTCGCTTCGGCTTCTTCTCCCGCAAGAGCGAGGAAGACGACAGCGATGATGACGACCTCGACGACCTAGTGACCGGCTACGCGAAGCTAGACGAAGGTCCTGACGACGACGACACGTACGAAGAGAAGCCGATCGTGTTCAAGAAGCGCGAGCCCGAACCCGACGTGCAGCCGAAGGCTGAGGCGAAGACATCCGCAGAGTCTGAGGCTCGACCGCCGCAGCCCGCCAGCTCTCTGAACGACCCGACGCTCACAGTCGCCGCGGGCGCATCGGAGCCTGAGCTGCGGCTGTTGCTGAAGGAGGTTCTGGGTCGCATCTCGTCGCTCGTGAGCTAGTACGGAGATTGCGTAGCTGACAAACAGTCCAAATCGCACGAGGAACTCGCCGCATCGCACTCGACGCTGCTGACGTCGCTCAAGATCGCCCGCTCCAACCTTGTCATGGCCGAGGCGAATACGGAAATGCTGGAGAGCGAACTACGCCGCGCCAAGGCTGAAGCAGCTTCTGCCTCTGCTGCCTCGGCCAACGCCGCCACTTCCACACCCAACTCTGCTCCTCGCTCCCGACCGAGCCTCGAGGGCCGACCCTCTGGCGACGCCTCCTCACCTCGGGCTCCGCCATTAGTCAAGGAGAAGTCCTTCGGCTTCTGGGCGCGCAAGGCGTCTCCTCTTCCCTCGCCATCCGGGAACGCCTCGGCCGCAGGCGACGACGACGAGCTCACGCGCCTGCGCGAGCAGGTCGCGGCGCAGGCGACCCAGCTCGACACGTTGAAGCAGGGCAAGCGCGAGATCGAAGCCGAGCTCGAGGGGCTCTCGCAGGCCCTGTTCGAGGAGGCGAACAAGATGGTCGCGGACGAGCGCCGGCGGCGGGCAGAACTGGAGGAGAACCTGCGCGAAGCTAGGGACGAGCGCGAGGCGCTCCGCGCGACGATCAAGGTGCTCGGCGGCAGCGCGCCGGGCACAGAGGCGAACAGCGACGACGAGACGGAGCGCTCCAGCGTCGGCGGGGACTTGACGGCGCACTATGCCGCGCTGAGGGCCGGCATAGACCGGGTCGGGGCGCGAACGCCCCAGCCCACCGGAAGGGTTACGAAGGAGAGTGCGAGCGCCGCCGGCTCGCCGATGCCGATACCAAGCCCGTTGGGCAGGTCCGACAGCTCCGCGGGAGAGGGCAGGGAGACGGAAGCGAACGGCGGAAGCAGTGGGGGCAGCGGCACAGGCAGTGCTGGCAGCGTCACGCCCAGCCGTGAGCCCAGCCCCGACACGGGCGCCAGCGCGAGCGACATGCCGGGCGCTTTCTCCAGCAGCCCGCCAAAGGACGGCCCGAAGGGGTCCGCAGCCATGAACATGCCGCCCATGCCTGTGCCGCTTGAGACGGAGGCGAATCCCTGGGGTTAGGAGCTTCAGGCGCCCCGACTGCCTCTCCGGTCGAGACGCGGTACAGGCGTTAGCCAGAGCGCGGCGGACGGAAGCATGACTGGGAGGGACGGGTCGTTTTAGATCGTGCTAAATGTCTGCCGAGGTGCCGAGGTTGACCCGGTCACGAGGGCGAGGGCGATCAATCACACCCATGACGTTCTGCCGAGGCGATCGACAGCTTGTGCGCCGGCCGAGTGACCTCTGATTACGACCAGATTCACCGCACATACCAATTCGTCGTATAATTTGATCTCTTGTAACATCACTACATGCATGGGGAGGAGTGACGAGGCGAGCAAAGTTGAACGGATGCATTCCACATCATTCCAACTGACTGCCACGGAGCTGGATCACCTTCTGACAACCCCCCCGGAGTGTTGCTGCTGCTCGCGCACTGCGCTCGCGGAAAACATAGGCTGCATCGGTTTGTTTCGGTGATACAAAGGATTGTCACGCAACATGAATCAAGTCTTGTCAACAAGGTAAGAACGAAAAAGAGAAAAAAAGGTTTCAACGACGGAGGAGCGAAAGCGAATTGCAAGTGGTGTGGTGTGGGGAAGGGGGAAGTTGGCGTGGCCTCGGGACTCGGACTGAACCGGGTTGGCGAGGGCGAGAAGTGAAGATACGAAAGGAAGAAAAGAAAGGAAAAGTCGCTGTCAAGTTAAAAGTACGTATGGTTGGGGGTTGTTGTATCAGTTGAGTTGTGGTGCGAGTGTGGATGATGGTATGTGGGTGGGATATGCTGGGTAGGGGCAGATGGATGTGTTGAATGATGCGCGTGGCGATGGCTTTGGTTGTCATCGTGGACGAAACGAAACAGCTTTTGTGGGGTGAGCTGAGATCAACGCAGCGGACGGCCGTACGCCGGGGCCATTTGGGGCATACCGACGCCGCAGTCGCGGTGCTGAACGAGGATAGACGACATGCGCTGCAGCTCGTCCTCGAGCTGGCGGCAGTGGCCCTGCAGACGCTCGTTCTCGACACTGAGAGTCTCAACCTTGTTCTGCAGCTCATTCAGCCACGCCTTCTTGCGCTGTCGGCACTTGAGCGCAGCCTGTCGGTTGCGCTCCAGGAAGTTGCGCCGCTTCTCCTCCTCCGTCTCGTTCCGGTTGCCCGCCGGCTTCTTGTCCTTCTCCCCATCCGTACTGCTGTCCTCCTTCTCGTCCTGCTTCTTGCCCTTCTTGGCTGCTCCACCCTTGTTACCGCCAGTGTCCTTCCGCTTCTGGCCAGCCTGAGGCTTCGGTCCCGTGTTGGACACGTTACGCTTACTCATTACTGGCGTGTTACCAGACGACTTGGCTTCCTCTTCCCTCTTCGACAGCTCCTGGTGAGCTTGCGACAGAAGGAAGAGTCCGTTCGCCGCCTGGCTGGCAGCATTCGCGTTCTGCTGGGCATAGTCGACGGGGCCACCCATCGGGGGAGGGGGGAGGGGCCCGCCTGGCGCGCCAGGCACAGGTCCAGGAGGGTAGAAGGCATTGGGAATGCCGTTCGGAGGCGGCTGCTGCCGGCTAAGCTCGGAAGCAACGGCACCAGTGAGGGCACTGAGGGTGTTGGGAGTGATGGTCGGCTCAGTGGGGCCGGCAGCAGCGGCAGCATTGGCATTGGCGTTGTGCGCCGGGTTCAGGTGCGACATGCCGTGAGGCTGATGCTGGAGGTGGGGAGGGATGGCGGAAGGAGGTTGACGAGGTTCACCGTTCGCAAAGTTGTTGCCGGGAGCGGTGCCTCCGTTGTTGGCGTTGGCGTCGTTTGCTGAGTCGACGTTGGTGATGCTGTTTAAGAATGCAGCAGTGTTCGGACTCGGCATAGGGAAGTTGGAGTTGAGAAGTGCACTGTAGCCTGGGGTGAAGCCAGTGCCAGTTCCGGGAGTGAAGCCAGTACGGAAGTTGCCTGGCTCGAAGTTCTCCTCTCCGGCTGCGTTCTCTTCAGTGTTGTTACCCGCAGGTCCCCATGCATTGGCGCCGGCAGGAGCGGCGTTGTTGGTGTTGTTGGCGTTGTTGGTAGGTCCTTGACTGCCTTGTTGAGGCCCAGCTAGCATAGCAGGGCTTAAAGGACCAGAGCGTAGGGACTGACCGGCCAACCAGGGGAATTGGGATGGGTCAGCAGCCGCAGGACTCGTGAGAGACGATAAAGGAGGAAGGGAGTTGTGCTTGAGGCTGGTTGCATCTCCGCCTCGAGGAGGGGTCGTGCGTTCGCCTTCGGCCGGGGGACCACCACCTGACGGTCCGGACTGCGAACCGCGGGAGAACGATTGTTCGAATGGGTTCGGCTCAAGGTCGAAGTTGGACTTGTTCCCGGAGCGAAGACCAGGACGTTCACGATCTTCACCTGCCTCTGCGGACTTTCCTCGGGAGGGTGACTTGGCTGCAGGGAGGAAGAGGGGAGAGAATAAAGAAGAAGTAGAAGAGGTATGTACAAAGCAGTGTGTGTGCAGGTGAGCGGAGTGCAAGCGGGGATGACGGTGTTGGGAAGCGGTGGTGGTGGTAATGGGTTATACAGCGTGCGAGACGGGTCAGAGGCAGCGTGCAATAGGGGTGGAGTGACGATATATGACCGGTGACGTAGTTGGCGATGGACGGTTGGACGACCAGAAGGGGCGAAAGTCAGCTACTATTCAAGCTCTCTCGAATTCCAATGCACCGAGTCTCGCCTCTTAGCGCACCCCTCGGCGATAGCATGGGCGTACCACCGGAGTGTTCAGCGGCCTTGCATGACGAGGAGGATTTGGATGACACCATCCAGCAATCCAGAATGCCGAGTCTCAAGGTCGGCCCGGCCATACGTCAAACCAAATGTGGTCCGAAAGATGACGCTCCACACCTATAATAGACACAATGTCCAAACAACACGTCCCAATAGAAACGGTACTCACCTTGGTCGTTGGCACCATCGGCCTCCTTCTTCTCGTCAGCCTCCGCCTTGACTTCGGCCGTCTTTTGACTGCTGGACTTCTCGGAAGCAGCGGCAGGTTTCTCATCAGCCGCAGGCTCAGGCTTGGTCTGGGCTGTGGCAGGCGTTAGCCGGTGTGGCTCTATATCTCACGTGGGTCTTGCATGCGACTCACCATTTGAGGGGCCCGCCTGCTGCGAGACGGACCCAGGAGGGGGAGCAACGGCAGCCATTCGCGCGGGACGTTAGTGTGCCGAGAGGGCTACAGGCTTTGTACAGCGAGGTGGGTGTGCGGGGGGCGGAGGGAATGAAAGTGGGTGTGTGGTTCAGGTCGTGGCTCAAAGATGATAGCCGGCGTTCCGATTTTGTTGGTGGCAAGAAGACAGTCGAGGCGCGTCGATGACCGTACTCGGAGCTCTGCAACGCGTAAGTCACTGTTCTGTTGGGCACGATCGGTTCGCAGAAGAGGAAGCTCGGAGTGGTTTAGGCGAATATGGGCAAGGGGAGGTGGGTTTAGAACGAGTGTACGGATGATTAAGCCAACGGGACAGGGAAATGTGGGAAAAGTAATGAAAATAATGAGCCGCCTGCGTCAGCCAACATCCCTCCATGCATGCACAAGGGGGATCGGGGACGTGCAGAGGATGTTGAGCACGTTAGACAGCACGTCTGAACGAGTTGCGCGATGTCATGTAGCGGGATGTCTTGCGCGTGACTGGGATGTTCCAAGGCAAAATTTCGGGTGGAGAGACGCGGGCCGGCTGGGGAGGAAGGGAGGGAAGAAGGCGGGGAGCAAGGGGAAAAGATACTGACGCTGAAAAGTGAGGGGTCACAGTAGAGAATGCACAGAAAGGATCGGCTCAGCGGAACGAGTCGCGAGACGACGAGCAGAGGCTGATTGATGGGTCGTGTTTACGAGTTGGTTGCGGCGAGGTCGGTCGCGGTGGTCGCTTGGGTCAGATGGATGGTCCAGAGGTGGTGACGAAATGAGTAGATGGTGGAAAGCTGCGTCATGGGCACCGGGGGGGGACTATGACGACAACGCTGCCCGCGACCTGTTCTTTCACTCTTTTTTGCTCCCGTCTTTTCAGCGGCCAACCTGGGGGACTCTAAGGGGAGTCTCGAGAGCCCGGCCCACGCTACAGACCCTGAGTCCCTGGACGCTTTTCGGGGAAAAGCGACTCGCCTGTGGGCGTCCACGGATCCACGGCCTTTGCCACCCACATTGGGCACAACTCCGCAGGCCTATCCCCGCCCGCCTGTGCCCGCCGAAGGGGCGCCCAGGAGCGCCATCTTGCGCCATACGTAATCCGTCCTTTCCGATGCCTATTGTTGTGTCAGGCACAAGCAATAACTCCGCATGTGGCAATCTCGGCACGACGATTGGCCTGTCAAGGTGTCCGCTTCAACCTCGGAACAACCTCCACTATCTAGCCTCCTGGATTTTGTTTGTCCAGTCTCTGACAGCTTCATGCACGACCATCTCGGCGTGCACGACCTCGGCGCACGGCGATACAACTAACACCGACATGATCCTGCGACATACCCTCTCAATCTGGGGGTTGTCGCGTGAGCATGGCCTCCGCGGTTTCACTTCGACAGCCGCACGCCTCGGCAAAGCCTCGAAGGTATCAAAGGAGCTGGCCTCCTTACGCACTCTCTCGACAGACGACGACCACAAGAGCGCCCGGGCGTGGGTGGACGGCTTCACCCTGGAAGACGTCCCAAAGGAAGAACTGGACGTGTCGTACGCACGCTCGAGCGGACCGGGCGGACAGCACGTGAACAAGACGAACTCCAAGGCGGTCGTGCGCATCGACATCCACAAGGCGAAGTGGCTTCCTCCGTTTGTGCTGCCGGCGCTGCAGAAGACTGTGAGTTTTCCTGGGCGGGTTTTCCGTAGTTCGACCGACAGCCCTTACCCACCGCACTTCCGAGCTGGATGATCCCAGCTCCCAACCATCCCAGCACCGCCAGGCGCGTACTTCCCCATGGTCCGCGACCTATGCCCCACAAATGGGAGACTGAAGTCAGCTAACGCCCAGCAATACTACCACGCGCCGAACCTGCTGTTCCAGTGCCAGACGTCCCGCTCAGCCCCGCAGAATCTGGACCGGGCGCTGTCCAATCTCCACTCGACCATCGTATCCGCCGCCCGGTCCTTAATCCGCGGTGAGACGAGCCCGGAGCAGCGGCAGCGCGTTGCCGCCCTCGCCGCCGCTGAGAAGGAGAGGCGGAAGGAGTTCAAGATGAAGGCGAAGGCGAAGAAGGGCGCGAGGCGGGGCGACTTCTAGTGCCGCGTCCTCTCAGCGAAGCGACGGTGCGCGGAGCGACTTTGCCACTGGCGGGCGTGCCAGGCGTAGCTTTTCCGGACGACATGGCCGGAGGTGAAATCTGGTGTGAGCGACATAGACACATAGAGAAAGATGATGAAGGGCGTTGCCGCCCGTAGAGTAGTACATAGACACAGCCTGATGTAACACAGTTGTCACCATGACTTCATCCAACCCGGTCGCGGAATGCGGTACACGCAGTTGTGGTGTGTGGGTATGTGAGTATTCATTCTGCGCGTGATCGCACTAGCACACGACGTCGTTCAATGTGGTACGTCTGCGGCGAGGACGCAAGCGAGACGGCAAGTCGAAACGCCAATGAGGTCATGCATCATGAGCCGGCCGGGTGGCAAAAGTGTCAAAAGTCAGTCCCGAAGCACATTACTGGAAGGAGGCTAGCGACACCGAAGCCATGACCGCATTCCGCGTGCGTTCTTTCATCTTATCTCGCCGTCTGTGCTCGCCCTCCGACCTCCACTCTCCACTTCGAAAGTGAACACCGCGAAACCGGCATCACCTGACCATCTACGGTCCGCACACCACACGAGAGGAAGCCAAAGCATTGCAAGCACGCAAGCAACACAGCAGCCATTTGAGTGCAGAAGGTCCCCCGCAGTTTGGCCGGAGCCCCATCCCTGTCCCCACATTAAGCGAGGCGGGGAAATAGGAGTTTTCCAGTCGTCCTCCGGCGCGCGGCGCTCACTGGCTGAGCAGCGTATCCAGCTCCTGCCGTGTCCTGCCGTGTGATGTGCGCGGGTAAATCCAGCCAGAGCTCGGCATTCTGATCACCCCCACTCCTCCCCCCCTCACACTGCTTGCTCTCGGGGGATCTATAAGCCCTCCGACTCGAGCCTGTCGCACACCATGTCTGCCCCCGATCCCAATTCTGAACCACCAACGAGCCCGACAGTGCAAGTGCAGAGAACACCGCTGCCGCTCGACATCCGCGACCGCATCCTATCGCACCTCATCCCGCCCACGCCGCCTCTGCCGCCCACGCTCCTGTCCCGCGACTTTCTCGAGCGCCTCGCCTTCCTACCCCCAGCGCCGGACGACATTGACGGCCAGCTCTCGCCCTTCACCTCTCCGTCCCCGAACGCACTCGCCCAGGCCCTTGCCGCGTGCGAACTCTCTCCCCCCTCTGCAACCCAGTACACCTACGACGGCACGATGATGGCGCGCACGCTAGTCCAGCCGGCCGACTACCTCTCAGCCGCCGAGGAGCGGAAGACGGTCGAGATCGGCTTCGAGCAAGACGAGGACCGGGGGTGGGTGTACCGTGGGTCCAAGTTTTCGATTGGCGGGGACGACGACGGGTGGTACAGCGACGTGGAGGAGGTGCCTGTCCAGCCTGCCGAAGCTAAGGAGGAGCGCGACGAGGTGAAAGACTACTGGGCCGGATGGAGCAGTCCGGAGAGCGACAGCACGGGCATCCAGGAGCAGGACGACGAGGACGCCTACTGGGCGCAGTACGGCGCCGGCCCCCCTCAGCCCGAGTACCCTGCCCCGTCGCCGCGCACACACTCGCCGGCGCCTTACACTGCCCCAGCCCCGGCCGCCTCGCCTCCGAAAGCCGCCTCATCCGGCTCGCCCGACATCGACAGCATCACCTCGCAGACCGCAGCGCTCTCAACCTCTCAGCCGAATCTGCTCGAGGAGAAGCTCGTGGCCAAGCTCAAGTGTCAGCTCCTCAAGGCGTGGGCGCAGTTCCGCGGCTCCTCCCCCGCCGACGACGAGTGCGCCGTGCTCGCGTGGCTGCGCGTGTGTCGGAATGTCAACTCGCGCCCCGCCTGGGGCTTCGTCTCCACCGAAGTCGAAAACGAGGAGGCGGACGAGGTACACCCCGGCATGCACCAGGATGCCGAGGTCAAGGAGATGATCCTGCGCACGCGTGTTGAGAACATTAGGGACATCTTTGAGGTGCTCGGGAAGGACAAGAGCGAGTTTTGGCGCTGGTGCGAGGAGGCCATCCGCGTTAGGCAGACGAATGAGCAGGAAAAGGAGGATTACCAGGGTGTCTGAGGCAAGATAGGTTGTACGAGTTTAGAGCAGTCATGATTGTACGCAGCGCAATTGTAACCACAAGAGCTTAGCAGAATTAGCCCATGCACGCATTGTTCCCAGTGTCACAAAGAGGCAAAAACTACTGGGGATTTGCATAGCTTTCTAGTTACCGAAGTGCCTACTCTTAGTATCAAAAACAAGCTTGCCTTTCAGCTCGCCCTCACGATTAAGCGCGGAGAGCACCGGCCTTCTTCTGCTGAGCAGCGACGACGAGGCTCTTGACGAGCTCGAAGATACGGCGCTGCGCGACAAACATGAACGCAGCGGTGAGCGCCGACTGGAGGAGCTTGGGGCCGATACCGGCGTACAGGCCCGAGATGCCCTCGGTCTTGAGGATCTGGATGACGGCAGTGATCGACGACTTGTACTTGTGCGTGGCAGCCTGGAGGCGCGACTTGACAACAAGCTGGTTGTCAGCTAAGGCTGCACTATCATGGCGAAGCGAAGCTGCTGCCACAGTAACTCACGTAGGGGTAGGTCACTCCCGTGGCGACGAGCTTGGAGAGCGCGCCGAGGATGAAGAAGTCCCAGTCGGTGAGGGATCCGCGGCCAGCGACGCTCGTCGTGCCAGAGCGCTTGGCGCGCCACGTAAGGACAGCGCTGACCAGGCGCTCAAAGGTGGTGTACTGTTGTCAGCTGATGTCTCCAGCGCACGGGCTCTGCTGTCTCTGCCGACAAGTAAAAAGTCTCGTCCAACGGTCTGGAGCGCCTCGGCTTCTCAAGCCTGTCATTGCCGTAATGTTTCCCTTTGGGGTCGGAAAAGACAGGCAGACGCCGTACACGATGGGTCCATCGAAGTACGCAAGGAAGCTCGAGACGTGGCGGAGTTGCTCGATGGCATATTGTTGCGCATGTTGCGCTCGCACTCACCTGGATCACCGGGTTGATAACAAGAATGAGCGCCGGGCCGATACCGCGCCACAGGCCCTTGATGCCGTCCTGCTTCAGGATAGCCTTGAGCGCGCTAGACGCCGTCGGCTTCTCCTTCTTGCCCGACTCGTTCGTGACACCCCGCGTCGACTGGTACGCCTGCACCGTCCAGACGGGGTTCGTCACGAGCGTCGTGACGGTACCTGATGGTCAGTTCTGACAGCGTAAGGCGAGCTGAGCTGCGGAAACGACTCCACAGACATGCGCCTGACGGCGGACTCATGACTTACCAGCAATGAGACCAGCGAGGATACCCTCGCCCGTCGTGAGCGCCGAGCTCGTGCTGCCGGCCGGGCGGCGGCGAAGGATCTTGGAGCGCGTCTCCTCGTAGAACGCCTGAGGGGTCAGCCCACGTTCCTGGACGAACCCAATATTGCTTGCGGTGCGTGTCGGCCGGGCCTTAGATTTCACTCAAGCCAGGGCACCACAACACGGAGCGCGCAAATCGCACACCGCCGCGCATAGTCGCTGTCTTACAGCTGTTGCAAGAGACGCTGAAAGTCGTACTCACGTAGTAGACACTGTTCGAGAAGACAATGCCGACGAGCGAAGAGCCAAGACCGGCGTAAAGGCCCGAAAGACCCTCGTCGTGGATCGTCTTCTTAATGGCCTGGACGAGGGTCATGTCCGACTTCTTGGTAGCGACGGCGGCACGGGTCGACAGGTTGACGAGGGGGTAGGTGAGGGCCATGGAGATGCCGCCGCCGACACCGCCGGCGAGCGCGTGAATCGCAGAGTCTCCCATTGTTGTTGAAAGAGTGAAAGAGTGACGGGTTGATAGGGTTAAGGTGCTGGGTTGTGCGGGTGCTGACAGCGACAAGAACAAGAAGAAGGGAAGAAGAAAGGGAAGGGGGTGTTGTGACGACAAGAAAGAGGAGTAATGTCGGTGCGTCGAGGTGAGTGGGAGGCTGAGGCTTTGCACAGGCACCAAAGAGTTGGAGATGCTTGCACGGCACGGCACGACAACAAGCAGCCCAGCCCCAGTCTCAGCGTCACTGCACCACTGCGGTGGGTACGGTGGGCGTATGGGCAGCAAGTCAGCGGAGCGGAGCCCTCCACTCTGTGTTGCTACGCTCCTTCATCCGGACCCAACTCGGCCTTACTTCTAACCGGTCTTCGGACCTCACCGGCTTTTCGGACAGCCGTGCAAAGTCGAGGTCAGAACCACTCGTGTTGCGGCCGCGACACGATCCGCGCGCCGCGAGCTCACAGGATCACAGGCCACGCACGGGCACCACGGAATCCACCGCTGGCTTGCAACCTTACGCGGCCCTGTCGGCCCAGTGACGGGCCAGCAACGTGCCACGATTGGGTAAGAAAGTGTACGATTGGCCCCGCGCCCCATTCGGTGACTCACGGCTTTCACGCGATTTCACGCCCAGGCGCCCGCCCAGCCAAGCCCCTGTCATCCACACTTCGTGTCGGCAACCTCCACCTGGGAGTCTAGCCTTTCTCCGCCTCCACTCGTCAGACGCAATCATCAAGATGAACCAGTCACATAAACACATCTACGAGTCTACTGCTATATACCACAGATTGTTCCACATTGTGTGTTTCGTCTTATCGTGTCTTCTTTCGTTTCTTGATTTGGTTGAGTTGGGGTTTATGGAGTTGTGTTGTTTCGATGCCGGTGAGTAATGATATTGGTTATGGTTTCGTATCTACAGCTATTATTGGTTCGTTGGGTTTCACACAGGTTATCTCTAAGACTAGGAATACACCGAGGAGTTCTCGGAAAACTACTTCTGACACTCTTCTTCATTACCCGGCGCCTCTCAGAAGCCCGGGATACCCGCGCCGCTCTCGACAACGTCGAGGATCGTCCTGCTGATACTCTCCTGCTCCCGGATCAGGCCGCGGACGGAGCGCACAGCAATCTCCTTGCTATTCCTGTCCTCGTCATCAGCGCGAATCGTCTTCGCGAGCTTGTCGACCTTCTTCCCACTCTCGAGTGCCTCGAGCAGCACGTCCTGGCACAGGCCGGCGAGCTGACGGTAGGCTGCCTGCTTCAGGGGGCGCGTGAAGGCACGGCTCTTGAGGCCACCGTGGCGGCTGGTCGCGACAATGGTCGGGAACTCCTCCGGGGGCGTGACCATGACAAGGAGCGTGAGCATCAGGCCGGTGCTGGGAGCCGGCTCGCCACCGTTCGCAGCCAGGCGGTTGTGGCCCCACATCCCCTCGTCCTCGAGGAAGGCACGCTTGCGCTCGCCCTCCTCCGTCCCGCCGAGCTGGCTCTCCCACATAGCCTCAACCCAGGGGTTCACGTCGACGTCGCCGTTCGGCCAGAACACGCCGGCGCCGTCCTCGCTGTCGTCGTGGGTTTCCGTGAATCCGTACTCGGCAAAGAGCATTGCGTTCGAATGCGGGCCGTAAAGGAACTTGACTTCCTCGTTCTCGTTCAAACCGCGCAGCGGGGCGAAGAGCATGAGGTCGACCTTGCCCGGCTGCAGCTTGCCGACCGGCGGCTTGCCACCCCGATAGTACAGTTTGCCATTCAGCGTTGCGCTCGGGATCGGTTCCGGTTTCGGGCAGTTAAACTCCTGCAGCGACGAGTGGTTGATCATATCGAGCAGCGGGATGAACGAGTGGTTGTTCACGGGCCACTTGGCATCCGCCGGCTCCGAGAGCCCGAGCGGCATCGCAACCGTACGCGTGTTCACTGGGCGTTAGAGTGGCCATCACGTTTGTATTCACCATTCAGCCACGCCCAAAGCAGGGCGTTCTCGGGGATGGCGTCGATGACGCCTTGCGACTTGAACGGCTCCACCGTCGTCTAAACCCTGTCAGCGTGGTCTTGCGGGGATGGCATGTGGGCAACTCACGAGCACTCGCTTGAGCACGGCGAGGTCAGCATCGTATCGCCGCCGGACGGCGTCAATCTTCACGCGCACACTACGAGAGAGCCTGCTCTCAAGCGTCTGCCAGAAGTCGTCCTTGGACAGGGACCACGTGAGAGGGTGCCATGGGGTGAAGTCGGTCTCAATGCTGTCGAGGAAGATCTGCCACTCGGAACGGTGCCTGCCGCGCGCATCGTGGGTCAGTGCGAGGTGGAGGGCGAGGAGCTGCGTCGTCGTGAGCCTCGGGACAGCGGAGCTCGGCGACTGCGGGGGCGAGTCCGAAGACGCCAGAGCCGGGAAGAGCTCGAGCGGGATCGAGTTCAGCGGCGACTTTGCCAGCGTCAGTGGGTTCAGCAAGCTCGCCGCCGGAATGCGCAGCACGGGCTCGCCAGGCTGAGGTCAGCCTACTGTCTCACTGTGAAGCTTTGAAGCTGGCTTACGTTGAGAGCCTTGCCGTACGCGAACAGACCGCGTCCAGCGGCGTCGGCATCCTGCAGCTCAAGCTTGTTGTAGAAGCCCTTGAAAGTCGAGAGCCAGTCGAGCAGCGCCTTGGCGTTGGAGTCTACGACGGCCAGGGATCGCTGGGCGTCTACCATTGTTATTGTCTAGATGTGGGGTTGCGGAGTTGAAGCCGCGGAGGAGTGGGTGTTATAAAGAGCAACGCCGCAGACGTGTTCGGCATGCAATGTGACGTGTCGCGGGCAACTGTCACCGTGCAGTTGTTGTTATCGTGTTTCGTGGGGTTCGTTCGACTCGATGTGGCGAGATCTGACGAGCTGCGCGCAATGTCAGGTGATCGTCCCGCGTGCCGCGCACACGCCGTGAGCCGTTCGCCGCCGAGGTGCCTTTGGCTTGGCCGGCGGCGAACGCTCATTCCGCAAAGTTATGGTGTATTCTAGAGTGTCATCATGCGGGGCTCCAGCACGGAGCCAAATATTTCCCTCCACCGCACACCGTACCAGCTGCACGTCACCTCTCACGAGCTCATGAACGGGCCACGGCGCGAGAGCACGCAACGACACTCTACGGCCAAGCAAGCAGGATGATCAACGACCCCAACGCCGATACTGAATTGTAAGCTAAGTTTGCTGAAGGAGCTAACAGGCAGCAATGATGCGCTCCGCGCGCACGGCATTCTGCCGCCCAAGCCGCCATCGCGCTCGCCTTCCCCCGATGTGCCGCACATCTCGCAGGCCGACGCCGTTCGAGCAATTGCGTCAACAGCAGATGCGGAGCAGCTCGGCACTCTGCTTGAGGGTGACAACCTCGACTCGGACGACGAGCGGATGTTTGAGGACTACCGTCGTCGCCGACTTGCGGAGATGCAGCGTGAGGAGAAGCGGGGACGTTTCGGAACGCTCGAGCCGCTCGGACGGGACGACTTTGTCCGTGAAGTCACGGAGGCGAGTAAGCTGAACGCCGACGGAGAGGTTGAACCAGACTCGGAGCCAGAAAACAAGGACAGTGATGACGAGGACGAGCGGCCCAAGATGGTCCAGGCGAGGCGATTGAAGGGCACTGGTGTTGTCGTCTTCCTCTACAAGGATTCGTAAGTGGAGAGAGTGCAACTGAACTCGATTCTGCCCCTCAAAGTCTGCCAGCGCTGGCAGGCAGACGATGAAACGCTGGCAGGAGATTAAATGCTTAGCTGACATCAGCGTGCCGCTGTCCCAGCATCTGCGCCCGCTCCTGCAACAGGTCGCTGCCGCGCACCCCGAGACCAAGTTCCTCGCTATCCAGGCGCAAATGTGTATCCCCAACTACCCCGACCGCAACGTTCCCACTCTCCTCGTCTACCGCAACGGCGACATGGTCGGAAACGTCGTTGCTGGCATGGGTCTGAAGGGCATGAAGACGACAGCCAAGGGTGAGTGGAAGCCACAATGGGCGGGCGTGCTGGAGAAGATCTGAGCAGTTGCTGTGAGCAGCACAGTGTGCAGGGCTCCAGTGGCCTCGGGATGCTTTCCTGCTATCGTGGTCCGGCGCTTGACAATGTGGATCGGAGTTGTACAGCTAAGTAATGTTTGTACGCAAGCTGACTCGCAGACGTCGAGAACCTCCTCCTCCACTACGGTGCGATCGAGAAGCCGTCTCCCGCCCTGCGCCGGAGCAACAACAGCGATGACGACTCGGACTTGGACTCTGACGGCGGCGATGTCGGCACTGTGAACGCGCGCTCAGGGGGTATCCGTGCAGCCGGTCGAGGACCGGGAACAGGCCGGAAGCAGGAGGACAGCGATGACAGCGACTTTGACATGTGATCAGCCAGTGGCTGCGCGACTTTTCCAGCTGCCTTGTATAGATGTTCGATCGATCGCTATCAGAGTGACCGCTGCGTGCAGGTGTGCCGGGTAGACGGTGTGTAACCGGTGCGCGCTGTGGTGCGGGCCAGGATTGGGCCGTGTGTATGCATTAGATGACCGAATAGTGTTGGCCGACCCGGCCGACGGGCAGCGAGACAAGAGAGTTCGGCAACATCGCCTGGGCATGGGTCGATGGGCGTGGAGATGGGAGGCCGCGCCTGGAGACGCCCGCGCTGGAGAGTGGGGAGGGGTGGGCTTAGGTGGAGGCACATGTGATGGGCAGTCCGGGGCCGCCAGTTGCGGTGTGGGTAGCATGGCTGCATCAGCATGTGGTGACCAGGGGCCGATATACCCCCGTCTGATAATCATCGTTGGCAGGAGTATAATGGGCGTTGTAATGGGTGCTGGGTGGACCTATTACATGCCTCGAGGCCGGACCCACGCGCCCCGCGCCCGGCGGCATCCACGTCATTGAAAAGATAATGGAGCCACCCGACGCCGGGTATCCGGCTACCGCCCTACCGGATCAAACGGAACGTAGCGCAACACTAGCTCTCGGCCCACGGCCCGTGACCATACATCTACTGCACCCGGCTACCCACACCGAGTGTCCAACCTCTTTTTATCCATCGCTTTCTTTCTCTCCTCCAGCATCAACTGTAACCAACTCGCCTCCCACACGATCAGCATCGAGGCTTAGACGTCTAGTCCACATACCCACTGAAATTCTAGTTTAAAGCAACCTTAGAACCCCCCCAAACTCGCTCCCACACCCCTCCCCCCACCTCCCGCAACTATGGCTCCTCAGCTCGACTTCAAGGACCTCGTTGTCCTCATCACCGGTGCCGGCGGTGGTATCGGCAAGGCGTGAGTACTCTGAGTCCGCGGGTCTTGCAGATCCGGCGGTGAAAGCAGTGAAAGCGTTACGGTGCTGACATGTGTCCTCGTGGGAATCCGTACCTGCGCCGTTTCAACTCTCCAGTTACTGCCACCTCTTCGGCTCGCGCGGCTCCAAGGTCGTCGTCAACGATGTCTCTGAGAAGGCTGCCCAGGCTGTTGCCGACGAGATCATTGCCAGTGAGTAATCTGCAGAAGAGGAGTTGGCGTTTCTAACAGCGACTAGACGGCGGACAGGCCGCCATCGCCATCGGCTCGGTCACCGACGGCCAGAAGATTGTCGACCAGGCCGTCAAGGCCTTTGGCACCGTCCACGTCCTCATCAACAACGCCGGCATCCTCCGCGACAAGTCGTTCGCCAAGATGAGCGACGCCGAGTGGGACGCCATCATCGCCGTCCACCTCAAGGGCGCCTACTCCATGACCAAGGCCTGTTGGCCCCTCTTCCGCAAGCAGAAGTTTGGTCGTGTTATCAACACTGCTTCGCCTGCTGGAGTATATGGCAATCGGGGCCAAGTAAACTACAGGTAAGCATCGCTTTTTTGACGTTCTTTGTGAAGAAAACGCATGAGAAAAGCGTTGTTGAAGGTCGGAGGGTCGTAAAAAGGTGGTTGGGTGGATGTGTGGTATGGTGGTGTGGCGGTGTGGCAGTGTGGCACCAATTTCGGTGGTTTCGACGACTGTGGTGGAGGCCAGAGCTAACGACAGTGCCGCCAAGGCTGCGCTCATTGCCTTCTCGATGTCGCTTACCCGTGAGGGCCCCAAGTACAACATCAAGGCCAACACCATCGTCCCCCTCGCCGCTTCGGCCATGACCGAGACTGTCATGCCCCCCGACGTCCTCAAGTCGCTCACCGCTGAGCACATTGCCCCTCTTGTCGGTGTTCTTACCGCCAAGAATGGACCCGACGTTGGTGGCCGCATCTTCGAGCTCGGCGGAGGCTTCTTCTCCGAGGTCCGCTGGGAGCGCTCGCAGGGTTACATCTGGAAGACCGACAAGTCCTTCACCCCCTCGGCCGTCGCTTGCAAGTGGGACAAGGTCATGGACTTCTCGCACCCCGAGTACCCCACCGACGCCGTCCCTCAGGACATGATCCGCGTCCTCGAGGCCCAGCCCACTCTCCAGCCCAACGAGCAGGGCCCCACTGTCTCGTTCAAGGACCAGACCATCATCATCACCGGTGCTGGTAACGGTCTCGGCCGCTCGTACGCCATTGAGCTGGCCCGCGGCGGCGCCAACGTTGTCATCAACGACGTTTCCGAGAAGGCCGCCCAGGCTGTCGTTGACGCGATCAAGGCTGCCGGTGGCAAGGCTGCCGCTGCCGTCTGCTCGGCCACTGACGGTGAGGCCATCGTCAAGACTGCCCTTGACAACTTCGGCGGTCTCCACGGCGTTATCTGCAACGCCGGTATCCTCCGCGACAAGGCCTTTGTCAACATGACCGACGACATGTGGGACGCCGTCATCGACGTCCACCTCACCGGCACCTTCAAGGTGTGCAAGGCTGCCTGGCCCATCTTCTACAAGCAGAAGTACGGCCGTATCATGACGACCGCTTCGCCCAACGGTGTCTACGGCTGCCACGGCCAGTGCAACTACGCCACTGCCAAGTCTGGTCTCATCGGCTTCATGCGCGCCCTTGCCATTGAGGGCCAGAAGCACAACATCTTTGTCAACACCATCGCCCCCCGCGCTGGTACCGCCATGACCGCCACTGTCTGGACCAAGGAGATGCTCGAGACCTTCAAGCCCGACTTCATTGCCCCCATTGTCGCGTACCTCGTGTCGGACCGCTGCGAGCAGACCGGCACCTTCTACGAGACCTTCGGTGGCTACGCCGCCCAGCTCCGCTGGCAGCGTTCGGGCGGTGTCGCCCTCCCCAACGACAAGCCCGCGACCCCCGAGAAGATTGCGTCGCACTGGTCGGAGCTCACCAAGTTTGACGACCGCGCCACCAACCCTACCTCGACCCAGGAGTCGTTCATGGCCATCATGGAGAACTTTGAGAACAAGTCGGGTGCCGGCTCGTCTGGCGGCGACGCCCCCGCCGTCGACATTGACCCCAAGGACTCGGACGCCGTCAAGGAGGCCAAGCAGAACGCCCCCGCTCCCTCGGACTGGACCTACTCGGAGCGCGACGTCATGCTCTACAACCTCGGCATCGGCGCCAAGGCCACCGACCTCGACCACACCTACGAGGGTGCCGACAACTTTGAGTCGTACCCCACGTTCCCGGTCCTGTCGCAGTTCATGGCCGACAACGGCGTCGACCTCAACGCGATTGTCCCCAACTTCAACCCTGCCAAGCTCCTCCACGGCGAGCAGTACCTCGAGCTCAAGGCTCCCATCCCCGTCGACGCCACGCTCGAGCTCCGCCCCCGTCTCGTCGAGGTTCTCGACAAGGGCAAGGCCGCCTCGGTCACCACTGCCATCCAGGGTGTGAACAAGGCCAACGGCGAGGTCATCTTCGACACGTCGTCGACGACCTTCATCCGCGGCTCGGGCGGCTTCAACGGCCCGCGCACGGGCAAGGACCGTGGTGCGGCGACCGCGGCCAACGAGCCCCCCAAGCGTGGCCCGGACGCCGTCATTGAGGAGAAGACGTCCGAGGACCAGGCGGCCCTCTACCGTCTCTCGGGCGACTACAACCCGCTCCACATCGACCCCCAGTTCTCCGCCATCGGAGGCTTCCCCAAGCCCATCCTACACGGCCTCTGCTCCATGGGCTTCGCCGGCCGCCACGTCTACCAGACTTTCGGCCCCTACAAGGACATCAAGGTCCGCTTTGCCGGCATTGTCATCCCCGGCGAGACCCTCGTCACCGAGATGTGGAAGGAGGGCGACAAGGTCATCTTCCGCACCTCGGTCAAGGAGCGCAAGGCCCCCGCCATCTCCAACGCCGCCGTCACCCTCGTCCCCCAGGGCGAGCTCAAGTCCAAGCTCTAAGGTGCTCTCACTCCGAAAGCGTGCCAAGGAGGGGCGTCTAGAGTTCCATAGTGTGGATTGTACAGAAGTTTAAAGGCTTTAAAAATGTATCGGATCGGTTTTACGACAAAGAGGTTGCATGCTGTGAAAAGATACTAAATGTAGTCGCAAGGCTCACGTCGTAAGAGGTGGCAACCCAACAAGGTCCCGGTGGTGCCGCTCAGCGACGTCGGGGTGACTCCTCAGCCTGGATTTCAGACAGTTCTCGCCATAAAGCGAGAAGATGGGATTCTCCGGATCCTCACTGACTTTGTACTCTCCTCCCAGTTCCTTTGGAATCTGAATCAACGGCAACCTGGCGTCCAGCGCCGGATTGAAAAAGTACGGCACGCTGATCCTGTCCCCCGTGCTCTCGTTGAGCGTGACGCGGTGCGACGTCGCCTTCAGGTATCCCTGCGTCGCGTACTCGAGCATCTCGCCGATGTTGACGACAAACCCGTTCCGGACGGGCGGGACGTCGACCCATTTACCCCCCTTCTCGACCTGGAGCCCGCCCGAGCCATCGATCCAGAGCAGGGTGAGGACGCCCGCGTCCTTGTGTTTGCCCACGCCCTGCACGCCCTGTGACGCGGATGTAGATGTTGGAGGGTAGCGCACAATCTTGAGCAGCGTGAACGGGTCCCCGAACGAGCGCTCAAAGTAGTCCTCGCTCTCGCCCAGTGCGAGCGCCCATGCGCGCAGCAGTTTGCGGCTGATCCGCTCACAGTGGGCTTGCCACTCCTCACTGACGGCCCGGAGCTCGGGGAGAGCGGCAGGCCACTGATTTGGGCCCACGAGGCGCCAGAACTTCTCCCGTCCCGCCAGCTCTTCCTCGCTGAACGCGACGCCCTCGGGACAGATATCGATCTGTTCTCGCAGGTCGACCTGACCCCTTGTCCGCTCCAGGCCGAGGGCGGTGTAGCCCCGGAACTGGGCCGAGTTCGTGTTCGCAATTGCCAGTTTGTCCTCGAGGGGCAGCGCGAAGAAGGCGCGCGCGGCGTCGTGCATTCTCTTCTCGAGGGAAGAGGGCAGGGAGGTGTTGACGAGGTAGAAGAAGCCGATCTCGTGTGTCGCCTGAGCTAATTGCGCCCGGAAGCGGGCCGCATCCTCTGGTGTCGAGTCCAGGAGACTCAGGTCGAGGATCGGAAGCGCGGAAAGGTCTTGCGTCATGGTGCCGGCTCTCTCGTCCCATTACTTGTCTAACGGGTCGAACTATAGCCGTCGGTCGCTTGTCTCACCGCACAGTCGTATGTTGATGAAACCGGCTGATGGAGCGGAAGATAGATGGAATGGAGGAACAAGCGCAAGTTAAGTAGCCGAGGGGAGTGGGCGGATCGGATGACGCCGAAGATTACAGATGAGATTGCGTGATAACGTCTCACCCGCGCGAACGCGTGTTTCGCGTTGCGACTGGCGCAGGCTTGGTGGCGTCCATTGTATCGTCTTGGAAAGCGACTTTGCCCGCAACTCTTGCTTCTCTTGTGACATTCTACCATTGCCCGACAATGGCTAGGAACCTCATCGTGCTCTGGAAGAACGGCTGCTGGACATAGGCCGGGCCAATTGCAGGAAAACAACGTAATGCCACTGTGATTCTGACCTGGGTTAGTACACGCAAGGGCACAATATATACATCGCGTATTACTGAAAATGCAGGGTACAGGCTACTATACTATGAGTGTGTTGGGGTTGAAGTGCATGCGAGTGGGTAGGCTGACGGGCCGGTGAGCTGTGGGGGTTATCTGTATGACGTTATGGCGTGTTGACAAAGGCATGACAGAGCATTCGGGATCGCGAAGGTCTGGGGAGATTCGTTCGTGTGTGTGTGTATGGAAGCCGAGCGGGTTGATAGCTCACACACGCACGGCGTACGCGAGGCAGACAACGATCATCGTATCCTGTCTGGTCAGCTGTGTGACTGGAACAAGCCCGCTACAACTCACGTTCGAGAACATCTCCTGCACCGCGGCGTCCGTGTCCTCCCAGTGGCAAGACATGTCGGCGCGGCCAGCCTGGCCGAGGTTCTCGCTGAATGTCGTGTTCACGATGTACTTGAACCCTTTGCCTTCAATCTCGATCATGCGTTGCTTGATACGCTGAGGTTAGCTTGGACAGATAACGCTCTCTCAGCGTCGAACACATCGCTGCCACGCGTCCGGCATTGAGGTGACCCTCATACCTTCCGCGCGGTCAGAGACGCACGAGCCCCCAACCCCTTCAGTTCGGAACGAAGGGATGCGCGGTTAACGGGCTCGGGCCCACACACCCGTGGATAGGGCGCCGGCACATCAGAACGCGGCGTGAGAATCGCTCACCTCGCAGATCTCTTTACTCAGCGCGCCCATACGCGCGCGGTCGTTCTCCCACTGCACGCCGTTTAGCATTGCTGTCAGCAGCGCCTTGATGTACGGTCGTAGCTGGTCGGCAGGAAACCTGATGTCAGCTCGAGATTCGTGCCTTGCTCACCCTTCCGCCACGGGTTTGCGGTGGGGAAGACACCTGTAACGCTCTCTTACGACAGCTTGCGCTTTGGGGAAGATGAGATACGAGCTGCACCAGAGGAGACTCACTTTGAGCGATTCGCATAATAGTAGTTGTATGCGGCGGTCGAGTACTGCCCCGCGCGGGGTGGCGTGGACGCGCCGGAAGGCTGTCGCGACATGCTTCCGTGACTGCCGCTGTACGACGAGTGCGCGCTCGAACTGGTAGACCTCCTATGGCGGCCGAGCGAGGAAAAGGACAGCGACTTGCTCGAGGGTTCGGTGGTGTTAAGGGCGCCTAGCTCGTCGAGGCGTCCACGCAGTGTCTTGGTGTAGTGTTCCGTATCGGTTGAGGGTTGCGACGAGGAACGGAACTTGAAGACGTCGAAGACCATTTATGTCGAGACGACAGACAAAATGGGAGGCTAGGGGACTGAGCGCAGTGCAAGGTCGTGCGTGGACGTGGGTAGGGAAGGTGGTGACGGGCCTGGACGTGGGCGAAAGGTGACGAGAGGAACAGACGAAGGAAGACAAGAAGGAAGACGGAGTCAACAGTGAGGCAAGGTCAGTGTGTCGGCGATGCGGTGCGACGGGAGTATCGTGCGCAGATCGGTGCAGGTAGAGGAGAACGTGTGCTGGGCTCTGCGACGGATCTGGGAGCCCCAGAAACAGGGCCAGTTGGAGAGAACCAGGAGAAGGGATATTGAGGATGAGGGCAGTGAGAGGCCGAAACAGCGCCCAAGCCGGAGTCGACGACGAAAGAAACCAGACGCTAGAGGGGCGAGCGATGACGACCAAGCCAAGGATGATCTAAGAGCCAGCCTAGTGCGCAGTGAGTTCGCTGGCTGCCCCTGTGGTCGAGATCGATAACCAGCGAACTTGGACCTCGATCGTGCCGTGGACTGGAAAGCCGGACTGGCTGGGCTAGAGCAAGGAACGAGGAACGGACATGCGGACCATGACAATGGACTGCGACTGGTCCGGGGAGGCTGCGTCGGCGGGGGGTGGTATCTGGGTAGCGCCCTGCGCCTCGCTCATGACCGACAGCCGACTGAATCTGGGTCGCCCTGGATGTGTCTTGCGACGCGCCGGAATCTAAACAAATCGCATATCGCGCGAGCCGTACATGGCGTCCCATGGCTGCTGGCTGCCTGCCTGGGCTAGTCGCTCGAAAACGCGAAATCGAAATCCATGACTACTCAGCCTAGTCACGTAAATAACCAAGACCCCCAGCCAAAGGACCACTTTCCCTCTTCTCACTACCGACCGTCTTTTCCTCCTGTACTCCTGCTCATCCTGTCACAAAAATCGCGTCGGACTGCACAGGCTTTGACCCGACGACGCCATCTGCTGCGATGCCGGACGCGTGGCTGCACCACCGAAACACTCACGCACACATTGTGCACCCGTCACCTGTCCGCGCGCACTCTTACCCTTTCCACGCGTATGGTGCAGGTGCAGGTGCAGGTGGGGGTGCACCGAGTGGGAGTGGGTATTACGGCTCCTCCCTCGGATCTCCATCGTCATCCTCAACTTTGCATCATCCTTTCTCCTCATCCTCCTCAAACCTTTACAGCCACCACCCTCAGCATCTCAACACGCACCATCTGCATCACCCGAACCCCTACCAACAGCAATCCACGTTCTCTTCCTCCTACTCCCAGTACTCCTACTCTCATTCCAGCGGAGGAGGCTTCCGAGGATCCGATCTCCCCTCCCCGCCCCTTTCAACCTCCGCCATGCCACCTGACCCGTGGAACTCTGGTGCTTCCGACAGAATGAGCCCCTCTGACGACGGGGCCAACCACGACTGGACCAACGGTCACAGCAAACACTACCAAAACGGCGGCGACTACGACGACTACGCCGCCCGAAACAACAGTTTCTCATCACCCTCACACAAACATATCATCCCGCCCATGGGACCCATGATCCGGACATCATCACATAACCACAAGGCCCTCAAGAAGCTGCCGGCGCCCTACATGCTGGAGACATGGGCCAGTCTCATGGACAAGAGCAAAGGACGAGACAAGGTTCTGGTGTGTACACTCCACGATCGCCAAGCGCGTGCGCGGTCAGCTGACCTCACCAGAAAACGGTCCAATACACGTTCCGTACGTATCTCTACGTTCTTGGATTGATCGCGTCGGTGCGACCACTGTCTCGATGGTTCCTTGCGAGCGAGAAGCGCACAAAGCAGTCAGTTGCTGGTCTGAGTTTGACGCGCAAATGCCTGCTCCTCCTGAACCCGCTCCGACCGATTGGAGCTCTTATCTCGCCGGAACCCACCAGCGCTCGAGACTTCCTGGGTCACATCGTCGACCTCGCTAGCGCCATCGCCGATGACATCTTCTGTCTGTCCAAGCTCGGACTCCTGTCGCGACGGAAAGGAGTCATTGCCGACAACTGGGCCAAGTGAGTGGCTACATTCCGCCCCTTCCCCAACCCGCCGCTAGTGCTGACACCAATTCTCTAGCCGACTGTGGTTCACTACGACTCTCACAGGACTGTACGGTCTGTACGTCAACTCGTTCAAGGACCGGGACCCAGAGGAGGAGCGCAAGGACGACTGGAAGCGGGTCAAGTATCTGTGCGACCTGACCTTTGTCTGTGAGTACTTGATGCCGTTCGGCATGCATGTTTCTATCGCTGCAGACACTAACGTCCCCTTAGCATACGACATCTTTGGCTTTACGTGGGCCAAGGAGCCCATTCAATGCGTCGCCGGTCTCATGGCCGCCATCATCGCGTGAGTGCTTGAAAAGCCGGCTAACAGGGTAGCCGAATTCGGGCCCCGAGTGACGAGTGACTTAGCTAACAATTTCAGCACGGGCCAGCTCTACGACAAGGAGTGGCAGCACCTCATCTCGAGACACGAGGTCGACGGCCTCGGCGTCATCGCGAAGAAGTCGCAAGTGTAAGACTACAACGATGATACGAGTACCCCGTGTACGAGGACGGCGGTGGCAAATTCCTCGGCCTTGGGGCTCGGAATCGGGATTGAGGTGGTGCGCCGTTCGCCGCGGACCGAGCGGCCGCGGAACAGTGCACACTTCCACCTTCGCAGCAAGAGCTTCTGCTCTTGCACCTTCACACAAAACTTCATCTTTGACGCGCCGATGACAGCGGCGCAAGACACTTTTCCCTCAGGGAAGGACCATCGTGCCCTTTCCCGGCGGCGTTCGGTTTCAAGCCAAGCCAAACCATGCCAGCCGACCCGCCTATCATTTTTACACTCCAGCACCAGCAACGATACCCCCTTCTAGACATGCCTTTGGATCTTTGTGTGCTCTCTGATTATGTATATTTTGTTCAGCTCTTACGCGTCACATCTGCTGCCCCATGGAGAAGAGGTCAGCTGCGAAGACTACGAGGTCGAGGCCCGTCTCGGCGATCGCCGATCAGGCTCTGGTCACGGGGCGGCGGCTAGCGCCGGTTCAGTCTCACGCCAGCTTCACATTCGTGCACACCCCGACATTTCCCGCTCTTGACATTGTATCATCCACCATCAATCATCCACCGCTCATCTCGTCAACACGCGCGCTCTTCAACAAGAAAAAGCAGACTGGGAGGAGGGGCAAAAGAGATTCTCCGCCAGGGAGTCGAACCCTGCTCTATCGCGATCACTACAGCTGATTAGGCTGAGGAAACTCTCGTTTGAGAGGCGATTATACTAACCGATATACTAGCGAAGATGTGGAATACTGGTGTTGTCTGTGTTCGGCCGCTCATGCACATAACCCATCTATTTTTCTGCTGTCCGCGCGTTATCGCTCTTTAGACTCCAAAACTTGAATGTAGATTGTAGAGGGAATTTGAGGCAGCCCATGAGAGACACGATCAGTTGTGTGCCAATCGGGGAGGTGTCGCTGGAAGCGACTGAATGCCATCGATAATGTGTTGTAATCGACGCATTACAGACATTCAGTAATCGGAATTGAATTCGACGATCTACCACTTACCTGGGGAGCCAACACAGCGACGACACAGGTGTCTTAGGCAGCCTGCACGCAGCCGAGAAACGACACTGCCGCGACAAGATTGCTTCAAAGCCATGTGAGAGTAGTGATCCGCTGTCGATAAGCGACTGGGGAGCTGGGAACAATGACCGCCTGTCAGCCAACGGCGACCACTGGCTCACCGAATTCATATCTTGAGCGATCTCGAAACCTGAAACCTAATTTGTTTTTATCGCTTGTGAGGCTGTGTAAACAAATGGCCATCGACGCAGTCCTCGGAGATCTCTTCGAGTCTGACGCTTTGCGTGGAGGACAATAGCCCCACAACGACGTGCATGCACAAGAGGACCTTCATGTCAGCACGACGGTGAAAGTTGAGGAAGCATGCATGCATAAACTAGCCAGGGAGACGCGTTGGTTGCGAGGGCTAAGACCAGGTCCCAGACTTCAGACAGGGCTGGACACCTGGCGGAGGTATAGTGCCATTCTTGGTCCTGTCCCTGTCCATCTGTCCACGCCGCCAAGTGAGTAACGTTCCTGTGTGCTTTTAACACTCACACTTCCTCACAGTCGACACACACCCCCTCCATTGAATGCTCACGAGCGTCTAGAGCCATGTCGGGACCTTCGTTCTCGCGCATGGCGCTCGCCGCCGCGCTCCTCGGTGCGTACTCACTGCTCAACCCCCGCCAGTTGCCAGCCGCTGACCACCAGAATATGACAACGACAATGTCGACCCGCAGAAGATTGTCGACCACAAGAAGTCGGCAATGTTCAGGCAATTCGAGGCTCACAACGCGCCCTACATTCCGCCTCTCGGCATCGATAGCGAAGATACTGGAGACATCGGAGACCCGCGGTCGTCAGCCGGCCAGCGCAGGGACTACGACCCCGAGTTCGAATCGCGCCTGTCTGCTGATGCGACCATGCGCGACCCGCGGCACAGGGCTCGTACACGGTCAGTGGCCTTTTCCACCAACACGGGCCCCCGATCGATCAATCTCGAGAGCGTTGAGGACGAGGACTACTATGATGGCAAGTACGAGGGCCGCGATGGCCGGTATCACCGTCCCAGTATCGACAGCCGACAGAGCCGGGGAAGCTACGATCACGCCGAGCGGGCGCTGAGCGAGGCGCAGCGCGTGCGGGACATGCTCGAGGGCAGGCGTTCGATGAGCGCGATCGGCGCGCTCGAGGTGCGCAACGACATGGGCGAGCCCGTCATGGTCCCGCTGCCCGAGTCACCGCCGAAGATGGCCTTCCCCCACATGCCCGGGTCGCGGCCTGGGTCCGGAATCGCCCTCGAATCACCCCTGAGCCCGACCTTTGACCGCCCTCACAGTCGATCACAGTCTGCGATGAGCGCGTACTCAAACCCGCCCCTGAACCAGGACGAGCACGACCAGGAGGTCCTTCGCAACCCGTTCGAACTCCCTGCCCCGCCGCCCGAGTTCGGCTCTCGCTTCGACCCCAAGACAATAGAGGCGCAGCGACGCTCGATCGACCTCCCCGGCTCTCGCCCGCTCAGCACAGTTAGCAGCAAGGGCCCGCGTGCGAGCAGCTCCATGTCGGGCGAGATGGGCTCGTTCGGCGACTTCGCAACGCCCCGTCTGGAGCGCCGCGCATCCCTGATCTACTCGGATGACGGCGAGCAGGGCGCGCCCTCGTTCATGGGCGGCGCACCTTCTGAGGACCCTACGAACGACGACCTGCGTCGTGGATCGCGTGTATGGAATGAAATTCCGACCGCGGCAGAGTATGGCCGTCCCCTCCGTGCACCGAAATACACCGACCGCGTGCTGCACGTGAAGCGTCGTGAGCTGCTCCGCCCCAAGACGCTCGTCATGCCGTCCATCCTCGAGGGCACCGAGAAGCAGAAGCACTCGGTGCATGTTCCGGAAGGCTTCACTCTTGGCGAGAAGCCGCTGCCCGAGGATGCGCGCGCATCAGTCCTCAACCTCGGCCACGGTGTGCCCTTATCTATGGCCCAGAAGACGTTCCGTTCCTCGCTCATGGTCGGAGGACACCGCGAAGACGCAGAGTACTTTGCAGGCACGGCGGCTGAGGGTGAGATCATCGCTGGATACGAGGGAGAGGATGACGAGGAGGAAGAGGACATGCACATGCGCCGCAAGCCCGGCAAGCTCTACGTGAGTTTCACTCCAGACTTGCTTAACTGACACTACAGGGTACCAGTCTCATCGATCAACTCGAGTTGCGCAAGGAACAAATGCACAGCAAGCAACGCCAGTTCTGGGGTGACAACCGCCCTTCGATGATGGCGCGCCAGTCGACGCTCATCGATCAGAACGCACTGCATGCGCCGCTCCAGCCACCCGTTCAGAACGATGACGACCTGCTGAGCCCGCATTCCCGGTCTGTGCCCGGGTCACTCAACAAGCGCCCGAACACGATGCACGACGTGCCGGCTCTGAACCTGCCGGATGGCGATGGAGGCGACAGTGCGGACCAGCGCATGGCCAAGTCGCGCTCCGTGTTCGGTGTCGACACCGTGTGGGAGCGCGAGATGGTCAAGCTCAAGGGCATCCAGGAGGCGCAGTCGAAGGCGGACGCGGAGGCAGCGGCGAAGGAGGCAGAGAAAGAGCGCAAGAAGGCCGAGAAGGCCGAGAAGCGCAAGAGCCGCTGGGGACGCAAGAGTAAGATGCTTGACGCCTCGGATGTCCCGCAGTTTGACGAGAGCGGCCGCCCCATGTCGATGATGCCCGATACGCGCGGGATGGGCTCGCTGAACTCGATGAACAGTGACTCGCGCATGAGCCGCCTCAGCATGATGGACCCTCGCATGGGCAGCGACGATATCGAGGAGCTGGACGGCAGGTACGACGGGCAGTACGATGGCTCGAACGCCAGCACAGCTGAGCGCGTACCCGCCCGCCCACCGACGTTGTCGTTCGAGCCGGAGAGCCCCGCTATTGGGTCTATCGAGCCTGAAAAGCCGGCACCGCCACCAGAGCGCCGCCCCGGAAGCCGCTTAGGTGTCGACGACTGGTTCCAGAGCAGCGACGAGGAGGACGGAGGCAACGGCGCACGCAGCAGGAACAGGCCAGTGTCCTCTCAGCCGCCGCAGCGCGCCGTTCCTGTATCCGACAGCGAGTCCTCGGACGGGGAGTTGCCTCTCTCGCGCCTCCGGAGGGTGCAGGTCGACGATGACGACAGCAGCTCGGACGAAGATGTGCCCCTCAGTCGTATCAAGGCCCAGGTGGCCGACAGTGACGAGGAGGTGCCTCTTTCCCAGCTGAAAAAAGGAGGTTTACCGCCTCTCTCGCTCGACACCGGGGCAAGCTCAGGATCGCTCGGTTTACTCCCCAGACAGGCTTCGCCGAGATCGCCAGGCTCTGGTGCCGTCTCTGACGCCGCTGAGGCTTCCGGCGGTGCCACCCCGCAATCGGGTGAGGCCACCGACATCAAGTCGCCCGTCGCTGTCCCGACCATCTCAAAGCCTGCCAACGACGACGACGATGACGATGAGCCGCTGCTCATCCGACAGGCGCGCCGGTCGCGCATGGTCATGTCACCTGCGGGTGGAGAGTCTGCCTCCGGCTCGAACACTGGAGCCAACCAGACCGTCGAGGAGATTGAGGACGACCTGCCTCTTGCGTGGAAGCATGCTGGCGCCGCGCAGCGTCAGCATGAGGCGCGGAAGGGCGCGTCGCCGCAGCCGGGAATGCAACCAGGCATGCAGCACATGCCCTCGTTCTACGGCTCGCCGTACGGAATGGGTGGCATGCCCGGTATGACGATGTCTGCCTACGGCATGCCGCAGATGGGCATGATGCAGCAGCCGATGATGGGCATGCCGATGCAGCAGCCCATGATGCCGCCGCAGATGATGGGCGGCATGCCCGGCATGGGCATGGGCGGCATGGGTATGCCTGGTATGGGAGGGATGGGCGGAATGGGAGGCATGGGGATGCCCGCCTTCGAGGACCCGGGGAGCAACATCGACCATTGGCGCAAGCAGGTCGAGCTTGCGCCGATGCCGACCGGCTCGGGTCAGAGCGTCAGTACCCGCGGCCCGTAACCGCAAACATAGATCACGACTGGCCTGTTCATAATGATAGTCTTATTGTATTACCCCTGCATATCATGTGTGCATGAACCTCATCATACTGCCTTCCACGCTCTGGGCTGTGCTTCTGTGCAATATCCTGACCTCGACGCGGAATGGATTGTTGTTGCAGAGAGAGGTGGAGGTTATATGATCCACCCGGATAGTCACGTGGGTAGTGAGCCGTCCGCGATTTGTATCATAGATTCAAAATTCTGAGATCGCCTCCACCTGCGACAACACCACCTTACCACAACCCACGACCCACGCCTCTCGAGCCGCCGCGATGTCGACGACAGAGACACAGGCCGCCGATGCCGCCATTCCGCAGAGTCTGGACAAGCTCGCCTCCCTGCTCGAGAACAGGGAGCACCTGCTCGCGCTGGACGGCGACGCGCAGCTCGCCGAGGGAGCGCGCGCCGCGACAAAGGACATTTTCGACCACGGTATGTTTTCTTGCCCCGCGTCCCACTTTTGCCTTGAGTGTGCAAGCTCGGAGTCATGTTGAAGGCAACAAGCTGACCCGCAGCCATCTCGCTCGAGCCCGAGTCGCACCCGCATCTGCACCCCTTCCTCGTCTCGATCCTGCAACCCCCGTCTATCGGCCTCCGATCCTCGACGCGGCAACAGGCCGAGGAGCCCGAACCCGCCAAGCCGGAGGAAGTCCTCCCTTACACGCCCCTGAGCGTTCTGACCGTCGACGGCCTGGACCCGGAACAGATCTGGGCGCAGCTCGAGCTCCGCAACGAGGGCGTGTGCAAGGTCGTCAAGGAGGTTGGCACGGGGGAGGAGCCCGAGGTCGACGACGATGACGAGGAGGGAGAGGGAGACAGCGAGGAGGACGACAGCGAGGAGATGGGGAGCGACGAGGAGATAAGCATCGAGGAGTGGAACCGCATGATGGCCGAGGGAGGGTATGAGGAGGGAGATAGCGCGAGCGGGTCCGAAGACGAGGAAGGCGACTCGGAGGACGACAGCGAGGACGAGGACGACACTGTCCAGTTTGAGGACGGCACGAAGATTGGCGACTCCGACTCTGAGATGGATGAGGACGAGGAGGATGACGATGAGGATGATGAGGACGATGAGGAGGACGATGAGGACGATGAGGAGGAGGAGGAGGAGGACGACGACGACGACGAGGAGGACATCCCCGACGTCGACATGGACGACGACGACGGACTATTCCCGACCGCTGGTCCAAGCAAGCGGAAGAAGGCCAAGCACCCGACGCTCGACGACGAGTTCTTCTCCATCGACGACTTCAACCGCATGACGGAGGAGCAGGAGGCGGAGCGTGTGACGTCTGGCCGCCTCGGCGGTGACGAGGAGGACGACGAGCCTGAGCTCGACGACTTCAGCTCCATGTTCCTCGCGTCGAACGACAACCCCGCCGAGATGACGTACGCCGACTTCTTCGCACCGCCCGCACGCGACGCTGCCCCGTCAAAGAAGGGCAAGGACAAGGACGCCGGAAAGAAGAAGAAGAAGGCTGCGCGATTCGAGGAGTCCGAGGACGAGGACGAGGACGAGGACGAGGGAGAGGAGGTGCACGGCGTCATGGACCGGGTGAAGACGGATCTGTTCGAGGACAGCGAGGATGAGGGCGACGAGGTCGCGCTCTCTACGCACGAGAAGCGGCAGCGCGAGCTCGCCGAGCAGATCGCTGAGCTCGAGCAGCAGGCCATCGGTCCCAAGGACTGGACGTTGATGGGTGAGGCGTCTTCGCGCGCCCGACCGGAGAACTCGCTCCTCGAGGAGAACCTCGACTTCGAGCACGTCGCCAAGGCCGTCCCGGTCATCACGGAGGAGAGCGTCGCGACGCTCGAGGAGCTGATTAAGAAGCGCATTCTTGACGTGAGTATCCCGACCAGTTTCCCGAAAAGATTGCATCAACTGACAATCAGGGCAACTTCGACTCGCCGGTCCGCGTACGAGCATTCGAGCCGACAGCATTCCTTCCCTCGCGCTTCTTCGAGCTGGACGACAAGCAGAGCGCCAAGTCGCTGGCCCAGATCTACGAGGACGAGTACACCGCCGAGGCGTCGGGCACGACAGCACGGGATCCGCGGGACGACAAGCTCGCAAAGGAGCACCAGGAGATCGACCGGCTGTGGGACGAGGTGTGCTACAAGCTGGACGCGCTCAGCTCGCTGCACTTCGTCCCGAAGGCGCCCAAGGCGGCCATCACGACGGTGGACAACATCGCGACGGCGAGCATGGAGACGGCGCTGCCGGCGCAGCAGCGGGCGACCTCGATGCTTGCGCCGCAGGAGCTGTTCGCCGGCCCCTCCGCCGCGGATCTGCAGGCGCGCAGCGAGCAGACGCCCGAGGAGGCGAAGCGTGCGCGCTCCAAGGCCCGCAAGGCGCGCAAGGCGACGCGCCAGCGCATCGACGCCACGGCGCAGCTGTACGGCAAGAAGAAGATGACGGTCCGCGAGGAGAAGGACGCGGCCCTGAACCAGCTCGTCAAGAGCGGCAAGGGCGTGACGGTCCTCGGAAAGGGGGCCAAGGAGGAGGGCAAGAAGCGCAAACGCGACGAGGGAGAGCAGGACGGAAAGCGCCTGAAATTGTAGTGTGCCCGCCCTGGCGCGAGAGGCAGCATAGGAGACATCACCATGACATAGAGACAATGTACATCACACTATTGCATCCACACTCGAGCCTAGTTGCCCCGGTTGCATGACGCATTACTTTTCGGACTCACCCTTGATCTCGCGTGACCGTGAGTCGCACTGACAAGTGAGGCTTCGCTTTGCCTTGTTTCCTGCTAGCGTCGTGCCTGCTCGGTCTGCCACCACCCTCCTCTTCCACTGCAGCTCACGACCAGCCGTACCGGTGTCCCGCTGGGCAAACACGCTTGAAAGCGATTGGACGATGCTCCGCTTGCGTTGGCTGTGATCGTTCAACGCTGTATCTTGCTTCGCAGCAAATCCTCCACACGACGGTGCGACAGCCTGCTTGCGACAATCGAAGTAGGCCTCGCGAGGAAGGCGACCAGCGTGAGCGATGGCGACTCTCGCATTATCCATCTCGAAGAGTGAGGTCAGAGACTTTGGTGCGGTCCTCACGTCCCGGGACGCCGACCGACAACTGCAAGTGCTGATGTGAGCATAACTCGGATCGGGAGAAGCCAAGTCAGTCCGGAGGCGAGGCGCTCTGCACCGTCCCGTAGCCCGGCCCAGGATGGGCGAAATAGTCGAATCTTCCCTTCTACGATCTGCAACGCTGCGGGCAGGCTGCAGTTCAACTTTCCGGATACTCGAATCTGGCTAAGACAGCCGGCATGTCCGGTTCTGGCGGGCAAGGCTGGCCCGTTCCTTGCCATTTCCTGGCGATGGGGGGGGGATATCGTATAATGGTTATTACTGCGGCCTTCGACCACATCGTATGAGGACAAACATTCCAAGAGGCCTGGGGTCGACTCTATCGCTAGGATATCCGTGCAATGAGCGGGGCGCGCTGTCTCAGAGGATTCTAACAGTCAATCGCCCATCGTTATCTCCCAGATGTTATGACGCGAGCAATCGAGATCCTTCCGTCGTCCCGGGAGAGAGTTTACAGGTGAGCCGAATAAGAGTCGAGCATTGGGAGTTCACTCGCTGTCCGTTGGGCGAGTATGACCTGCCGATGGATAAGTGACCAAAACCTGAATCGGTAACAACGGCGGTTCTGAGGACCGTGATATCCGTGAGGAAGGCCGTGTCTCTGATCACTGAGGACTAATCAGCTCGCACTCAGCGCAGGAAGCAGGGTCAGACGACCCTTCGCCTTCCGGTTCGTCTGTTCCGCGTCAGTGCGGTCAGTGTCAGCCGCGGGAAATCGGACAAGGTAGATGTAAATCGAATGAGATCAAAGGTGGGGATGGGTGAAGGGTGGGTGACGATATAGTGTGCAGGATGGTCGTTGAGATCCGAATATAGGGGAGTAGGGAGCGAAATACAGGTCGCTTAGGGCCAGACTTGAATGAGGTAATGAGGTAATGAGCGGAATGAATGTGTCAGCAGCCGAGCCCGAAGAACCGTCCAGGAGCGCTCGGGTCTCCCTCAGGTCCGCTCGCTCGGACAAAAAGGATCCGTTCTCTTGGAGCGTCAGACTTTGGGAGGTCGCAAGCCACACTCTACACTTTAAACGTAAAAACTAAAATTCCATCTCGTGACAGCACTCCATCACCGGTGCCTGCCCTCTCACTCGGAGGACTAACAGATGCACGTCGCCGAACAGTGTGTCACACTCTTTTGCGACTTCTTGACCACGTTTCTGTCGCTCTTAGTGACCTTGACCGCACTATGTTCTAACCATAGCATCTGATGGGCATATTCCTCTAACCGTCTGCCTGACAGGGCCTGGGCGATAGAAAGACCGTGAAACGACGGCACATACCTCGGCACGCACGTCATATAGGTTAGTCGTTAGTTTGGCCCTGGGCACGGTCTCGTCTTCGTCGGCGTTGGCCCATTACGACATTCAGGACACGCCCACTGATTCCCATAACTCAAATCCGGGGACTCGTCTCTACGCCCATCGCAATAGCATAAGCTTACAACGAAGGCGCACAATAAGTGGTGCGCCTTAAAAGCACACAGCGTCTGTGCGTGTGACTCTGCACGTTGGCCGCGCATTTTCCGTTTGCAGGCGGGGGTCGGTGCCCACCTTCACTGAGGTATGGGATGCCATACTGAAGTGTTCGAAGGCACAGATATTTCAGTGACCGGATCGGCTATAAGCGCGCAGCGGCCCTGCCAGTTGCTTTGCTGCTCGACGGCCCTGAGCAATCAGCCCTCCTGACCTCGATTATTGTCTCGTCGCAGAGGTGCGAAACAGTCATCATTACGGGAGCCTGTCTCACGTCTACGAAGCGAAGCGCGGTGGCTCTCAGTTGAGGGGTTGGACGCTCGTCGTTCGGGTGCCAGCGGACGTCTTGCGAGCTTACCTTCTACCATCACCCTTGTTCTGCCTTCTCATACCGGCAGTCGGATGACACCCCTTCCGTTATCCTGACTGCGCTTGGGCTGCGTTCCCCCGTGCTTGCCCGCTCCGCAGTGCCTTCAACTTTCCCTTGGGGGTCATTGATAAGGACGGTCGGGTGGGCACCCTATGGCTAATGAGAGTTCGTGAAGCTTCTGCTGAAAACATCACCGAGAAGTACCGCCATCACCCTTCTGCCATTGCCCGAAGGACGTGCGACGTCTGTGGTATGTGGTACCGGGTATGTGGAGGTGAAGAAAATACATGCGTTCATCTACCTTTCGACTACGCACCTTCCTTCACTCGACCAGAGATGTTCACCCCTCTGCAGCTTTGATTGGCGTGTGTCCTCAGCCCGGACTGCATGCTCTGCTCTCAACAAGCCTGAACGACGGATCGGTATGTTTTTGTCCCTGCTCGACCAGTCTCACCAGTGTCGCGTCTAAGCCATTGCGATGGTGTTCGTGCGCCTGGGCTCCCGTCATCGATCCCCGCACAAATGTCGACAGACAGGCAGCTTCCCCTCGGGCCCATGGCCGATCGGCCGGCCCTACAAACGACGGAAGCCCCGAGGGGTTAAGGTGGCATCTGCATTGAAGGTACACCTGCAGCATTGCACACGCTGTGGATATTGAGGGAGCTGCGCGCTGACGAATCTGACTGCAGCTGTACGTCTCGGGATCGCCGACCTGGCTCCCGCTCGCTACGTCGACCACGTAAAGAGGCTATTCGGGGTTGCCCGCGGCTCATGGGCCACTCTTAGCTAGCAGTCTGCCGGATGATCGGCACTCCTTGGCTAGAAGCTGCGCGGAGTCGGTCAATCCAGCTGACTGGGCAATCTTCTCACCCGGTCGTGGGTGATCGACGAGCTATTAGTTGGCTTCCGTCGGAGGTAGCATCAACGCTCACACTCCGCGAGCCACGTCCTCTATTAGCCGTGGCTGAAACTCCCTGGAGACTAGGTTGATGGCCCAAGACCAGCGCATAATCCGTTCAAGACTACCTCTGCGTGTTCGGCGACACTTCCACTTTCCGGTTTGGTCATGCTCGCCGCTAATCTAATGACAACGTCTTCAGCTGTCGTGCGCCTGGACGCTCTCCCAGTTGGGAAGAGTGTCGCGGCCCCGCAGTCCTTCTGGTTGACTCCGACTGATTCGTTAGTTTCGGTTTTTCAGACAAGAGATGTTTGTTTCGATCGAAGTCTCAGCCTGGAACCCGCTGGCTGCGAAGAGGGTCCGTCGCGGCCATGGTGCGATGCCCGCAACGGGCCCTGCAATGACTCAACGTCAACTTCCTCAAGCAGTTTCAACCTCATCACACCGTCCCCATATTTTCACGAAGCCATCAACTCGACATCATTGCCTTATGAATGCACGACGACACTGGCAGACGTTGTCACGATCCCCTACAGGCCGTTTCATCGACTGAGTGGCTACTCAGGTACGGCCTCGGAGAAACATCAATTGGCCATGTGACGCAATTGCCACCCAAAGCGCCTCGAATGAACGACCAGAAGGAAAGCATTTGGGTACGAGAGGTGCAGATACCCGGCTCGTGATGACTGCAAGTCATTGTCGGGGGCATCAAGATGTCGATCAGATCCCGAGAACGTGGTCTTACACTTTCGACATTATTCGAAGCGCTGGATTCTTGCTGGCCCACGTCATGGCAGTCTCAACGCAGCTGACGGCGCATCCTTCCGGTCGTCGATCCCTCGCAAAGATAACCGGTGAATTGCCAAAGTGTTTGCATCTGGCGGCCCAAGTCGTCAAAGGTCCAGCTCGCCTTTCCCCAACGGCCCCTTGTTTTGGAGACGAGAGGAGACGACGGTTTCAGAAGGCCCATCCACTGGCGTTTGATCAACCGACCGTTTGATCGACCGTTAATCGTTGATCCACCCTTCGGCTCCATACGACGTTCAGACGTTACTAGCAAACTCTTCGCAGGGTCATGCTCGTCTCCAGCCCTCGCCGTCCTCTTGAGCTGCTAACTCGCTGCCACAGGCCCTAACTTTCAAAATGACATGTTTATCCCAACCCTGGCCGTGCTCTCCCGCGCACGATGCGCACTGTGAGGACTAGGAGTGGATGACTGCATGTTCTCCATCTGCCAGAGGCATTTTCCCGATGTCCACTGGGCGTGGTGATGACTTCACGCCAGTTGCAACTCGAGGCTGGTTGGACACGACTGACGGTACCGGATGATACTCACTCTGTCCTAACTACCGGGTACTCGCGTCGGACACTCGATTGACGGCACAGATCACGAGCTCGGCTGCTCGTCTTCGATTCATACCAGTCCTTGGCACCCCTCTCTGGGAGCGACGTTGGCCTGAGTAATACGAAGAATACCTTCCCTTCGCGGAGACGTTACGGGACCGAGCGGATCACCAGCCCTCACTGCCGAGCCGTTGCATCCTGTCAGAGCAGTCTTCTCAGTGAGGCGTGCAACCGTGCTCGCTGCCGCCGACCCAATAGGGGCTTTTGGGGTCTCCGGGGACACCATTTTGACTCTCGGAACGCTGGGTCGAAGACTGCTCACTCCACCAACCCTGAATGTTCATGCAAGCCTCCCGATCTCGTCCAGGCCCGCAACCGACACCGCCGGC